TGATGTGCCTATGATGTGCCTATCAGAATGATGTAGGTAGTATAATTTGATGTGCCTATGATGTGCCGATCAGAATGATGTTGGTAGTATAATTTGATGTGCCTATGATGTGCCTATCAGAATGATGTTGGTATTATAATTTGATGTGCCTATGATGTGCCTATCAGAAAGGTGTTGGTAGTATAATTTGATGTGCCTATGATGTGCCTATCAGAAAGGTGTAGGTAGTATAATTTGATGTGCCTATGATGTGCCTATCAGAATGGTGTAGGTAGTATAATTTGACGTACCTATGATGTGCCTATCAGAAAGGTGTAGGTAGTATAATTTGATGTGCCTATGATGTGCCTATCAGAATGATGTAGGTAGTATAATTTGATGTGCCTATGATGTGCCGATCAGAATGGTGTAGATAGTATAATTTGATGTGCCTATGATGTGCCTATCAGAATGGTGTAGGTAACATTAATTGACTTTGCTGCTTTTAAAAGTGCAGAAGGGTTGAGTATTTGTGGGTTTTCTTTGTACGTCAAAGAACCACACAGATAGAGTTAAGTGAGCTAAAGTAATATTTCTCATAAACGGGCATTTCATCAACTATAAAAGAACACATTCTCCCCTGGTAATCTCGTGATTCATCCACACTTCTGTATCCTTGGAGCTTGACCGTGCATCAGGTAGACAACAGTACCTGTATAGGGTCAGTTGTTACAACCCTTGACATCAATAATAGTACACAAATAAATATTTACACAGAACAACTGACCGATGATTGGTCTGAAACATATTTAGTGTGCGTGCACTGAATGAAGACTCGAAATCATAAACTCTCGCCATGAGTGTCCTGGACGAGAAACGGGGTATATAAATCATTCCCAGTGTGAATAATTACCGGCTTCCGTGATAGTACTTTGTTAATTCTTGTCTCATCTATATTGCACGAGGATCTGCTGAGAACACGAACCCCCCTAACAAGCATGCTCACTCTGGTACATTTGTGTGTGTACTATTTCCGTTTGCTTCTTTTGTCTTTGTGACAGATATAGAATGACTAAACAGTTTATGACATGTCTTGTCACTGTAGGAATTAGATCCGCCAGATTCCTGGTACCTTGTCTCAATGTAGGTACACGTTCCTTAGATAACCAAGTACCAACCAACGTAGATGATTCCTAGTGTTTTGACAAGATTTTGAAGGGATGTGAGGGTGAAGCATATAACATGTGACACAGAAGTCCAGGGAACGCCGAACAACGCCTTCTAGTTATCAGAAACCATATATTTGAGCATGTTAAGAAAAGATTATTGTTAAGATGGAAATATAGTCTCCATAAGCGAGACTCTAACACCTAAATTACGTTTACTATGAGACATTTCTTGTTATTTTATGATGGTACGGAAACGGCATTAACTCTTTAAAACCTGGATCATGTGATATTCATGTTGAAGTTTTGTCTAGGAACTGAGCTTAGTGAAAATCTTGAAGAGGAAGTGGAAAATCTTCAGATAAAGGCTGATTCCGATTATCTGCAGATAACAGTGATGTGAGGTCTGGTAGCCAAAAGGACTGATGATAATTACTGACATCAAAGTGCTGTCTTCTCTTACGAAATATCTTTCTCCGAATCTAGTTCTCACTATTTACTGACGACATTGAATGATGAATAGAAAAGTTAATTCCTCAGATGAAATGGACATGATCGTAATAACTCCTTACAGATTATTATTTCATAGGAAATCTGATGTGAGCGAGATGATGTAAGGAATCCACGTTGGTCGTTTGAAATTAAATGAATAATTGATAGTGATCAGATTTAGTTTCTATGGAACTAGAATCTGTCCGACAGTAGGACCTGTAGATAATGTTAAAAGGTCGGATATACATAGCAAGTGAAGACCTTGTGACCTGCAGCAAACGTTTCTCGTGTTCACGGAAACCGTTTTGAGAAGATCGTGCCTAACCAAAATATGATATTTCGCAATTCTCTTATTACCAAACAGAAGTGCTATAAACAACTATAGGATGGTCGTGTATATCCTGTTTAGTGTTGTACATGTCTTATTTAACCTTATTGGAATGCTGATGCTTAAAGTATCTAATTAATTAATGCGCGTTAGCATCCCTTTCTCACACACAGAGAGTGGCGGGCGCGAGTCACAGAGGATAATACTCAGGACAACAACACGATGATCAGCTGGACATTCCCTTTACAAGGATTATAAAGATGTTTTATTGATAACTGCTAGAGTGTTCATGAGGAGATCGAGAGAATTAATAACGAGTCTGACGATAGTGTGTTACTTCATCTGAGATAGGGGATTTACATTTAGCATTAATTAACAGATTTTATCCCAGATATGACCGAGATACCTGTAGGTATATCTAAGTGTAATACCGAATATATCTAACACAACATCTGAACATGACCAACAACTGACAAAGTGTAGGGATTGCTGTACAGATAAATAAATAGACAATATGGAGGGTCATTCTAATTCCGGTTATCCTTGGGGATATTGGGGACGACGTCAGGGAACTATCCTTACCAATGTCGTTATGCCGGTATGTATAAAATATTTATCATTGCGTTAATAGATATATATTGTTTGACAGCTGTTGACGATGTTTACGAAACTCTATTTAATGATGAAAAAGTATGGTTCAGTATCGTCACTGGATCCAACAAAACTCGTGTTCGTTAGTTGAAAATAGGGAGTATGATTTAATAGCCCAAACAGAATGTGTACACGTCCTAATAATTAGAATTTAAATTCTAGCTCCAAAATCGAATTCAATCAGTCAGAATACGCTTCATCTATTTCACTTTGAAATAGTTCTATTAAATATTGTCACCCTTTCTAATTGAGATGAATCTATGTATTTTAAACTGTGAAATGCTAATATTTTTTTCTATTTAGATCTAGGGACATCCACAATTTCTGTAATGCATTTAAACTCAGTTCACAAATATTTTTTTTATAAAATGTAGATGAATATGGATTCCGGAAACATAAATGTACATTGTCATGATTATTGCGAAATTAAACGAAAAAATATTTGAATCAATAGCTAGCATTAATATTAAAGTGCCTGGGGTAGGGTTACATTACACGTAAATAGATTCGGTGTCGTAACAAAATATTTGAATAAGATAACACGGTTGGAATACCCAAGAGATGTCGTGAACTTCTTAAAAATTATCCAGACGTAAATGAGTTATCCTGATCGAACTAGATCGTCCATGTCCTATGAACTGATAATCCTAATCTTTCGTTGACATCATTCTACAGTTACAATAAAATTATCGTTTTGTTAAGTCTTGTCGTAAGCATCTTATCTCTACGTTTTTCCATGCTCTGATACCCATGAAAGGGTACTGCGCATGCCCACTACCTTTTCTGATTTCTTATGACTTCTAATTTGCTCTACATATTGCAACTATTTTTAACTTCTTTTATTTCACAATCTTAGTAACATGCAATATTTTCATAGTAAGCCTTCCGACCATCGTCGAATATAGAAAGCGTAAACCATTGAGGACTCCGATCGTATATTTAATTTGACATCCTGTCATGATAATATTAACACCTTAGGTCGGTGGAGATATCTTGGGTCTTTAAAACAGAAAAGCAAATATATGTACATAACTTATAATTCAGGTCAAATGTTTGCATTGTTCCGAACGCTAACATAATAATAAAACCTGCACGACGTGTCTTTTGTAACGTAGAAAAACATTACTGACATCTGAAGTACTGGTCATCGATTCTAATTACGTGTGTATCTTGGTACAATGAGTATGTCAATTTCTGAAAAGCCTCTACTCGTTGTAAAGAATTTCTAGATCCAATACCTGGTTTACCTATAAGACAATATGAATCAATATTATGACGGGGTTCTGTTGGCAACTTTTCCCGTAGGCTAATACATAAGCAAGAATATTTGTTTTGTCTGGCCGGGGAAAGTATTGATATAGATTTGGCCATATAGTGTATTGAAGCTTATTGTTGCCCTATATAAAATCACCCGAACAGAAACCAACGTATCAATTCATAGTTTAAAGTACTTACTTAATGTATACTTGTGTATAGCTTACAAATGTCTCCGAACTATATGTATTTATTTGACTTTTGACGTGATTACACATTAAGCTTGTATGGACATCTTCAATGGACTTAACAAGGCCTATTGGAGTGTAATATCTAATCATAACAAGTTGTTCTACCAACACAAACATCTGGAGTACGGGGGTACATTGATTTAGAAACGCAGTCATTTTAGATGTACCTGGAAGACACTATAAACCTCGCGGCTAACTTTCGTTTTGGAACTCTGACCCCGGAATAGATAAGAGGAACGCTTAAAATATCTGAATGTCAGTTTACTTGCATCCCGATCATACGTTGTGGCAGTTATAATGGTATCGTACAAAAACGACAACGAAATGTCTTCGACCATGAATATTTCAATATTGGTCGAGAAAGTGGAATTGTGTATGTCGTAAAAGGAAAACCTGTACTAAACTATTTGATGGAATTTCTATAGAAAACATTGGTGATTGAAAACTCGACTTTATACTGATTCGAAATTATTCATTGGTGTTTTGACGACCATTTCAAAGAAATATCGATCACTTGAAGATAAGCTCCCGAGGGAGTAATCTATCTTTTATCTATGACATGGAATTGAACATCTAGACAAAGTGAGTGTTATTGGTGTGTTGACATCGCGCTGTACAATGTTACCAAGTACATGACAACATCGATATTTAATTGCAAATTGTTTGATTCCTGCATGCCTCTACAGCTGTATTGGAATAGTGATTCCCTGTTTGAGCCTTAGGATTATGACAGTATGAAAATGTGCTTAATTCTGGAAATGTGTTGAATGGACGCTTACTTCTGTTTGATCCAGAGTACTCTGAGACCTTCAAGTGCAGTTAGAAGGATTACATGTAGCCATAGCTGGGCGGTTCATACTCATTATTACGGACGGTATTATGTACGACGAAAGCGTCATGTGTATACGGGTATATAACAGCTTATACACACACCTTAAATTACCTTTAAGTTAATTACAATCGTTCCTTGATCCGTACAACACAAGGTACACGGAGGGGGACTTCCGATCTTGCCCTTATAAAGACTGGGGGCCACTGAAAAAAACTTTGATTGGTTAATTCACGCCCAATGTCGAGCATTTTTGATAACCCTTGTCTGAATGCTATCTTGCAGTGTGATGTAACATGCTTTTAATTTTAAGAGTTACGACTGTCACTTTAAAATGTTTCACAACCAATACCCCTCAGACTGAACGTATCCACATTAGAGTGGATTTACCTAGGAATTCCTAATTGGAGAAATTATGTGTGCGATGTGTCAGGTATCCGTTGGTAAATGGTAGTTAAAAACGTCCCTAGTCTAACAATCTTACTCCTTTCATAACGTCCATATAATGTTATACCTTCTTAGGTCTGTACAATTTGTATCAATGGCAGAGAATATATAAACGTGTGTTAACATCAGTTTCGAACATGATAATTTGTGTATAAAATCCTTGGGTACAGAACATCGAAATAACATACACGTTTAATGTTTACATCAAAAGATATACTTCAAAATTCAAAGCACGAAAATAGAATCGGACAAACCTATTATCAGATTAAAAGTCAACGTATTGTGAATGAGGTGTCATCTAAGAGTTGTCCCCGCGTTAAGAATTGTCTGCTGTGTATAGACCACCAGAAGCTACATACACTACAGACATGTTAACTTGTCCTGTTGTTGTTTTACAGACTCCCAATGGAGTACAGATAGGACCTATCAGGGTACCGGTGGCTAACACATACGGTAAGTTGTTTATCCAATTTTATCTTCAGTTTAGTTTAAACAATATTTTATTCAATAATCAGCAATTTGACAGATACGGATAATTTTATGGTATGGGAAAACAAGCTTAGAGCTTATATTAATTCCTTTCCCACTGTTATCTTTTGTCGTAGTTTGTTTTTGATGGGACAGATCAAAATGACAATCTAGAGAGTTTTTCAGGGGGCGGTATAATGAGATAAAATATGGGGAAAATGTCATGTTGCAGTTTGATATTTCGGGGAATGAAGTAAAAGTTAGAATACAGTAAAAACCTCACGTGTATTGGTCAAAGTTTTACTGAAGTAAACAGTGAGTGGTCATAGAACAAATATAATAGAACCTTGTGTTATGCAGTGTACAAGCGGTGTTTGGATTTAGTTATATGCTGTACACTTTTTGTTTGGATAAAAAACATAAAACAGCATTGAGGATCAGAGCTATGTAGAGGAATGCATAGAACTGAATATATCTAACAGAACGATAGTGAATTGTGTAAAACAGCCGAGCCGTGATAGTTTTAATGATGTTCTGAAAATGTCAAATACCTGAATAAAAAGATGCATGGTGGGATGAACTTTCATCTATATCTATACGATACCGTGAATTTGTGGTACATATGATTCATGGCGTTATCAGTGTTATCAAACAATCACCATTCAGGTCCCGAGAAGGGTAAAATCAACGTGGAGTTGGGCTCACCATTTTATGTCCACCTCCATGATATCCCTGAGTACTCAAAGATCTGCATTGCTCAGACCGGTAAGATTGTTGGATGTGTGGGATGTCATTTATTTCACTATAAATATAATCTAATTCCTCATCATCTGTCCGTGGAGAGATCTGACTCGTTGTCCTTATTCCCTGTCTACATATACTATATAAATATCTTTTGTTTATTTACACTATATGACTGTTATCAATAGACACCTTCATCTATATCTTGGAGCTTCTCTATTCAATCGTTAGCATTACCTTAATTATATATCTTCCTCCACATAAATGGCGAGACGTGAATGAATAACTGTCTTCATTGACGTTTTATCACTTATTCATATAATTCATTTACAGAAAAACCCAATCTTGAAAAAATGTTTAATTTGTTTAATTTTGCGACTTAAACGTACATCTCTTCCATCTACTTTTTGACTTGGGATCGATTTTGGTTTTCTTTGAATAGCCTCCAAGGTTTTCACAATATAGACCCATAGTCTCGCTTACGAGTCCTAGAGGGACGAAGTAATTGTATGATGTAATTTAATTTGTTTTAGCTCTAAATTCTTTACTCTAAATCTTTTTTGAAATTCGCTACATGTGTTCTCTTGTAAGTCTTTTGAAAACCCTTCCGAATATACATAACACAATTAGATATACCAATTTTGCTCAAATGCCAAAGCAGTTAAGCCCTGAAGTGATTTTACTGCAACGGGTGCTTTATGTATCAGTGAAAATTCCGAATGGCTAGACAAAATTTAATAGAGATATGACTGACCCATGGCGAGGTCGTCCAAGTCCCTGTCAAACCATTGGATATCAAATTATTTCGCTGACGACCAGTAATTAGCAGCTCGAAAGTTCCACTTAAATTATTATACAAAAGAATAACAGCACGTCCCATTAAAATGTTAGTGTGAGTTAATAAAAGGAAATAAACTGTATGATTAAAATATATATCTGAAATACAATATTCTTAAATAACCTGACATGAAATATGATGTATTAACATTATTTGTATAATTTTATATCATACATTACTATCATTACCATTGTCGTCATTGGCTCTTGAATCAATGTAAACAAGCTTATCATTTTCGTGTTGTTAAAGACATAGACATAACGTACCTTAACTTTGCAGACGTGACACACTCGACTTTGGTACACCGATTTAGGACCTTGACTCCATGGTCACTCAAGGTCAAAGTTGTACTATTTCTGAATGTTGTAAGTTAGATCAATGTTAGGCATCATAAGTTATGATAAACTTAATAGCTTACCAAGGTGATAATCAGAGTTCCCCGTAAGTAGGACACGGTTTACCCCAGTCTGATCTCCCCACGGCCCATAGCTGGTTACCGATGGTGTGCAAGTAATGCCTTTTCAAAATGTAAAAGAGGATTTGCATGTCTACCAAAACATTTTTGATAATTGCATGACATTGAAATACAATGACACAGATTAACTGCATGTACTAATTTGAATAATCGAATTGTTTTGGCAGACAAAACTAATAAAACTCGACAGGATGCAAGGTCTGACTTGAAGACAACATTTATTAAAACAGATACCACCGGTTTGGTTTACTATTGCAATGCTTGCATGTACATTTTTTTCTTTCATAATTTGATAGTGACTTTGTTTCTTTGATTTAAAATGTCTCATCAAAGGGTTTTTGTTTTTGTGAGTTTTCAAAGATTATGTTTTCGAAAAGGTTTTTTTAAATGCTGAAATTGTTCATTAATTACACACATCATCTATACATTACATGTGATACAAAAAGTTGTGCTACATTTTCTATCAGCAAAATTCAGTGTCACCATGCCAACGGTGTGGAAATATTTCATAATGTTATTACAAGTCGGGGACTAAATGTAATCGATAAAAACTTTTTCCAATTAATGTAAAGAAAACGATCGATGAATTTCGTGTTTCTTTATGTAAAGCGTGTGACATAGCATTGTTATCAGTGAAACATCATTGATTCATTCTATCAGTAGATTCTGTATTGGATAATACTATTGATCAAAGAAAGATCCTCTACTGCAACACTGAAAACATAATCAAATGAATCAATAGTGATGTTCAGCGTGGGCAACTTTTTCTCTCTAATTTAAACAATCACGCGCACTGTACTGAGTAAATGGCGTCAGAATCGAATAATTAGAAAAAGATATTTGCATCGTTAGGTGAGTGTTTTGCGAAGAGATGCATTTCCTTCGATATTTCACATATAATCAATAAAAAAAAGAGCTTGAGTGTATCGTGCCAAGATTCATGTTAATATTTCCACCATCGCAGTAAGAATTATGTGTGATTGGGAATAGCATGAGATGAGATGATTTGTGTAGACGTAATACAAATGGTGTGGTGCGGTGCCAGTAGATTCGACCTTAGGAATGGCAACATTTAGACTTGTTGGAGATCCAGTTTTGCTCGAATGGTTTCCAAATCCGCAAACCATTCCAAGTTCATTCAGATTAAATCCATTCATGTCTCAGTATTCTAATTGACAAGAAATACATTCAGCTATTTTTGTGTTAGAAATGTACATGATGATAGTCAGCACTGGTGCCTCGGTACTGTAGGTCATGTACGCGTGAGTCTGAGAGCCAGAACATCTCCTGATCGATACCTTTACTACAAGTGTGTAGAGTGATAATGGCGTCCTCCATGTCGATCCTAGAGAGTCCTACAGTATGTGTGTAATATTTGCCACATTTCCAGAATAATATCTTCACATGTGGTATAGGTAGGTATTTATTTGATGATTGTATGTTTCTGAGATAATTATTTCGCTTTGTTTTCGTTCCGTTGACAGATGTGGATAATGAATATGACAACATTATGAATAAGGCTTTGCGGTCTTATAAACTACATAGGGACAAAGAGCGGGCAGACACTCGACAAAAACTACTAAAAACCGCCTATAAAAGGCGATGGCATGTGCCCCACGCCCCATCACGGCCGGCTACTCCCGACCGGAAACCACGCCCTAAATCGTCCTTACCTCCTAAGATGGACGCCATCAAGGAGGTTTTAGAGGCAAATACAACCAACGGAAGTTACGACAGGTAATGTTTTCTATATAAGTGTAATATGATGGAGTAATTAATCACACGTCAGTCCTAGAAACGTGACCTGTGCTCTCAACTTGTGCATCAGAAAGGTCATCTGCCTGGATATTTCGGAGTACATCAATTATCGATCTCCACTATATGTTTTGATATATTTCACACTTTGAAAACTCTTTAATTATGTTTTATTGAAGTTTGTTTAAACCTTTGAAAATCCATGGAACAGTAGATCAGGCAACATCAATAATTATGAAATACCATCAGGGGAATTAAAACTCTTGCATTGAATGTCATGATTTACAGCTCAGCGAATGTTTATATTCAATAGTCTAAAATTGGCATTTTACCATATATATATTTCAACAATTTCCAAAAGTATACAGTTTGGAGGTTTTTTTTCAATTACGTTGTATCAATGAGTCGTCAACATACTGAGAATTTCTGCGTGAAACCTGAATGACACTCCATATCTGGTATCAGTGATGGTACTATATCAAGGTGACCGGTAGCCATTCCTCCGTGCGAGGTCTCAACTCACACACAAAAACAGATATACAATCAACGGGGAAGCAGTGTTGTAGGAGTTTTGCCGTGAAGACAGGACGTTGTGGGGATTGTATCGATTGACAGACATGCTGTAAATATTGATGCCGATATCGTTGAGGAGTTTGTCAATAATCCGGAACGAAATAATTCGTGATGAAAGATAAATTGGAGTGTAGATCCCCACGCGTTTGGGAATTAGATACATTGGAAACAAAACACTGGAAGCCTCCTGCATTTTAGTTAGTTTAGATAATGACTGTTTCCGGTATTTAACAGTTTAACACATACATGTGATACGTCAGGGATGGAAAACAAGCTTACAGCTGATATTAATTATCTACATTTTTATACATTGAATACGCTTATACCTGCAACTGTTTTGTTTAATAGGTTTTCCATTATGTAAGTAAGCACATTCATCTGATAAATTCCAATATCGTTTTACATATTTCCCGAGTAACCAAACCTACAAGACACGAGCTACACTCTTAACATTAAACTTTATTTGGAGGACCACAAGACCTCAACCATTCAAAATCAATGTCAAACAATGTTATTGACATAATATATATACATAGGATTGGGAATCAGACAGAGCCAGATCTAATGCAATAAATTAAAGGCAAACACTGAGCTGCATATAAACAGCAGAAACTTGGATATTTGATCAATCATGTCTGGCACACTTGTCGACGAAAATCTATATTTAAATCAAAGTTTCTATAAGTGATTTTCGTGTGAATTTCTGAACAGGAAAACACTGCGAGATGCGAAATAGAACTGGAAATATTGGCTCGCCTTACGCAATGGTACTTAATTATTCATAGTCTGTAAAGATGAGTAGTGTGACGGTAGATGAGGATTCTATCACCTACCAATGTGTTTGATGCCCTGGAGTTAAGCAGTGCTAACGATATAGTTAAAAATGACACACTCTGGAATATATTCCATATTTTTGTAGAAAATACTGATCAGTTCATCCGTAAATCATTGATAATTCTGTCCCCAACAATAACCTGGGGATATTTCGGCAAAGTATATCTAAAAAATTATATATTGCTGTGTTTATCGTAGGTATATTTACAAGGTGTTTTCTGTCGTTACCAGGTAAACAGAACTTCCATTAAGACATGCTAAGATGGTTACTGTAGTAACTAGGGTTATCTGACTCTGATTGGATACCATGTTTTATAAAGCATATAAAGCCTTATCTATTGTGTTAACGTCATATCACTCTTGTCATGTAAATGATATCCTGTATTGTAGGCTTTAAACCCTACACTAACTATACCGTTAGATATACCTATACTTACAAACACATCAAATGATAAGGTACTCTTCGTCGCATTGTTACACAACCCTGGTACCAATAATCAGACTATTGTTGGATGTCAATGACAATCATACATAATATAACGCTGGGAGTGGCGACAGCAGATTCTTACGAGTAAAACATCAGCTATACCGTCTTTATTACGATCAGCAGGCCGATTTTTACCGTAACTAATGCTTCTGTGCATTCTGTACCGTCTCTATCACGATCAGCAGGCCGATTTTACCGTAACTAATGCTTCTGTGCCTTCTGTACCGTCTCTATCACGATCAGCAGGCCGATTTTAACCGTAATTAATGCTTCTGTGCCATCTGTACCGTCGTTATCACAATCAGCAGGCCGAGTTTTACCGTAACTAAATACATATAGCAATAAGTTCATTCCGGGTTTGGTGGTGAGTAGGTGGAAACCATTTGTTTCAAAATGTATTTAAAACTAACATAATAATATTTACGTAGGTAGAGTCTTTACAATGTACGTGATTCATACATAAACATGTAAAATATTTACGAAAATATGATGAATTTAAATGAATGTTTTTATATTCTGTTTAAACGCCGATATGTTTTAAGTTAATTACTCGAGGGTATCACAGAAAGCAGTGGCACCTGTAAAAACCTGTTTATAGAGTTGTACCGACAAATCGATATCACAGCACTGAAATGAACATGTATATATCGGATCAAATGAAATATATGTTTACTCATTCGAGCAGAGCTTGCTTTAACACGTAGGACTACTCGTGTTTTTTCCTTCATAAACCAGCTTCATCCTTATTGATAGAATTGATTTGGAGCACGCCAGTCACGAGCATGTCAGGCGCTAAAAACTATGTCTCGTCCATTTGTCGGATCAATAAAATGTGATAAATTATTTCCGGTAAGTGTGAGATATTTACACGTGGTCACAGTGCCATAAACCTATTCTATAACAGCATAGGTCAGTAACTATAACCTTCTTACATGCATTCAACGCCAAACAGTGGTTACAATAAAAAACACTTTGTCTAAATTAACCAAAACAGTATATTTTCCTGAACAACTTATATTCAGAGGTTGCTAATTAACACAGAAAGATCCAGTATTTTTCTTCTTGTTTTTAAGAAAAACAATACAATGTGTTAGATACATGTGGGCCTGTCTTATGTAATAAAAATTATTACAAATCTTTATGCCTAGGACACAATTTTCAAATGCTGCTTCGATCGAAAGTTGCCGTTTCCTATTTGTTGTTCAAAACAAAACATGTCTCTCTTTCTCCATTCTTGTGGCATAACCTACCATATAATATATATAGTGATATTTGACTTTATATACTGTAAGTAACAATATATGCTAATGAGCAAATGATACCGACACACATCGTATTGAATATTCCTTCTGTAATACACGTCGTTTTAGGATGTATGATGCAGTACAAAGTGCACAGTCCTTAAGTTCTGAATATGTCTTATGGGCCTGTATTTATCACTTTGGCTGTGTGATTGTTATGTATATAAGGAATCGGAGAACATCACATACCAAGTTAGTTCCATAAACATTTTCAGGGGTAAGAATCATATACTGTTAAGAAAGTGCTACGTTTTATGAGAAAACAAGGCGTTTTCCCTTATGTTTTCTCCACCTTAAAATGTTCTCAAATTCTAGGCCCCGCCCTGACTCCCGTCTTGACCGCGCCTTACACGGAGAAACATGGAAAATTGTGAATATATCTGTTAAGTGTGCCGATGTGATGTTCTGTATGAACGGCGCGTGCATTGTGAACAGAAAAAACGTCACCAGTGTCCCTAAAGTTCAATATTAAAACAAGTGCTCTGTGAAGTCATTAATCAATATTCACTATCTCAAACGACTTTGTGAGTGGTGACAGCTGTACAGAAATATAGCTGCTGTAATAACAGACGACTAGAAGGAAAAGGCGTATGTTTTATGTAATGATTCTGTGTTGTTTCTTTGTGTCTTTTGTACCGTCTATGTCACGACCAGGAGGCCGGTTTTCTCCAGATCTAAATACATGTATCAATAATTTCAGTCTCTATTAGTTACGAGTCTGGTTTTCTCGAACAGTACAAACAGGTTACTTATTTAGATGTCGGTCTCCCCCACCTTGTTGGCTGCTGCCACACTGTAACAGATATATTCACAATTTTCCATGTTTCTCCGAGTAAGGCGCGGTCAGTTCGGAAGTCTGGGAGGGGTCTATAGTTTGAGAACATTTTAATTTGAAGAAAACATAAGGGAAAACGCCTTGTTTTCTCATAAACCGCAGCATTTTCTTTACAATTAATTATTCTTACCTCTGAAAATGCTTATGGAACTAACCGGGTAGGTGATGCTCTCTGATTCCTAATGTACGTAACAATCACACAGCCAAAGTGATAAATAAGTAATGTTATTCAGGCAGGTGCTTTTAAGCTGGTGCCTCATCATCGTGTATAGACAGGAACTAATATTTAAAAAATGCATGTCTTCTAAAAGTGGTATCTTGACTGTACTTGTAATGCCGAATTTCTGCATTAAATCAAACACTAATAGACGAAGCATACAACATAGCTTTTTCATCAGTCTTAAGTCACTGAATACAATTGGATTATGATATAGCCTCGTTCTCAAATATTTACCGTTCTCAAATCTTACTGATGTAAAGATACCTTTTCTATGTATACATATGGGAATGGTGTTTTTGCTACTTTGGAAATCTGACGCCTCAGTTCTTGTAAATAGTCATTCGATATACAGGGTTATAGTTTAAGCAGCCAACATCTGCCTAATTTTGTAATTTGTAGTCTTTGAATTATAAGTTATTTGTATATCAGAGGATGCCTGGCTGTACTATGCCGCAATGCTATGATTGGAAACAGTAAAACCAAACAAGTTGAGTCGAGTTGTCCTGAGGCTAAGGTCTAAACACATACATGATATATATCTTTATTGGCATTCCTAGAGTCTTGAATTATCGTATGGATGTACGTGGTGCATTTATTGTTACATAATATGATATCTTACTGTCGCCTGGGCAGTATTCTCTATGCCAGTTAAATCTTTGATATCCGCCTGTTTTTAGATTGTCCTTATCCTGTCAGGAAGATGTTCATGTACAACGTGATAAATCTATTGCTGTGCAAGTCGCCATGTCGACTCTCGAAATGTTGATTTAATGTTTTAACAATAAGTCGTTGATTTAAACGCTTTGCAGCATACCAAAACGTGTGTTTATAAATACAAACATGTTTGTCATTTTCATTAAAAACAACACATTGTAGTATACACTACAACCTTCAACGAATTTATCATCCCTTTTTTAGTATTGTGCTTTAGCAATTACGTCCACCTGACGTGTCATGTGACCTACGAGGTGTATAAAAATGTATGTAAATCTTAAACTGAATATACCAAGCTTACAGCTCGAACCACATCTATTTCGTATTTGATCAGTATCTACTGGAAGTCTCGTACATTGAGGACAAATAATTGTTATATTATAATCGCCCGATCAGTAAATTATATTCACACATCTTTATTCAACAGTCGTAAACAGTAATGCCTCTGAATATTATAGTGATGATCGAGTTTTGATATCGTAGGAATGTAATGACTACAGACATATGTATCGTGTAGTATAAGTCATCATTTATATGGATATTCCAGTCTTATCGTTACAGGGACAAAGGAAGACTACATGGTGCGCCGGTGTTATCCTACCCCAATCAGAATTTTCGAGTTTACAGAAATTCCTTCATTTATAATTAAACTTAACATATCTCTGAATCGCCATCATTTTTCTCTTATATAGTTTTTGTTCTATTTTGTTAATATGACTGCCGTGTTGAACAGCAAAGAAATTAGCGCTCTCACCATACACTACACATGCCTTTCTGTTCAATAGCATTGATATACAAAATATTTGCCCATTGGGAGAACCTCTTTTAGTATTCCTTTACGATTGTCAGGTTGTTACAATTTTTTGTTTTGTAGTTGAAGTACTTGTAATAACTGTTTTCTATGATTGCAGTACGGAACCGAAGAAGCCCGTGGACGTGAAACGTGTGACCTTGTCAATGGACGCCCCATCCATGTCCAGCTCGTACATGAGAAGGAATCAACAGACCAGCCAGTCGTGGTACAGCCAAAGCTGTCCCTCAACCAGCTATCTCCACAACCACATGATGCGACAGTACCAGTCCAGTGGTTCCGCTAGTCCGGCCTCCTCCTCCTCAAGTAAATCTTATTCCGGTTCCGGTGCATCGACCAGAGCCTCGTATTCACCCCAACTCAAGAAAAAGACTGACTCGTCTCCCAAAAAGAGACCAGAATCTGCAAGGACAAATTATTCTTATGATGGAGGTATATTTGTACCTAACAAACCCAAACATGACTACTTTGTGATTCACCCAGATTGGGTGTCGGAAGCCATGTCCATACAGAAACTGAGTCTGAAGGAGCGCCGCCCTGTCAGCAGAACTGGCACGTGGCCCGGCAGACGATGTAAAAGTGCCCCGCCTCCCAAACTTCGTAACCCTATCACGTGGGACGTTGTACATGGAGAGGATAGTAAATATTGAAAAAAATATATAAATATTGAATTAAAAGATATAATCAGTGGTGATCGACAGCACTCATATCGTGGCTTCCTGGGTTTGCCGAGTTTATTGTGTGAAGAACCAAACGAATTACAAATTCTGTACTGAAGTTCAAAGGTCATGTCTTCGTGGATTTGATCATCGTGCGCGAATCGCTCTTCTTGCTTACATATTGTGTTGCTATACGCATGGACGCAGTGGATTATATAGCTGTATGTGAAATGTCCCGTCAAGTAGAACTCGGATATAGATCAGTTAGTGAACATACAGGCATTGATATAGGTAACAAGGGTAAGATTTATAGAAGGCATCCGTCTTCAGTTACGGTCACCAGTCTAGACGCTGGATATATAGACATTGTAAGTTTGGTCTGATAACATACACTAGATGGGCTAAATGATACCAGCTATATTGAAGTCGATGTGACTCCCTGTCATGAAATGTGGGTATACATGTATAGTAACGGACTGACCAGTGACGGTACACTTTTGTCATCACTGTGTATAGTAATGTTATCAGGAACGATGAAAGTATTCTCTGTAATGTGTCATGGCATCTACCACGTCTGAGGAGACAGTGACATAAACAGTTCTCAGTCCATCAGCTGATTGGATCTCTTTCCGAACTAAGATCGCTGACGTAACCAACACGTATATATATACAGGGCAACTCCGGGGCTACACTGAACATCTGATTCTAATGTCGGTATTTTAACGTGTAGGAAGATGTCAAAAACACGTGCATGGAAAGGATCAATATCGATTATTCAAAACGATACAGCTAGGTTCTTGTTAGATAAAAATATCCCTGTCAGTTATTTTCATTACTTCATGAAATACGACTGCTTCGTTTTAATAGACAAACTGATATTAAAACTAGCAAGGTCTGCTAATTATTTTTGTTAGGTTTAAACCTTTAGAAATTAAACACCGTACTTACAACAGATGTAAACCTATTAATATTCATAATCTATATATTGTTATGATAACTAACAAACGAGAACATTCAGGATTAGTTTTCAGTACGCTGGTATAACGAGGGTTATGATAACTAACAAACGAGACCATTCAGGATTAGTTTTCAGTACGCTAGTATAACGAGGGCTATGATAACTAACAAACGAGAACATTCAGGACTAGTTTTCAGTACGCTGGTATAACGAGGGTTATGATAACTAACAAACGAGAACATTCAGGATTAGTTTTCAGTACGCTGGTATAACGAGGGTAAACAAGTGTCCTTATCACGGTCACGACAATATTCTCATCCCATCACCTGTGTCACCAATAGGGAATGTAGGGGCGACTGTGTTATCATGAAACCTCACAAATCTAAGTATAGGGCGTTATCTGTTTTTTTTCTGTAACAATGAATGTTTGAATACTTCTACAGAACAGAAACAGTTTTTTTTTATAATTAATATTCAACTTGAACTTTAATTATAATGATCTAATAATACTTAAAACTTAGCTTTAATGTTTGGTTACTTAAACGCAAAGTAAGATTTGACTAACTTTAAAGCTCATATTTCCGTTATGTAAAAGTACAGCTGGTTTATTGTAACTTTCGATGTAAGGCATAGATAGATAGGTCTGTCTCTGTAAAAAGTTGTTAAAGTTTTAAATGTAATGCGACTTCATCAAGTTTGAATTGACAGTAATATCAGTTTAAAAAATTACAACCACATGGCTCCAATACAATTCACAGATATGATAGGTTATGTAGCACATATACTAAATTAGAAAACGAATCAAAAATTTGATATCGAATGTTGTAATTTTATCCATATTCTGTATTACCGGAAGTACATGTTGGACATGCGTGGATATCTTATCGCATATATTTACCTCCTTTTAAAATCATTAATGTACATCAAACGGTCATTTTTGAAATGTAACTATATCACTGCGCAAATTATTTGCCTCGAAAATAAAGTCATACCTTTCGTCCACATAGTGTTTATTTTTTTACTTTGTTCTAATCAAACACTATTTAAGGAGTTCAATACATAGTGGGAAAATAATATTGATTTGATTAACAAACTGTAAATGATGACTCACTTCCAGGCTAAGTTAAAGAATATGCCGATATCCATCGGAATGTATTATCTCCTTGAGTTTTAATGGTTTTTCATGTTGATTTGAATCGGCACATTTATCAAGTACTTTAGGATCATATTAGCTTCGTTAATCATAAGAAATGCAATGTCATCAAGTGAAACAAGTTCATACAGGTATGTTGATACGAAATAGACAATTACATAAAAACGCATTTCAATCACAGATCAGATACAACAGAAAATCTCCATGCAGATAACAACAAAGTCCAAGATGGGAGTTTGTCAACCTGTTTCCCTGATCAGTCTTAGAATCAAAAGGGCATATCTCAAGACCATGGGGAGTCTAGATATGAAATATCATAAAATCCATTCCAGTATTTCCCATAAAATTTTCACAGGAAAAATTTAAGATGGCCGCCTGTCTTCCATTTTGTTTTCCCTATCAGTCCCAAATCCAAAAGGCCACAACTGCGGACCAAAAATATCAAGAACTGATTACAATTATGAAACCCTAGAAGTCTCTAAATTGACTTTCACTACTAAGGAGCATCGTACATCTGAAATAAGAGAATGATCCATATAGTACAAGAAAAATGTAATACAGTTACAGACAATGTATCACAAATAATTTGACTACAGATAATGTTAAGATTAGGGATTACAAGTAGACCATGTATCTAACTATAGATAACGTGTATCGTCTGGTAATGTACAAATACGATTCCTTTACAAGGATTAGCGAGAAGTTTCGTGGCGTCTGAGTGTCCAAAGTAATGCTACAAAATGTAATTGGAATTTCTTCCAACAGCATTAAATGAAGACTGAACAGCCAACAAGAGAGAATGGGCTGATAACTCTATTGGTAATCAGCCAAAAACAAGATATCCCTCCGTAACAAAAACAGAGAGAATGCGAGAGAGTGTTAAGGAAAGTAATTGAGTAGAATATCCCCATTATGGCAAATACAAAAACTCACTTTCAAGTGTCGACATTCATCACCAGATATCGGAAAACGGAAATAGACCAAAGTAAATCTGTTGTCTCTATGGCAACATAGAGATCTAGAAAGTTTCCTTCTTTCCTTTCTGTTTCTCCCCACTTGACCTGTTAAGAGAACGTTTAATATCGTAACAGAACATTCGGTCGACACTCGTCCCCGTATCACCCTGGCTTTTGTACGGACGTTAAACACCGTAAAAATGACTCAGAATAACTGATCTCTGAAATCGTGTTTTGCGGATTTGTTTGTAAAGTACAGACATATATTGTCATTGTTTTTTCTTTAAGCATTGGTAAGAAAGAGAGGAGGTTTAATTCAATCATCTTGTGTGTCTGTTTAAGCTGAATATATCGGTATTCTCCTAGCTAGCACGACTGTTTACATCAAGTATACAGTAGTACGGAGTCTAGATATTGTTGCTAATTTTGATTGTGACCACAACTATAATCTACATTTTTATACCAAAATCCCACTCTACTGGTTACAACATCTTAGTCATAAACATAGCCGTCATAGGGGAGGTAAGCAAATTATTGATGACTGAACAGGTAAGAGAACCACGTGATCTATGCGCGTATCGACGAAAATTTCGTTATTCTATAACTTTTATAGACAGGCGTTTTCAAGTTGGACATACCCTGTTGTGTACTAATGTATCTCAAACCAAACGACTTGCTGTTAGCGAGAATATTCCTCTGGTCAGTAACATGGAGCAAGAACAATTAATATTAGGGAACAGAAAACTAGTAATTAACGGTGCTGTCGGTAACATCCTAATACGCAATGGCCTTAGGCATTGTTAAATTTGCGTGCACTTCAGTAAGTTTCATATTCATATCAATCGGTATTGTCATAAATGTTCGCTAAAAAACCGGGTAAATGAAGTGAATCCCCTTCCGAAGTTACACCATTCACTATCTGTTAACCACCGAGACCATTATCTTCAGAGGTAATCGTGGGTGGTTCTGATTTTAACGTTAGCGTCAGTCCTTGTGTTCCATAGAAAGAGGTCAACTGGCGTTAGGATAACTAGTTGAGTTCGTGGCCGAATTTGTCCAGTAGGCCTCTACAGTTTTAGTTTTCTGTGATATCGTATTGAAATCCATGTACAGTACAGTTAGGAAAATGGTGCAATACGCATCGATATAGCCCTGAGATCAGTCAGCCGTCTTCTTAGAATAGCTATCCCCTCTAGTGTCAAACCCCTTCCCCCTTTCAGTACACTGGTATTGGACTCAATAGTTACTGTATTGATAGATGGACTGAAGTCATTATAAAAGTCGTGGACAATAAGCATACTACCGTGAACATCTACAGTATAATTTAATGGATGACATTCTTTTTTTCTCGACGTATTAATCAGAAGAATCATAAGGTAATAGAATGTGACCTGGACGATTTTATCCAGACGTGACCGACAATGATCATGTGGTCCTACCGTGTACCTGTCTAGTAATGTTATCGACATTTTTGGTCAACCCATTAAATAACGTCCCTACTTAGTATGAATAGTGTTGTCATTTGGTTTTACTTACATGCATTAACGATAGTAACTTTAATCGAAATTTTACTTTCTGCACAGACAGCTCTAATGAATCTGTAATTTTGCTGGAGAGACAGCACTTGTGAATCTTTAACTTTCTAGAATTTCGTAATGAAGAAGAAAACACGTGTACTGTACTTTAGACATGATCTTGACCAGGTCGTTTTATTGTAACATCTACTCATAAACATACCACACATACAAAATGTCTACAGGACATCGAAAGTACAGCGGTAACAATCCCTGAAGTATGACATTCTGGAAAATGATGGATATTACATACTACAAACAAAACACACAGACACTCAAAATTAAAGGTGGGAGGCATCACTTTTCACAGGGAATAACACAGTTTGTCCTTTTGTTTCTCAAAATTCACTCTGAATAAAAGTGATGATCGAGGACAGTTTGTTTAAGCCAACACCTGAACAGAGATCAATTATGGTAGAATCTTCATGCCTGTGCGTAGCAGTGTGTATAGTGAATACTTCACAATGAACATGTGTTGAGCATGTTGTGTTTTCTATTTTCGTTGCACTGATTGCTATATCGAACATAAAAACTACATGTAACGGAGCAAATTTCTAGGGCGACATTTTCAACATTACAAAAAAAAAGTCTCAACTAATTCTTGGCTTAATTCAGCAATATCAAGTCATTTGGTTTTGATCACGTGACTCAACCTTTCCAGTCAACCTGTTCCTGCATAATTAGAACATGACAAAGTGTACAACGTCATCAGAGATGTCATGATAAAAAAGGTAGCTATGTCAGTGTTCTGTCAGAGCCAAGATATTTTTGAGCTGCCAGCTGAAGACTGTGATACAATTAGTGTGAGTAGGCTTCAAAACTGAAATAATATACAATTCAAGGAATGCAATTGGCAACATGATGCAGTGTATTTTAACATTTTTGCAATCATGTAAAATTGTTTATTTTTTTTTTGTAAAGTCTCAATTCACCCAATCATTTTCATAAAGACTACAATTAAAGTAAACGGTAATATATGAGCTTGATAAAAATTCATTTTAATTTCTCAGACTTTTACAGCACTTCAACTTCTCAATAACCAAGGTAATTCCACTGTACATTTCAGTACAAAAAGTGTTCAGTAACTTTAACATGGACATACAGTTTTGGTATCGCACAACACAACAAATACTTTGTGTGTACATTATGCATACATTGTCTGTCATACAGCGATGGGATCTCACATCCCACATTTTATACCTTAGGTAAAAACACTTAATTAATATTACAGATTGCAAATTAAACTGAAAACTTGTGTAGTTATGACTAAATAAAGATCATAGGCATATTAAATGTTGATCAGCAATTACAAAAGTCATTTTTATTTGACAATTATGAAAATACAACAGGACCCTGCATCGATTAGTCTCTCTAGCTTATAGTTTCACACTTAAACAGTGGTGAGTGGTGTACCTCAGGGCAACAAAAATTACCTGTATAAGGGTACTGACAAACACAACACTTAAAATTTACCTGGGTATATGTTTCTTTACAAAATGATAGAAAATTTGGAGTAACACTAATAAAATTTCCTTTCTGGCTGAATCATATTTTAGAGAATTCATATCTGTGACAAAAAGAGACATTCATTCAATGTTTGCATATTAACATGATATATATAATGAGCATCTGTACGCTATGACTGTTTTTTATGAACCACAATAGAATCACACATCTGTGCAATAACACTGCACAATGTGTGCACTGAGCAAAGTATGTCCAGTTTTCCTATAATGCATATGTCATGCGCACACAGTATATTGTGTAACATTGTGCGATCCCACAACTGTAGCAATATTAAGTAACGAGTGAGTGATATTAACTACATTTAATACACATCATAAAACTGGTTAATAATCAAACCCATTCCATCTACAATACCTAATTATCTTGACACAATTTTCAGAATTGGTTTTGATCTGGAGTATTCACAATTCACAAATATATATTTCCCCATGGCAACTGTTTAACAAACAACACCTACTTGTTACACAAAACAAAATCCAACTACCAAAATCAGTGAAAATTCTGTATCGCATCAAATCGCAATTAAAGTTTGTTATTTCCAAGGCATTTAATAGCAATCAAATGAATGAGTCCATTCCTACCAAAAAGTGACCAAGCTATAATCACTACAGCATTTTTGATGTTCAATTTTGTTAATTATTATATAGTTCAAATTGAATACTTACAAATATGATCAAGTTCTAACTGTCATTTGTATCAATTCATTTTGCAACTTTGTGCTTTCTGCTCAACATTTTTTTATATCATATAAATTAAATTTTAAACACCATATGTGTGAAAGTCTTCATATTGACTTCTTTTAAAGAAAGCAAACTTTCCCTTGTTATGAAGCATGCCTGTTGAATATACACAAAAGTTTTGGCATAATATTCTTGGGTGAAAAAACAATCAAACATATCACATTAAAAATGGAATTTCTTTTTGCATTAAATACATCATCTAGAAACAGTATAAAAAACCTTTTGCATAAGACCTTTTGTTCTGTAAAGATTCTTGTGTCCACATCTTCTTTTCAAGAAGATCTCACTCTCTGATGAATCTGAAAATGAAGAATTTCAAATATCACTCGATTGTTTTCAGCAAACATGATTAACAGAACAATTTTCATTTAGCAAGTACATACTCTTAAAGACAAGAAAATGGCCATGAAACATGAATCCCATGCTTCCGAGCCTAAACATTCCAATGTTTAATTAATTCAAAGAAGCTGTCAAATGTGACCTCTGACCTTTTTAACCTTGACTGATATTCAACTTATTAATATGATGAAGTATAGGACTTGATGTGATGATAGTTTGTGGTAAATATGAACCAAATACACAATATTAAGAGGTTCTCTAGATATGGCACTGAAGTGACAGGACAGGACTTATAGGCAAACATCTGTAACACTATATATCCCGTCCTCCAGACAATATTAAATGACAGGGTCATACTCCAAAGTAAAGTGGATGATAAAGTATTTCACGACAGTTAATGATAATGATTGTGATAAAACTAAAATTAAATATCTAATATACCAGGGTAATAATGATTTACCTTATATCAGAGATATAATGTACTGATTTAAGATGACAATGTACACAATGAAAGGAACATAATTGTTCTGTGAACTTTTTTATTGTGATTTTGTATTAAGATTTGGCTTTGTTTCCTGAGTTGATGAAATCTTGTTAAAACGACAACTGAAGTTAACACAGAAGGAAACAAGACTTCTTGTTTTACAGTCCAATATTATTACCTCTTCTCTCACACCTCTGATCTTTACTGCACTTTCATTCTCTTTGGACTTGTCACACTACGTAAAGCTCCATAAAAGTAATGGAAATTCTGAAAAAGAAATAATACAAGAACATTAATATTTTAAATACAGATCCAAATTAAAAGCGAGCACAGCAGAATTCTTTTCAAAACAAATATAAACAAACGTTAAAGATACTGAATGCAGAAAAAAAAATGGAAACCTACCAATACCACAAAGTAAACAACAGCTAGGTAACCAACTATCCCCATGGCAAGGAACAAGTCAAAAATGGCTGGTTTCACACTGTAAAAGTGATAAAATTGAACATAATTACAAATTCAGCATGATATACATAGATTTCTATCAGAGCAGTCAAACCAGTTTTTGGAATCCCTGAAGGTAATCCAAGAAAACAAATGTAAGTGTGTAATATTTATTTTTCATTTATTAAACTGGGACCTTAATTAAAAGGGGTGTTTGGGAAATATATTTAAGCATCTACTACCTGTCCATGGAAACTATGATTTATGCAAACTCTTTCCAAAATTTAAAATTCTGAACATTTTAGTCTTAAAAACAAATTGAATAACATTTCAGATTCTGTTCTATCTATACATGAATTGAAAATGTAATAAATTAATTTTACTAAACAATAACCAGGTATACTTACTTATATGCACTCATTTGATAGGTAGCACCATCATAGAACATAAATTCTGGATCTCTGTAGGTAAAAAAGGCCGCCATATAACATCAACAATATCAATATCTACAATGGCTTTTGAAGTTGTAACTCAACAATGACTGTTTCAGCTATCAAATGATTATGACTAGCACTCCTTTATTACATGTAGAAGTGAAGACTGAGTAAAATAAGGCAAGTAATATCAGCATTAAATTTGTTTAATAGTAGTTTATTTCTGAGAATTCATACATTTTTTCTTGTTTTTATTATCAAATCAATGCAATAGCCTTAGTTGCATTCTTAATTTTATCCAACTCAAATGAAATCTTAGTTTTTTGAAACCTTTTATCAGCTTTCATGGTTGTACGACGAACATCCTTCAGATAGCGGTTCATTGTTTCCTCCAGTGTACTTAGCAAACTGCTGTCCTTGCCGAGGAGTTGCATGGCCCGAGGTTGAGCAGTGAGTTGGTCAAGCCAGGCAGACACCAGACTCTCTTGGACATCCTGTCAGACACAAATTATACCTATCAATGTTAAGATGGTCACTTTTGGTTTGAAAAATGATCAACAGCTAAGTATTTTTCTAGCTCAAGTATAAGTCTATACTTTGAGTTGTTCATGCTCACTTACAGCACAAATCTATCACTCCTGTGTGATAATAAAATCTAAAAGACCTTTGAAAAACCACACATACTTCTGAACCTCAAACATCTTATCCAGTGAGAGATTTCCCTGCCCATAAATCCTTACAGAAGGGATGTACCCTGCCTGACAAATCAAGTTAGCAGTAATTGTAATATTGGACCAGTATTTCATAATCAAACTATGCCGTAAGCACAGCTATTCCTATGTAAACCAGAACAGTATTATGGGGTAAATATGAACAAAATTTATTGTTGGGTATAAACTGTTATCTTATGTGAAAAACACCAAAGACACATCATGCACTATTGTGAGGTATAAACAGATTTCCTCCAAAATAGTGAAAGATTCACCACTTAAAAGAGGGAGGAAAATTATTTTCTAGTCAATTCAATGTTTATTGCTCTTTTATAAATAGGGAGTAAGGTGAAGGCAAACTAAACAACAGATTCAAATAAAAGAAGAGTGTCAGTGAAACTGATGAATGCTCCCTGAAATTAACTTTATTGGACACAAATTTTTAATAAAAGGGCAATAACTGACTAATTAAGGAGTTGTGAGCCCTGAATTTGCTACATTGCAAATTGTCTAATTATGATCAATGTAAACACCAATTTTTGCTATTCTAGTGTATACGTAAGCCAAGTTATGCTCCTGACACGATATTATCACAAAAAGCAGTAATTTTGTAATCAAGTGGTGGAGGGTTCTCAATTTTGTACAATGCACATCCCCTTAGCATGACCATAGAATACACCACGTTTTATGATCCTTACTAAACTGTGGGCACCCACCCATGCCCCCATCTGAAAATTTTAGGAGGAGCAAAATAAAATTAAAAGTTCATAATTATAAGGATATATTAATCTTACTTAAAAATATCAGAGAAAAATAATTTGAAACATTGTCTCAATACTTTTTACCACTGCCTAAGTGACCATAAGGTCAATGACATAGAAGTGCTTGGCATCAGAATACAGAACACCTAAACACTAACCAGTGCGTCTGTGAACAGCCTGAGGTTAGACTGGTTTGTCAGGTTATACAAGTGTCTAGCAAGGCTTTCTGCTATCACACGGATGTTTTGGCTTAATTTGTGGCTGTCAATCTTGTCTCTAAAATAAACAAAAAACATGCACTCTTTAAAAAAACACTCTTTTAGAAAAATACCTGTGTGTGAGTATTGGGAAATAATTGCTATTTTGCCTTGATTTTTGATTCACTATTTTTCCATTACTCCTCAGAAACCTGAACAATGCTTTCTTCATCAGCTCTAGTTTTTTCCCCTAGGTTGTTTCTTTCTTTTTCAATTTCTGTTTCTTTCTTTTGTACTGACAACATTTTGTTACAAAATAAAAAAATCACTACATATTAGTAAACAAGATTATTTCTATGAGGAAAAGTACATGATCCATTCCAATTGAAGAATATAATGGGATTCGCGGTCTATGACATATTCTATCAAATTCTTTCAAACTTAAGTACTCTTCAGTGTAAAATAGCTGTTCACTATTCTGATATAACACAGCCCCTTCTCCAACTGACCTTGTATCTAAGATGGTAGTCTTTTCTGGTGATTTATGAGACTCCAGATGTGACACGGTGAATGCTGGAAGACGTTTAACACTGAACCGTTCATGTTCCCAAGATAGCATTTCATCAGCAAGGTTGATTTTCTTGTGCACCATTCTGAAGGATGTTTCTGGGAAAAAGGTCTTAATGACATCCTCAAGGTTCTGTAAACATTTAAGAATTATGTTAAAACATATTTCCAATTAGATTGTGGTTGCAATGTTATCAGCTGATTATGGGATATTGTAAATTGTATTGTTCTAGGAGTAATGTGCCATTGGATGCTATAATTTATCTGCAGTTGGTCAGAAAATTCTTTACTATTATTGTAATGTAACAAGAACAGTATAAAAACTGTAACTGAAGATCCAATCTGATAAGTTACTTCCTCCCACAACAATGTTTTTGTTAAATCAATTGGGTTGTATACATAAATAATATACAAACATACATAAAGTTTCTAATCAAGTACACAAATAATTTATGTTAATAATAACAACTACAATATTAGTATACGATTTGTGAATTGGGATATTTTGGATGTGGTTACATTTCAGCTTATTTGTCATCTGTATGGAAACATTTTGTGGACTGTTTTCCTACTAAATGTGGGCTACTCAATAGGATATAGACTGATACCATGTAAAATAGCTCAATAATTTTTCATGGATCAAATTCTTTAAATGTGACTAAGTGTAGTCAGCTAACATATGCCTCCAAACGACCAAAGGAAAAAGAAATTATCAGAAACCAATTACTATCAATCACAGCCTGATACTGCATTGTGTATCAACTAAACTTTCAGATTAACATACCTTTAAAAAGGTGTGTCCTGGTGTGCCCTCCTTTGGGGGTTTAGAGACGTGGAGGAAGAGCTCATCAGAGTCCCCCACACTGTCCAGACAAAGCACATATGCCACATCTGTTAATAAGTTACTGTCTGTGGGAGCAAATCATCACAACAAAGTCTTAAAAACAAGTTTATCCTTCAATTGAATTTTAAATATCTACAGAACAAAATGAAAATGTATCTGGAAAGAGAGGTAAGCTTCACCTTATCCTTTGTGTCTTTTATACCAGGTTTTGCTAGCACATATATATATATCAAGACTTTCACAGAATTTGTTCAAATAGTTAAGATCAAGAATATATGCTTAATATTTACATGGTTTTAAGTTGTAAAACAAATCAATAACGCATCACAACTCTAATTTTTCTCATTGACTAAGGTCTTCAATTGTAACATAATGGCACATGTCTCATTAATAGACTTTTTTGACAATGTTAACTCCTACTTGAATACAAATAATTTACAGAAATCATAATCTAGTGAACTGACAATATTGAGAACTCATAATCTAGTGAACTGACAGAAGGCAGAACTTGATCTTCTATCATATTATATATACCTGGAGAGTCAATGTTGTCCTCTATCCAACGCTTGGTACCCTGGTAGTTAAACTTTCCACCTCCAGACAGAAGGAAGATGAGGTTGTATTTGGCATGAGTACGGGAATTTGTAAACAACTTGGCAAACAACCTTGACAACTCCAAAAGTGCGATCACACCACTACCATTGGAGTCAGCCCCCTGAGAGAGACTCTGTATAAAATCAAAATAAGTGACATTCTAAACATAGATATAAATAATTCTGACAACTATTAACTTCCTACCTTTAACATAAGATCATCATTCTCAGCACTTTCTTTTAAAGAATTTGTTAACTGTCAAGAAGACTAATTATTACAAAAATATCAGTACATATTATCTACAGTAAATACTGATAAGGGAGGCTTAGTCTACATTTACAATAGACAATATCAGTAAAGTCTGAGAGTAGGGTATAAAAAACATGTCTTACAGGCGCCACACCAAACGAATCATAGTGTGCTACAATTACTATAGCGGGCAGCTGCTCTTCTATCCCAAATCCAGACAGGTGGCCCTGCAAAATAGCACCAGACACAAATGTAAAACATTTAAATCATACATTAATATTCAAATATGATTATTTGAGTGTTTTGCTTACAATAAAATTCAAATTGAAACCACCTATGTTTAACGAGCACAAAGAACATTACTTTATGACAAGGTAATGACAATAATGTTTTAAACAAAAGGCTCATGTGCCTTAAAAGCCATATGACTATAAAGACCTATATATGAAAGAGGCCAAATAAAATAAATTGCTCAGTTACTCTATAGCTTACAAAGAAGACACTGTTGGGTCATAGAAACATTTCTGCAAACTTGAAATCATATTCTTTATACATACTGCTACATTAATGTCATTACTCTGAACCTATTGCTAGTCAAAAAAGTAATTTTTAGATCTCAAATAACTGAATAGATCTTGATTATCAAGGTCAATTATTTGAACAAAGCAGCAGCCTTCATCCACTTATATTAAGGAACCAATAACAACAATATGCACCTTTTTATTATTAAGAGATCGTTTGAAGATTTTAACACATTTGACCTCAGTGAGCTTTAAAAAGAGAAAATGTCAATTACATGGACCAAATAGGTAGCTGTTCATCCCAGCATGCTACAGGACCAATTTCAGTATCCTGGCCCTTTGGGTTATTGAGAAGAAGCTGTTTAAAGATTCTACACATTTGTCCCATGTAACCTTGACAGTATGCCAAGATCAATATTATGAACTAACTTGGTAGCCCTTTGCCCCTGCAGGCTACAGGCCCAATATCAGCACACTGGCCCTTTTCATTAGAGAAAAGAAGTCTGTGCAGTGGGCTTACATTGATTTGATAAAGAGAGGTTGCTGGTAATAGCAAAATGCTACTGATGAATCAACAAAGCAATTACTTGCAGGAAGCAATCTTGATCATTGGACAATCTTTTGATTAATCTCAAATCAACTGAATGGGTGGGTTTCTATACTGAATCACTATGTTAATTTCACCAGAGTTTTAAACAATACTTTACCTGTAGGTTTGTGATTTGAAAGTCTGGAAGACTTTTAGACTGAGCACCATTGACAACAATCTGGAAACCATTGGCAGTAGCAGCACCCAGCAAAGCTATAGCAGAAATAAAACAGGTAAGTCTTAAATAAACTAACCAAGATGTTGGATACTGAAGTGAAACATCAACAATTTTTAAAAAAGAAATAATGAAAAATATATGTCTAATTAATTATTTAATGGCCTGTCAAATAAACCAATAATTTAGTAACAAAAAAATACAGCAGAAACTTGACCTTTTTCCAATGTTTGGCTGTATAGGACTCTCACATTTGAACTAAAAGACAATTACAAAATGTTTTGTTGTGTTTAACCAGAGAACTTTGATGTCTTTATTTTTACATTGACACAAAACATGTTTGATTGATTTAGTATAAATCCACCAACCATCAACTGCAGTATTTGCCTGGTCTCCAGAACTGCTGGTCTGTAGATCAGCATGGATCTGGATCAGGTCATCTGTCTCTGGCGAAAAATACACAGGGACAGAAGTATCCTCGGACAGAATGTCCCTTTCAAGGACCTCCAAGTTCTGGTGAAACAAAATAAACACTAGTTAGTCATATATTTATATGTTATGATACTAGTACCTGATATCTGATTGGAACCAGATATTACAGTACTGATATATAACTACTGGATTCCATACAAACTGTCACATGCAAATAACTGCATTAATAAGATGTCATTTGCTCAGTAAATCAATGCATCCAGATTCAAGCTTAACAAGTCTGGTACAAATGTATATATGATACAATTTTCAAACCTAGCTGTTTAACACAAATATCACTGTCCAAGTCAATTACCAAGTTTAATAACATCACATCAACATATGGAAACACTTCAGACGGTAGGTAACTTTTAACACCTCTCCAGGTCATTGATCTGGCTCGGAGTCAAACTCTCCTGAAGTCTAATCTTTAAGGGAATTTTCATATGATACGTATAGTATGCATGACCTAATGTACAGGAAAACTAGCATACTGATATCAGGTCTAACCAAGGGGTATTTCATATATGACAAAAAAAATATGACTTAAACGGATTATACTTGTTTGACTTTACAGAATTTAAGTCTGAGAAAACCAGTCCCAAAATGAATCAGAAAATTTCATAAGAAAAGAACTTCCAATATTTTAATGGTGTAATGTATTGATACAGAATAGAAGTTTTTGCCATCACTAGCACTACAATAAAACAACAACCATTTCAAAACTAGATACATTATACAATGTTTAACAAAGACAAGAAGCCTAGAAGCCCTGACAGTCACATGTGGTAAGCAATATTGAAAATAAAGGTTATATTGTAAATACCTTTCAAGTGTGACAAAAAAGAAATAGTGACATTGATAAGAGTAAGACTTAAAGAGACATGATTTAAGCTCCTGAGGGTCAGCCAGTGATGATTTATGCATACCAATAAAACAGTCATCCTTAACTAAAGATTCTTACAGTTATTTCCGATAGAAATTAAACAAATCATGCTCAAAAATGTATTTTCCTGTATAAAACATAGTAATCTTTACTCCCTCTCCAAAGGGGAAATGTGACACCATAAGGCCATAAAATTCACAGTTTTGGTAAGCACTTTAAGACACTTCCATCCATGAAGAGCATTTGATTCTACCATATCTGGATGTTGAGGAGAAGCTTTTGAAATCTGAGTCAGTCTGACTCCTTTTCTGACCCCCCACCCATCAGCTCTCGTGGGGTCAGACAGGATCAATATATGCATACCATCAAACTGTCTTTCTTTGCTCAAAATTCCAATAGTATTAAACAAAAAAAGTTATTGGTAAATTAAAACAGTCACAAAAATATTCAAGACATTCCTCTTTTGAGTAACTTCTATGGAGATCAAGCTACTTCTCACCAGAATACATGTATCTTGTAATCTATAGTTCTTTACAAAGATTACCTTTCTTTCTTGCTCTGTGATATCTGTCAGATTCCTGGGGAGGAGGATCATCAAAGCCCCAGCATTCTCTTGGATCAAATCACGGTACCTAGAGATGGAGATTTCTTGAAGACGGACAATGATGCAACGCCTGGTGATCATCTTAGCATCAATTGGTCTGGCTTCCATGTTCACAAGTGCACTCTTACAGCCTATCAAATACAACCAACATTCTTACAAGTTAATTTCCACCGTAATGATGTTCTGTTTAATGATTGCTATTTATGACCTCTACACATGCAGAAGAATATAGGGTGCATTCATCCTCTTTTCTTTCGTGAAAGCTTTACTTGGTGAAAAAATCAACTGTATAACTTAATGATGAAATTATATATAAGTAATCCTAATATCATCTCTCGTTTTGTATGGCCTTCATACACTCGTCAGCCGACCTGCATCTTACCCCAGCAATACTATATTTTACATAGAACGTCCTGTGTCAAAATTGTAATCAAATATAACATAGAAATATAATACAATAGCATGTCAAAAATACGAGGAAAAAACATAGCCCCACCCTAAATAAACAATGCCACGACAGCCCCTGGGCCCCTACCGTAATGTGTTCCGTGGATGTCGTACTGTTGCATTCGGTAAGCCGCAAATTCGTGTGCTGCATTCACCGGACTCACTGGGGAAATTATTATGAAGATCGGGATGAAAAATAGAAACGATAATGGAAAACTGTTCTTAAACATCTCCAGAACATCTCCTATGGTGTCCAGAACCATTTCGAAGGTTGAATAACCGCTTTACAAGCGGTTACAAGAGTCGGATATCACTGAGCTATCTAAGTGGAAAGATGACCATGTGTGTCAGAACGAGGTCGGAAGAGCGTTACGAAGGGAAACAACTCATGTTAACTGTTTCATTTTCACCGAGTGTGAGGTTGCAAAACACCAAATATCTGTCGATGGATCCTCACTGTACTAAAATGTACAAAGATATATGTGAATAAATATGTGAGTTATAAAGAACAAAATAGCTATTAATTAAAGTTACAATGAATAAGTTAATAGATTCCTATTTGAAATTATGAAAACAATTCAATATATATTCACAGGGACGCTTTCCTATTTGTAGACCTATTAAACAATATTGGAATGCAAAAGCGGAACTGTTACCTGAATATGAGAACGTGTGTTTACAACTCTTTAGAAGTTGCTGACAGCGCCATACAAATAGGATCGTTTACAATAATATAGAATAACTTATTTATATGATTCTTTATTGCAATAATTTAAAAATTCAGCTTCATGAAGTCACTTTACTTTGCTTCTGAGAATACCTGACGACTCGGATCCTCATAGATGTTTGGCTCCTTTCGATATGGTAGAACTAAATTGAAGCTGTTCCCGTCGCTGCTTACATTGTACATGTCTATTCATTTTAACGATGATTTGTGGTAAGTATTACGGGGCTACAATTAGAACTTGATATGATTTCAGTCGGTCCTGGTGAGCGCCACCTCAGCTGTTTGATACTGTTGTGTAGAATGGTACACTTTGTGTAGTCATGCGACATAAAACATATAACAGCCTCAGTGGTTGTTGGACGTATTTTCTATACAAATACACATACTTTATCATTCTTCCTATCTCTCAGACAGAGCTTTACGGAAGTACAGAGAAGCAAAGACAGGGCTTTACGGAAATATAGAGAAGCAAAACAAAGCTTTACGGAAGTACAGAGAAGCAAAGACAGGGCTTTACGGAAATATAGAGAAGCAAAACAAAGCTTTACGGAAGTACAGAGAAACAAGGAGAGAGCTGTACGGAAATATAGAGAAGCAAGGAAAGAGCTTTACGGAAATATAGAGGAGCAAGGAAAGAGCTTTACGGAAATATAGAGAAGCAAAGAAAGAGCTTTACGGAAGTACAGAGAAACAAGGACAGAGCTTTACGGAAATATAGAGAAGCAAAGAAAGGACTTTACGGAAGTACAGAGAAGCAAAGACCGTGGTTTACATAGGTACAGAGAAGCAAAGACAGCGGTTTACATAGGTATAGGGAAGCAAAGACCATGGTTTACATAGGTACAGAGAAGCAACGACCGTGGTTTACATAGGTACAGGGAAGCAAAGACCGTGGTTTACATAGGTACAGAGAAGCAAAGACAGCGGTTTACATAGGTACAGGGAAGCAAAGACAGCGGTTTACATAGGTACATAGAAGCAAAGACAGCGGTTTACATAGGTACAGGGAAGCAAAGGTTTACATAGGTACAGAGAAGCAAAGACAGCGGTTTACATAGGTACATAGAAGCAAAGACAGCGGTTTACATAGGTACAGGGAAGCAAAGACAGCGGTTTACATAGGTACAGGGAAGCAAAGACAGCGGTTTACATAGGTACATAGAAGCAAAGACAGCGGTTTACATATGTACATAGAAGCAAAGACAGCGGTTTACATAGGTACAGGGAAGCAAAGACCGCGGTTTACATAGGTACAGGGAAGCAAAGACCGTGGTTTACATAGGTACAGAGAAGCAAAGACCGCGGTTTACATAGGTACAGAGAAGCAAAGACAGCGGTTTACATAGGTACAGAGAAGCAAGGACAGCGGTTTACATAGGTACATGGAAGCAAAGACAGCGGTTTACATAGGTACAGAGAAGCAAAGACAGCGGTTTACATAGGTACAGGTACAGGGAAGCAAAGACAGCGGTTTACATAGGTACAGAGAAGCAAAGACCGCGGTTTACATAGGTACAGGGAAGCAGAGACAGCGGTTTACTTAGGTACAGGGAAGCAAAGACAGCGGTTTACATAGGTACATAGAAGCAAAGACAGCGGTTTACATAGGTACAGGGAAGCAAAGACCGTGGTTTACATAGGTACAGGGAAGCAAAGACAGCGGTTTACATAGGTACAGAGAAGCAAAGACAGCGGTTTACATAGGTACAGGGAAGCAAAGACAGCGGTTTACATAGGTACAGGGAAGCAAAGACAGCGGTTTACATAGGTACAGGGAAGCAAAGACAGCGGTTTACATAGGTACAAGGAAGCAAAGACAGCGGTTTACATAGGTACAAGGAAGCAAAGACAGTGGTTTGTGTAAACTTTCCATCTGTATGGTAGTCATAGATACCATTTTCTCTCTGTGTATTGTAAAGGCATTCTTATTTTGTTATATATTCATTTTCCAGAGCAATGAATAGTTTCTTTGAAAATAGACATATAAAACGAAGGACGTTTAGCTTGATTTCCCTGTTTGTTCTGTATACACACGATACTGTAATAGTATTACCGTTATAGTATTAATTCTCACGAGTAGTGAACGCACCTGTTGATATAATTAATGAGTTAATTAGAATCACAGTTCATGCTGGAGTCTTACTGCAATACTGAACACATTACATGAATATTTTCACTCATGACTTAAAATGTAATGACCAAAGTATTCTATATACATCAACACCTTGAATCCCAACTCATCTTAAAGAGGAGAGTACTAACTCTGATTAAAATCAGTCATATTTAAATAAATCCGGTACAGGACAGTGTGCTGTATAGTTAACAGGATGCTGAAACTCTCCTCCTATTTCCGGATTAGGCCGAGCAGTGCGTGTTTGGTTGTTAACGATAGTTTGTTAACAAGTCTTTAACACGCATGTAATATAACATGAACCTATTTCCGTATCACGACATATCGTTATCTGTTACAGATTTTTTACACTGGTAACAATAGCTTTTAAACATCAGTGTCCATTCATCAATATCCCGAATAGTGTTTTATTAATGTATAATGAAATAGACGAGAGTAAAAAATTGTTTCAATTGACGTTGGCATTTCTTAGTGATAAACTTTCCTTGATATGTTCGGGAGGACGAGATCTGATGTTTACATCCTCAATCATACCATATAGACGTTTGGAAACGAAAGATGGGATGCAAAGCTGAAGAGCAAAACAGACGTTTTCATAGTCTCGTATCATACAATTTCAGAAACGGTGCTATCGAACTTAGTGTAAAAAATATTTTTGTCTCGTTCGTCACTGTTGTTTAGAACTGTAATACAATATCTTGATAATGTAAACAAGATATACAATGGACCGATCAGGGAATCAAAAAAAGACACATTTAGATTACTTGTGGATCTCGGTCAGAAAAGGGCCTGACGTTTTGATGTATGTAACTGACGAAGCTTTTTTTGTGGTTTCCGAAAGGAATATTAAAATACTAGCATCTTCGTTGCTGAATGCTGTCCATTAATGAACAGGCAATGGGTGACACTTCGCGAATCTTACAAACGTCTTTGTGTCTGTGGAATTAATGACAGTAATTTCCAATAACCAAGTGGAATACAGCGTCTTATGTTACATTACGGTTACGAATCGCTTGTTCATGTATTAGACAACTTAATCCCTCATCTGTGACGTCATTACTTATTAAATTCTTTAAAAAGATCACAAGACATTCGGAATGTAATTCCTCTGTATTTAAGATCTTACGAAGAAGACGTTGTAAGAAACAGTTATTGTAATACCGGGATATTTATGCCTTTATACCATTGTACACCAGTTCGCTTCATGTTTATTTGAGAATTATATAAACGTGTTAGACACTGTATGAATGTAACACATTTTCGCCCCCATCCCTGTACATGGGCGAAACCTAAACGGGAACAAAAACTTACCGGTATTATACTGTTAACTGTATATAACTGACATAATAAATATACTTCCATGCAAGACAATGTCACTTTCTGCAAATAGGAACAGCAATACCACAGGTACATCAGGTAAGTTATATCGAAACCACAAAATATGTTTTCAAATTATATAGATTTTTTATTTTTCAACATAGAAAATGTACACATTATATATATCACATGTCCGTAGGCTTCATAATAATTTGTAAACAGCAAAACGTGATAAAATGTCTAACTATGTAACATGACAATAAAATCTCAATGACCGAAAAATAATTAAAAACTGGTTTGTCTGAAAAAACAAGACCACACAATGACGTAAAACTAAGTACATAACAGCATTGTCAAATATGACCTTTAACCTTTTACAAATAGATGCCTTCACTACATATGTATTTAGATGCTGAATGCCCGTATCGTTGGATTGCATCAGCAGGGGTCACGATCCTGCCTCGATGTGGATAATGATGTGCATTCCCGCCATCCATTTGAAGCAGACGACTGTTGATATGATCAGAGTTATCAGGCGTGGAACACCGGGGAGGGCGTAATTCATTCAGGGAATTAAAAACAGGGAACTCTGACCCAGGTGAGTGGTCAGCTTTGATTAAGTTATTGTATACACGTCGATGGCCTGTGCGTTCCCATGGATGTGCGTACAAATTATTCTCAAGATGGCCGTTCGGAAGTTTCTGGTGTTTGTTTTCCTCTGTAATTGTGGGTAGAGATCGTCGACTTTGCCGGCTGCTGTTCCGTCGTACGGCCTGTGTAGTAAGAGCTGAGTTGTTGTTTTTCACTTCCTCCCGTCGTTTTTGACGGTACGCCTGCCACGTGATTGAAGTGACGTCAGACTCTGCCAATCGGTGAATAGTATCTCTCTGCTTAGACCTGGAACAAACGATTTAGCAAATTAAATGTAACAGCTTTCAAGCTGTTACAGAAATAATGACGAGAACATATTGGTCAATATTACTGTTGTGACGTCTCTTAAGGTATGAATCAAGTTTGTGTGTTAACACATATTTATAGCTTATTAAGCATCATCAGATAACAATCTGTGAAACAATTACATCATTAATACCATATACGATGTTATTCAATGAAACCTGGAAACGCCAATACGGATCAATTTTAATAAGTTTTTTTGATAAAAAAAATCTTACAACTTAAAACATGTTAAAGAAAATACCGTTTGATCATCTGTCGACACCCGTAAGTTACTAGCCGTACTAAGAACCACAGCACCTCCAGTATACTGATAGCCGATATCCCTACTAGTATAGCCGATATACCACCAATCTTCGCAATCAGGTCCAACAGCTGGTAGCATAAACAAAATTACAATACTGAGTTCAGACAATGTCCAACAACATGAACAAAATTACAATACTGAGTTCAGACAATGTCCAACAACATGAACAAAATTACAATACTGAGTTCAGACAATGTCCAACAACATGAACAAAATTACAATACTGAGTTCAGACAATGTCCAACAACATGAACAAAATTACAATACTGAGTTCAGACAATGTCCAACAACATGAACAAAATTACAATACTGAGTTCAGACAATGTCCAACAACATGAACAAAATTACAATACTGAGTTCAGACAATGTCCAACAATATGAACAAAATTACAATACTGAGTTCAGACAATGTATAAGGTATCAATTCTATCAAAATCAAAGTAATCAGTAGATATTTCACAATCCTGATTTTAAGTCAATAAGCAAGCTAAAGTAACATTTTTGATGTGTATATTTTTGAAAAATAACACGTATTTGTACAACACATATGAAAATATCTTTATCTTCAAATTTCTATATCCCGTAAATGGTCAAAGTATACTCGCTTATCCCCCTTGATTGTAAGTTAATGATGAGGTCATCTTTCTCACGGCGCTATTTTTTGACATTCGGTGTGTGCCAAGGCGTAAAACTTTGACTGTCTGTATCCGACGACTTAGTGAAAAAAAAGAACGTTTAATCGTCTCTTGCAAGGATTACTTTTCAGTTGTGACTTGTGGACTTTAAAGCATACGCATTTAGCAGACTGAACATCATACGAGTTATTTTCGAGTTATGTCCCCTCCCTTACAATTTGAAGGGGAACGAATAGTTATCACATATAAAGAGGGATTTGATGATAAACACTTATTCAACGAACTGATTTCCTTAAGACAATTAACGAGATGGTTAACTTCGTTACCAGATACCATGGTCTTACCGAAAGCGATGATTCTGTGACTGTTTCCTCCACCATATCCTTAAAGTTTACTGTTACTTTTGTCAAGGAATTCCTGTATGGAGATAATGTATTTATAACAATAAAAATCCGCAAATAACATCAGGATATGCATTTATCATGATGTGTGTTCTTATTTGACCCTATATATTCCTGTGACCTTTTTCCTGAGTGATCCTACTCGACCCTATATATTATTGTGAACTATTTCCTGAGTGATTCTACTCGACCCTATATATTCCTGTGACCTCTTTCCTGATGGATCCTACTCGACCCTATATATTCCTGTGACCTATTTCCTGATTGATCCTACTCGACCCTATATATTCCTGTGACCTATTTCCTGAGTGATCCTACTCGACCCTATATATTCCTGTGACCTATTTCCTGAGTGATTCTACTCGACCCTATATATTCCTGACCTATTTCCTGATTGATCCTACTCGGCCCTATATATTCCTGTGACCTCTTTCCTGATTGATCCTACTCGACCCTATATATTCCTGTGACCTCTTTCCTGATGGATCCTACTCGACCCTATATATTCCTGTGACCTATTTCCTGAGTGATCCTACTCGACCCTATATATTCCTGTGACCTCTTTCCTGATGGATCCTACTCGACCCTATATATTCCTGTGACCTATTTCCTGAGTGATTCTACTCGACCCTATATATTCCTGTGACCTATTTCCTCATTTATTCTACTCGACCCTATATATTATTGTGACCTATTTCCTGAGTGATCCTACTCGACCCTATATATTCCTGTGACCTATTTCCTGAGTGATTCTACTCGACCCTATATATTCCTGTGACCTATTTCCTGAGTGATCCTACTCGACCCTATATATTCCTGTGACCTATTTCCTGATTTATTCTACTCGACCCTATATATTCCTGTGACCTATTTCCTGATGGATCCTACTCGACCCTATATATTCCTGTGACCTATTTCTTATTGATTCTACTCGACATTATATATTATTGTGACCTATTTTTCGATTTAGGGATAGGTTTTATATTCCACCTTATATCATTGTTCGATTTAACACAACAAAATACTTACCTGATGAAGTAATGAGAACTGTTTTGTCCTTGTTGGTATAAAAACTGCTCTATATAACCGATGTTCCCTGGAGAAGGCCAATACGTAGAGGACGCCTCTACATTGTACAAAGATTGGCTGGAAAGAAAGTTTGTACTTTGTAACACAGTAATGTAGTCTGTTGTTATATAACATCTCTAAAGAATACTCATATTTAAGATAATAGATCAGTGATCATGATGTCATACCTGCACTTCTGAAGACAGTCACAACTCAACTTGCCGAGTGAATACAGCTTCTGTACTGTTCGAGCACAGATGTCTGGGGAAAGATAATGAAACATAATTATTCTTAGGGCGAAAGTGTGACTAAGCAGCATGGAAATGATTATACTGTTTTTTTTCACTAATTGCCACTTCAATATGGTTATCCCGAAATCTACTTCACAAAGCAACCATCAAATAATAAAACGTAGCTATGTGTTATCGTCCTGATCCGTATCATGACTATGACTCTTTGACAGAAAAACAATATATTGACAGAATAAACAGTACATGACAACACGATATATGTATTGTATCATGGTTAAGAGAATGTTTGACAGAAACAATATATTAACAGGACATAATGTACATAATGACAGCACAATATATGTATTGTATCATGGTTAAGAAAATAATTGATAGAAATAATCTTAATATACGCCAATCTGTATTGAATGAACACATATGTACCTTCGTTGCAGATTGAATTTTAATGTCGTTACCGTCGGCATTGAAAATGAGCAATTTAGGGACGACATAATTCACAATTTTTTGTCAATTTTGACCATGGAATGCTTCTACAAAATTTCTGAGAAGAAACAAAGAGGTACGTACGACCACAGACAAAAGATGTTCGCCATTGGTCGTAAGATAAACTCGATAAAATTAAAAGACCTGGACATATAAGTTGCTAGTAATTTACTCAAACTTTGTTGTTTAGTGACGGTGAACCACGATCTGCCGAAACACACACTAACGAATACTTACAGTACAATAATAATATTCCAAACCGTACAAGTTGCCTTATTTGCGTTCCTACATGAACGTGCATTTAATTCACGTAATCCGTTCAATGCGTGTATCTAAATATTTAGTATTTCTGTACTGTCGGTGCCAATGCTATTCCTTCAACAGCAGAATGTTGTCTACCTTCTTGCTTCGAGGCGAAACTTTTACAATGACGACGACTGACTTCTGTTCATGTGATTTCTTTATTAAAATGGGAAATTCAACTTTATAGAATTGAAGTTTCAAATCTTTGATAAAGATGATCAACGAGACAGTTCAATGTGGAAAAATTGTGGAAGGAACCGCGAAGAAAATGCACACGTGATCAAGACATCAAATCCATGTCGTCTATGTAAAAAACAACATTATTCTAGCACCGATCGACCACCGAAGCATTTCTGTAATGTTGTCAGCAAACTTACTCTCAAATTTGACGTCCACGCGACACTGTTCTGTTGCCATGACGTCATAAGAGCGTTGACACTGACAGAAAGTTGCTATCGTATCATCAACACATCGTCTCAAACATGCCTATAAAACAACGAGTATAAAAAATACTTGGTGAATAATGCCACTAGAAACGCGCCAACGCCTCACAAAAAAAATCGACGTTTTACATTAAATATTTAAACTTTACAATGATTTATTATACAAGAATACAGCACTCGGATCAGAACAACAATGGGAAATTGTATGATACATCATTTTGAAGTTCCTCCATCAGGATTTAAATCGCACTAGAATGTCAAATTTGAAAGACAATTATATCACGTAATCCACTGTTTTATCATGTGATCTAGTGGGTTATATCGAATTCTGATACGGTGACTCAGTTACAATCAGGGCGTTATATTTCCAGCTGAGCGTTTAGAGATTTGATCAATATCAACATAAACTCTTACTTAAACAGAGCTTTTGTTCAATATGTTTCAATTACTATAATGCCCTATTCTATTGCTTAGCATATAATTTAAATCGATGTTGGGTGTTATTTCTTTATTTACCTTTTTGTCGTACTCTTATTTAAAATGTCTTAATTGTTTGTTTTGTATGTGTATATACAGTAATCTGTCCCATTCGTTTGTTTTGTATGTGTTAATCCTATGTAATCTGTCCCATTCGTTTGTTTTGCATGTGCTAATCCTATGTAATCTGCTCCCTTTGTTTGACCCCCTTAATTGCTTCGTTCTAAAAGTAATGATACTTATACATTGACCTCTATATAAATTTTAAATGAGATGTTGTACCTTTTGAGAGTAAAACTCTTGATGATTGCAGTCGTTGCTTCGGTCAATCCTGGATTTCTAAATAAAATGAAATAATATTTTCATATCAAACAACATCAATGACCGGAGATAAGTTCTACCTATAAAGATAAACATGGTTTCTCCGTCATGAAATCATAGTAATCGTTCTAAATTATATATGTTGGCATTACTCACAATCCTATTGTACACTACATCAAACAACTAATATTGACTTTTATGTTACAGAATGTATTGAAAAAAATATATGAAAACTGATCACAAACATGATTGATAAATAGATATTCAGACAAAAAAGGCGGAAAGTTAAGGACAATCAATACACAAGCTAAATATCAATACGGCATCACAACGCTTAATCAAACTAGATTAGATGGCACAAGTACGTATAGTTTCGAGCAATTGAGAGCAGTTGTGTCTTAGGGTCCTATATAAACTTATGATCAACTGATAAAAATAATGACGGTGCCAGCGATAAAAACACAAAGGGTAATAGTACATCAGTGTAGGTTTACACACAATTTAGGCTATTTGAAATGATATAAAATGTCGCTTTTGTACTTTGATAGTTTAGGAAATTATGTAGGTAACAGTTCAAAGTGCTGTTTGTGTTAGAGATAACTTCATCTAAAATACAAAAAATATCTATACCAAACTGATAGATCTCAACACAGGCAATAAATACATTCAATACGTTCGAGACAAATAATGAATTAAACCGCATCATACCGGTGTTTCTTCGTCAGTAACCAAAAGTAACAATATGCAAGAGCTTGGAGTTAAAAATATCGATACAAACACTACCTTTTGTATGTTGATGAAGACTGCATTGCCGGGTTGAGCGAGTGTGAGGGTTTTTTGACCACTGTCTGTCTCGCCAATATACACATACACACCAACAGAAGGGTTCAGCTCCCCAACTGACTCCTCTGGCTCGGCGTTTAATATCAGAGTTACGGTTTCTGGGGACAGAATAAGTTTTAATTCGACAAGCATTTATTGACAATTATGAAAAACGACATCAATACATTGGGCAATATATATACAATTTTCAAGGTTTGTGAAACGCTTTGTTATACATTGCTATAAATGAGTTATCCTTTACTCTTTCTGATATATTCCAACACATCCTTTCTTTTGTATTTTGTTAATCGGTAGTACTTGTTTGAGTAAAGAACATATTTGTCTCATGATTCTGAAGATATGAACATATATGCATACGTATGTACCTATATTGTTGCCTGGATTTGAAAACGTCACACAGTTTCCTAGGTTTGGATCCTGGTGTTCAGTGAAATACCTGAAAATACAATAGAATATTCTGTGATACATGTGTAAATAAAACTAAAGATGTTTCGCTGTCGTTATATATTGCCAGCAAATAGGGACACAACATGTATTATATTGGCTTGTAGAATAATTCAAATCCACAATGGCTTAGTCATGGTTGAATGGTTTAGAGACGGATCAGTATTGGTCTAGTAGGACATCTCTAGGCGTTGGTATAGATAAACCGCGTATTTTGTATGTACATGAACCATAAACCACGCACCAGCATCGTTAACATGCACAAACAATGACCTCAGGCCTGACCATGAGATCATTTTATTACCAAGAATTCATTCCATTGTATGATGTTCCTGGCAAGAAAAAGTTATGTTTTCTCGTGAATAATGCAAAGGGATTCTGCCACCACCGCATCTGTCAGAGATAGAAACTTCCTTCATGTCATTTTCTACAACCGTAAGGAACATTTCGGTTTCTTTGATCTAGCATCTACTCATAATGATATATATATCAAGCCATTTTATCAGAACCTTATTAATAAAATACTCATTCACAATAACACGATTCACAATTTCTTTATTTGGAATCAGTTAGAGGTCGCCTTTACGTATAAGAATGCAACAACAGGCCAGTTGACAGAACTTCAGGATTTTATTATAAAGTAAAGAATATACTCGGTTTTTTAATGTTTTACATGTCTGTAGACTTCAAATATATTGCACAGAGCGTAGAAAGAGTAATCGTAAGAGAAAACTAAAAGTTTCATTAAATGCAAGTGATTGTGATTCAAAAGAGAAAATATATTATTACACAATATTACTAACATTATCCTCAAATTTAGATGAGATATGTGAACAGTTCAAAGTAAAAACGAGCCTCTTTCGAGTTTCAATGGAAAATGATTGCCACGTCTCTATTAATTAATTTTCTTACAATGACTCCTACTCTCTTTGTTAGTTTCCGTAGGAATATTTTTCGCCGTCTTTTCACTGATTTGAAGTTTGAATTCTTACATGTTAACATTTTCATGTTCGTAAAGAATATAGGGGAACAAGCTGTGTCATCACTTCTTTCTTATCCCGATATCATAATCTAGTGCTTTATGTGATTGTTGATATATTTGTTGTATCATAAATGCATTAAAAAAAAAACAAAAATGGATGAATGAATAAAAACCAGCCAGAATAGATGTCATATCTAACATTTAGAATTATTCCTCTTTACGAAATGATTTTCGCCCCTGTCTGGTTTACTTTGCCGACCCTAAACTTTTGTTGAGTTGTTCGATTTGGGATTTTGACTGATGGTATACGTATACATATACATTGACTGATGAGATAAATATATATTATCATACTTTATGTATCAATAACAATATCATATCAGATTCCGATGACACAAAATGACCCTTTTAACATCACATCTCCATTTAAGAATTTATCGGTCTTTTGACAAATGATCTACTGATTTTTTTGACGCCGGGTATGAATTATTGACAATTATACGTTATTGTTCTTGGACACAAACAATGAAGAGTTGATTGTCACGGTTCGCTCAACACTATGACTAATACAAGGCCCAATTTATGTCCCCTCTTATATCAAATCTTCATAATACTCAGTCACCAATTGTGGTGACTGGATATCTATCTTTCTATAATACCCTTAAAGCGTTCGAGAATACATGATAAATCATTGTATGTACAACATAAATATGGATGAAGCAGATTCTACAACTAAGAACGTTTGTAATTAAACGGTTACTCAAACACAATAGACATATCTGATGGTGTGTAATTGTTTACTGAGTGATAAAGACATTGATTCTGTGATACAGAAATTTGGATCTGACACACCTTTATAAGCAGGCCAGTGTGCGAAAAACAGACTGTCTCAGGTGTATAATGTAAAAATGTAGATGTATAGGATCACTAAGAGACACTTGCGACAGCTTTAGCTATATATTTCAGTATTTTATAGGGTATATCATAATTAGCTATGTCTTTTATTTGGGATAGTTATGGCTGTTTTCTTGTCAATTAACAATACGATATTAAGTTACCTGTAAGTCAGGTTAGCGATGTCACTGAAAAATCATGCACGCTAACCCCATTTTTGTTTACTTGCATGAGGAGGAAACCTAATCAATGTATTGTTTTATTTTTATGTTTATTCACCCCTCTAATATGGAAATTTTCACTTGCATATAGCCTTTATCTGTTATTCTTTAAGATTTAGAATATGATGTGGATGTGGTTCCCTAACAAATTCTGCTGGTCCTGCTGAAATTATTTCCTTTGAGCCCAGACAAAATAATTAATAATTGGTATGAAAGAAATAAATACACGTGTAAACTAAAAGAAATATTCGTATCGCAAATATCGAAATGTAATTCAGAATTCTTTGGTGCTAGTTATTACAGTCTTCATCCGTGTAATTACTCCTTCATTGTTTATCAATTACATCAGATCTGTAGTCCTTCACTAGTTCATCAATACATGTAGCTGAATATTGACCGTAATCATAATAAAGGAAGCACCAGTTGATCATCAAATGACACCTTTAAACAAAATTTTCCACAGTTCCGTTATGTTCTTTAAAGTGATTATGACTTTCCGTATGCATAAGCCTTCGATAAAGCTAAATACGTCATTAAACCACATGGGTGCACTAAGCACGAGCCCGATAGGTAAATTAGGTATACCATTATCGATTGATCCGTGACTTTTTGTATCCATCTGGGTAAAAGATGGCCAGGTGTTGAAATCAGTTGCGGTTGCGGGGGGTTTCTTATTTAATCGTGATTTTGATTTTTCAATTACGGGAAATATTTTGTCCACTTGGGTGCTATGATATAAAGAAAAGTCGCTCTTTTGTGATTTCATCAACTCTAAACTTAATCCAATTAAATTTGGGATGTTTCGAAGAATATTCATTTACATGTACAATTATAGTTTAAATTATTCTATAACTTTTTAGACAAATAATTCACAATTCATTTATTTAACTTCAATTTGGTTGTACTGCCAACCGACTACTAAGATATTTGTCTAAATGAGAAAAATCCACGGATCTTCCGTTGTGAATTCGTTTGGAAGGTGACAGTGATAATGTGATATAACTAGCCTGGGATACTGTTTAATGATTCAAAACGCCTATAAAACAGGCAAATCTAGTACATTGTTATTATGGTCTAAGTCAATAACAGAGTGATTATATTACGATTTGTAATGTTAAGTGGACAGTAAGTACGATTCATACGATGACAATGATAAATCATATTATGATGACACAGTAATCATTTCTAGGGCTGTGCAGAGGGCAAATGTAAAGTAATATTTTATTCTTTCAGTTGTATTGTGGCTGTAATAAAGGGTGAGTTAGTGGAAGATATTGGAACCCTGGCGTGGTATAACATACATTGGTACAGGCAGACAGTGATACATTTTTGTAGGAGATGAACGACACAGAATCTGAGTGAGACAATTGCAGCTCAGTGTCAACGCGTCGTGCGACTTACTGTTTTTAAATAAATAAATGGATAATTACACAAATGGATATTAGATGTAATCCTGTCAGTGTAGACAGGAAGGTTCGTGGACTAGTTTTCTGCTTAACCCATTCTTTATATGCAGACAATGATGTTATAAGATGTCTATTACTGCCTACTGTACGACTTGGTGCTCTCTCACGCCACCGTTTGGTGATAATTGTGCCCTTCACTTAGATCAAACTCGGTTTTATTGTTGTGGCTATATCATCAAAAACCATACTCTTTTTAAAACTTAATATTAAGGTCTACTTCTAAAATTTAAAAATTTACTTAGCATACATGTCTTTTCTATCCTGATTAATTTAAATCGCCTCTCTTTTCTGAAATTTGTCGAATCATCGGCATGAACAACAATGTACCATTATGTGTGATTCCGTGGAGAAATGTAAAACCTGAATTATGTTATTGTGTAAGTAGTCACGTCCTATTGTGTCGTCCTGTTCAATGCCCACCATTTATTTGTAGGTGTCCTTAAACATGTTGGGAAAGTCTAGCTTCCTGTGTTGTATTCACACATAATACATTACATGTGTGCTTAGCAACGTCTGTCTTATTCAACTTACAATGTTTACAAGTAAATTCCTTACTTACAATGTCATATGTTGTTTTACATATGAAATAATGTATGAGATATTTTAGAGAAATCGAAGGACATTGGTGATATTTAAAACATTATCACGGTCTAGTTTAATCAAGGATTAAAATAACTATAATTGGTCGACCTGACAGATTTAGACTGACCAAGTACTTACAACATGACCTTGGTTACGTTTATCATGTCGATCTGGCCACCTATTATCTGTTAAATACCCACCTTAATGACACACATTCTAGCGCTAATTACCGGTAAAGCTCCCGTTTTAGTAGGAATTACCAGATAATGGTTTACATTAATCTGAAACTGTCTCGGTAAGACATGTGATACTATAACGATAGACCTCTCTCAAAGTCGCATTTATTATATATATATACATATATACTCTTTAGATACAGAGAAAATCATGACAGACAGAACATTATGATTGATAAACGAAAAATCATAAAGAATTTTGCAAGTCTTCATGCATTTAGTTTGGTATCGATAAAATGTTAAGTGCAATATACAAAGTGAGATATGGTTGATTTTCTGATAGGATGCCTGGTACATATGTATTTCCGTTCTTGTAAACCGCTTTTAAGTTTTGCTTACAACGATTCACGTGGCAAGGCTTGTCAATGAAGCAGAAGGCGTTTACCCTTCCGAAACACCTGGTCTTAATATTAAAAAAAAAATCTTCAATTTTTACCATCGTTTCTTAATTGGAATTCTGAAATTCTGTTGACATATATCGATTTTATCCAGGTCTTTTCAGCAAAATATAGTTTTGGTTTTAACGTATTGTCATTAAGAAGATATGTTTTCAATGACTTGTACGTATGAAATATGTACTCACGCCGGAATAGGTGGAAAATATATACATCCTGTTGGTAAAGCATTTTGCAAGACATTTGGAAAAAAACCCGCTAATCAATTGAATGACAATAAATTGAAAACAGCGCAATAGTATCGGTCCTATTCTGTATATCTTATGTTCACTAAGACAATCCTGATAATTCGGACAATCTTTCCAGCGACCGATCGTGGTCAATACAGTAACTAGACTGTAACTTTAGGCTGACAGCTGCCGTGTGCCTGTTTTGAATATTCGCCATATAAGATAAACAAATGTTGAAAAGGTTATAAAAAACTTATAAACTTTTTTCTCGAGGACTTGTAGGTTAAATGTAACTATTCAACAATTAGACTGGTTGATAATCTGATGCTTCATAAGAGACCATAACACAGACGCAGTATTTATAAACAAATATCACTTCAAATCAATATAGGTTAATCTAGTCAGTAATTTTTAAGGTATACATAGGGCGAAGCTTAAATCACGTTAGGAATGTTTAAAGTGACATGGTACTCTCGTCATTAAGGAGTGCACGTTTTTACAGCTGAATGTTAATTATTTCAAACATTTTAATCGTTGTGTAGAAATTTAATACGATTAATATTGAAAAAAACGTGTTAATGTGCCAAACCGCATAAATATGGTGTTACAGTCGACGGAATGGAATGTGTCGACCTTTATGAAATACTGCCGATCACAATATCAACCAAGTTTGATATATAATGATACTGTTCATTAGAAGACATATATATTTTAGCTTTAATTTCAAGAGCTTGGCGCATTGTTTGGCACATCCTCAATATATGAAACAGAAAACAATGTAGAGTTATTGACCCTATGTTTGAAGTGCCAAAAGCATTACAATAAAGTCTGTACCAGATCTTTATTAATCTGTGATTGTTTTCATTATACTTAAATCTAACACCTTGTTTCTGTCAGATTACCAACAAAACCAACAAAGAGTTACCAACATACCAAGAGAATCTTAATTCAAACTCAAATTTGATGAAATCTGGACAAAACATAGCTAACAGAAATATTTATACAGTGACCCATGAAAAATTTGTTTGGTGAAATAATGTCAAGTTCCAAAATGAGAAGCACAAATATGACGACCGTAAAACTCCCTATAATCTTTATCAACCTGCATCTCTCAAAATCCTATTTCGTCATTTTAAGCCTTTTCAGTACAGTGATGTTAGCCGCCGAGGTGTGTGAATCGTAAACGCAGATCAAAATATGTAGAAACATAGGTTTAAATATGAATGAGCAGTTGCGCCGACCCACAACTGACGAAATTTCTTCAAGTTTTAATATGGGATGATTAAATGTTTATTCTGAATCATCCACTATTCATATGTAATCCACATGCACGTGCAGCATTAGGGTTTAAAATCCACTATGCCCACATTCATTATCCAGCAATCTCAAAATATCCACAAAAGACACTAAACCTCACACATCAAAATTACAGGCAAACTTATCATAACCAATATCAACAATAGCATGATTCACACATAAAATCGATAGTGTGAAATATAAAAACACGAATGACACAAGACCAAACGTTCCGAAAGGGTAAACGTCTTCTGCTTCATCGGCAGCATCAGCTCGGTTAACCTAGGTCAATTCATATAATTCCACGTTCTAAAATAACAGACAAACTACTAGGCGTAGTTTGAATACGATAATGTTCAAGGAGACACAGTATTTCTTGATCAAATCTTTCCCTAATTTTCATCAACCTGCATTTTTAGAAAGCCTGTGTTGCAAGTACGAATACCTTGATATTTGTAGCAAGCTATTTAATATCATTCCTACATTGTAACTTGGTAAAGCTTCGATGTTGTTAATATCTGGTAATTGAAAAAAAACGAATACAACTTGGCGAACAATTTTCCCTACTTGCTTGTGTTGTATATTAAAATCAAATCTATCTACATAACATGCTATTTTTAAAGCGACGTGTGTATGTTAAACTAAAAGATATTGTTGTCATCAAATAAATGTGTAAACATTCAAATCTTGTATCAAACACGCTTTTAAAACTAAAATTGCTTCTCGAATATTAAATTTTGGATCATAACAATATATCCTTTTGCTAACGATCGAAAGTACAATTAATGCATGCATGACAGTATTGGTATTTTGTAAAAGAACAAACAAGGACATATCATTTACCAGTCGCGTGATAGGTATTTTCCAGCTTACCTGTTTTTGTTACAGTTTTTTCCATCAGCCCAGCAATGAACAATGAGCATATCTTTCCGATGGCCATACGTCAGTAACTCAGATTTGGTCGGAGTTACCACCTCTCTGAGAATCTCCACGCCTTCTTGTATACCCCAGAGATACAACGATCCGTAATCACTTGGTGAGGACATGTAAGAATATGGTAAATACTCCTCCTCCAGCTCACTGTAAAGAGATGCTAGTTCATCTTGCGGCAGAAGTTTCGTCAACTCGCCATGTAAACTTGACCTTTCTAAAAGCTCCTTTGCTGTCAGAGTTTGTTGTCGCTGTTGCAATATTTTATTTGTCTTTGCGGAAACGTTTAACAAACTTTGAAAACGGTTCTGAGATCTTAGTAATGCTGATTTTCGTAGTATATTGCTATTGCATATTGTGATATTTGGAGATGAAGATGAAAACGGCGGAATTTTGTATGACAAGGTTTTGAACTGTGTTGATTTGAGATAAATCACTGCATATAAATACACAACATATGTCAAGGCACCGAATGCTAAAATAGCAATAATCATCCAAATCACGCTCTCTAGGACAGAAGCATATCCTATTCGACTGCAACCATGAATGTCTAACTGTCTCATCCATCGCTTTGCGCGGGAAAAGGCAGACGATCGTTTCTTTGCTTCATTTGTGAATCCTGTTAGATGTTTCCATTCCATGTTTGCTCCCTCTTGTGACCGTTTATATCCTCCTCTCCTTTCATCGGATTCTGATATTGAGTTAAAGTAGCGTTCGCACCTGTGCTGCCAGGAATTAGACTCATCATCCATTATAAATCAAGTTCACCTTGTGTGCTGCCTTTCCTACCAATGTGTAGAAGTCGTATGGTCTAATGCAGAGTACACAGTAGATATCTAATAAAAATGGGCGCGCTATCGCTATACTATTCATTTAAAAGTCAACGTGCGGAACAACGACCATGGTGGTATCTGATTGGACAGTTTTTTACCTATCGGTCTTTATAACACAATTGTAGTATATACCTGTTAATTCCACAGGCAAGTATAAATATAATGGCACATTTAGGTGCTCGCCGCAGCTAAATCACAACACGTAATACTTACCTGGTCAAGGCAAGGTTAACGAGTTGTTCGGGTGGACTTTCATTGTTGTCAGACCTAGGTGATATAACGGAACAATAAAGTACGCTGGCTGTCGCTATAAAGGGGGTTCACTGCAAGTTGAATTCCCCAACATTGCGTCAGGTTTTCATCTTATTTCTCATAAAGCTGGTTTAATATTTGTCGGCATCTCCTCCTGTTCTGATTTCATTTATTACGATGTAAGTTTACGTAAACTTTCGTCCTGGAGTTCAATCACGGGTGATTCTGTCTGGGAGTCGAATTTGTTTTCTGATGTCTGTGGATCAAAAGGAGTAATAACATACATAGATCACAAGAGAAATTTGTTTATTGGGAACGTACACTTTGTAGGTATAACGTAACATGTAATGCAATGTACTGTCTTTGGTGGAGTGTAATTTAAAGTTCGTTATTTAGCATTTTATTATATAGATATCCATTAGTGTGACTAGAAGTCCAACAAGCCCATAAATATCCTAAGGTCTCTATCAAGTTAACCACTTTGATATTTCGTGTTTCGGCCGACTAACGGAAGATATTGATTTTAGCATGCCAGAATCAATATTTCAAAACTAAGCCAATGCTCACTCATTTTAAAGATTCGTTTTTTTTTTTTTTTTTTTTTTTTAAAGTTTTGTTTACTTTTTTTCATACAATGGTGTATCGTATACATTGGTAGACTATTTGAGGTAGGTTTCTTCGCAGTTTTAAGATTTCAATAATATATACTCGGAGAAATGCATTAACAGTACATCATCGGAAAATGTAAGGTACATATGCAATAGTGGGTAGAAAGGCAACATCTACTCACCTCTTGTCCTTTAGTGAAATTAGGACTGATGTACACAGCTGAACCCGTTGTAGTATTCCTATCATCATAGGGATACCATTAGAGCATTATTAGGCGATACGATCGTGAATGTATTATTCTGTACGTGGTATATTCATAATGCCCGGTGATCCATCAAACAGTTATAATTACCTCCCCTTGAAATGACACAATCTACACATGTACACTATATCGATGCCAGGCAATACTGGCTTATTGAAAAATGGATAGAAAGGCTTTAAAAGAACATTTGACTCTCCTAGGACATGTAATTTCAGTACATGTGCCCTTCGGTGATACGTCTCAACCAACTGACAGAATTGGCTGTGGGTCAGAATCCATCTGTCTTTTGGCTTTTAACTGCATTTCGTCACACTAACATGCAATGCACACATGTCTAAAACAAAATGAGCTTACCTTCATTTATAATTCAGAGTGTGATAAGATTATCTGGTGTAATAACGTTCCCGAGAACAAACATCCACTGCATTAACATTAACACGGCTATTGGTGCCGTTATCACTTCCACGTCATAATTTTGAGAGCGTGACATTATCGGAATTTGACCTAGACGTAAATGTTGGATATCGCGAGAGAAAATGTTAACACTTGGGGACATTTGTTCCCGGTTGCTAAAAGGTTAGTTTAAGTTAAATGGTGGGTTAATGAAAATGTTAATTGTTGCCACTGAGTGTTCAAGGCCAAATTAACGCTCATTATACAATGTGCATCAATCTGACCTGTTCCAACAAAGTTACAGCTGTAAAATGATAAAGGTTATTCTCAATTTTGTTTAATTTCATTAAACACAGGTGATCTCTAATCAGTCTTTACCACCCAGGCCTGATCTTATTTCCCTTGTTATTTGTCAAGGGTTTAAAAATTTCTCCAGTTTGTCTGGGTTTTATTGAATTTCAGTTGGAATTTATATATACGTCCGTATTCGTTTGTTGTTCTCGTTCCTGAATACTGGTGTTGTTTATTTGAAGTTGTTTTCTTCATCATTGTTTGGAAAATGAACAATCACAGCATTCAAACGAAAGTCCGATATTGCCTCGAGTCACTCCATTATTTCATATTACATAACCACGGCTAGTTGTTTTTTACCTGGCCATTGTGTGTCTAGGTTTCACTGTATGGTTCTATATCTACCAACAGGTAGTCAGATTAGTCAGATTGATAAGATTTACCTGTGATAACGATTATTACACAGGCTGACACTGTTCTCTGGTACCACTGAATGTCGTACACAAAATCAACAATAATAATGTTAGTCTTCTGTATATCGTTCTACACGTCATCATTTCTGTTGGTAGAGATTTCACGAGTTTCTGGTAAGTATTATACACATCGCAAGATCTTTAGCGAAAATAATCAAGAAATAGAGAAAAAAAACAGTAATAAAAAAATGGCTCCTATTTATTTTCAAGCAATACTATTATTCTATAATTTGTAGATTTGTGTTTTTGTCAGATTTTTACCAACGAATTGATAGCATATTCATTCGTATTTCATGTCGAGAAATGTCAATGCATACATTTTTGATGTTCACTAAAGTGTTGTGATTAATTTTGGTGCTTTTAAGCCGGACGTCAAAACACCTTAATTAACGGTATTCATTTACCTTTCCTAATCTTCTACATTCTTACCATCAAAAATGGCATACTCGGTGTGTGCGATTTTTGTAAAGGAGGTAGCGAGTCAGATTTATTGGAGAGTACAGAAAACACTTCATATTATTTCCTCTAACACGCATCCTTAGGGAAATATAAGGATTATATAATTGATATGGCTTGGACAATATCTCCAACAGGTCATATGATACTACGATACAGCGTATCTTACATCAGTGTACTCGGTAAGGCAAAGGCCTGGTATATCTAGGCGCCAAAATACATATCGTTTCATTTAAATCTAAGAGACTTAAATCTTGCGTACATGTACCACTTGGTAGAAATGGTGTATTGATTGACGTATAAATTCGTTGTAGGCGGCTGTTCTTGCAGTCTACATGTATTATTAGTTAAAACCGATCACCGCTGATGTGTTTGAATCATGCACGGGTTCATCACTTAAAGCATTGTTAGTTTTTTCCACCGAAATTTTGTGATACTGGAAATAGAAAACCGACCTGGTTGCCTGATATTATTAGTAATTAAAACTTCGTTTGATTTATCACAAGTGATTCCCTATCATAAACGTGTGTAAATAGTTTGTTTATAAACATGTAAAATGATTTCTGTACGGTTTTAAAATCATTAAACAATACCGAAATACTTTAACAAAGCCAGCGTTTGTACATATTTCATTGTTTACATAAAGAAGTTGTTTGAAATGGTAATCACTTTCTTCGTAACAGTAACATGCTAAATCGTAAAGCACGCCTGGAAAGTCTATTCCACACGAACTCACTGTCTATCCCGTTTATAATCCATACAATCACGTGTTTTGATACTGTATATAGTACTTTCGCCTTTAAGTTTAAATTAAATCAATACAGCCTATTGAAGATAACACTCTGGTAGTGTCTATCACTCATAAGGGAATTGATCTTCGTCTTCATTATCTGATTATAGACTTAGCTTCATTATAACTCGACCACACGCGGGCGTGAAGCCTCGGTACAGGTACACCACTATGTACATTTATGTGAAGCAAACGTTACAAACACTTACAGTAATAAATGTTAATCCTAATTTCACGTCCATGCATTTTAATTTTGCAGATTGTAGAAATGGCTGCTGTCACGTGGGGCGGCATGTAATGACAACGTCCCATGTGACCACGTGGGCAAAGGTGAAGACTTTGGTGAAATTTCACTACCAAGATTTTGTTGAGAAATACTCTCTTTCCTTGTGCGATATGATATAAGATATGTTATATACCCGTTAGTATGTCTAGTGTTTTTCGTTAATACAGACGTATACAACCTTGTTTTCATTTGAGAATATGACTATACCTATCGTTGAATTGAGCAATATTTAACATGACGAGTGTCGTCGATGAAGCAGAAGGCGCTCTCAGGAGTCTCCATGTAAATCGTTCTTAAGTTCTTATATTCCCTTCGTTTTTTATCGATTCTAAATTTGGAAATTTTGCTTACAGATACTTCGATATTTTCTTCTCCCTCCTTTCTTTAATCAGAACACCTGAGGAAAATAAGTACGGATTATGGTGACCACGGGGATCAGTGTGAAAAGCGAGAGGTTCCGAACGTTGGCCTCTGTCATTCAAAACTTTTAACTTGTTCTAAAAAAAAAGAAAAATTAAACAGAAATTAACGTTTGTTGAAATAGTTACCAGATCTTCGACAACCTACAGTGGAAATAATCGGTAGTTCACTTCAGCACTGATGATACAGAGGTTGTCTCCCTTGGTATATCGACTGCAGTCATAACTTACAACAAAACGCAAATGAACAAAGCACTCTTTTTAATTCAACCCTTTAAAAATACAACGCATAGAATTGGCACAAACCACCACTTTACCTATGAATCTGTCAGACAGAGGATCTAATGCTTCTGAATATGGACCATCTAGATAATGAATCAACAACGACATGGACGACCTCTGTCTTAGAGATGACACGAGGAAATCATATTAATATCATATTCTCTTTAGTCGAAACCGAAATGGACTACTCTGAATCCGAAATGAAGCTTTGTCATTTCACCACCATCGTACATAGTGTAGAGTGGTGAACTCTGATTAGCTTCAAGTTCAAATAGCGAAACATATGAAACCTACTGCTTGGAATACAGTAGAGTCGATATCACTATTTATCAAATTATTTGTTAGTGTAGGCCAGCAGTCACCACCTCACTGAACAACATGCGGGGTCTGTCGCATACCATCAAGAGCAATTGAAGTAAACCGTTTCGTCCAAGGACAAAACCGCGGTATCAGAAACAGGTCTCTTTCTTCGGTACTTATAAGTCATCGAAATATATAATTATCCGTCTCATCTGTAAATATTATCGTCACGTCACCAGTACAGTACACGTCGAGTCAGATTTCAATTCCTACAATCTATCATAAAAGTCACGAAATACAGTACAAAGTGATGGGAAAAGAGATGTTTTAAAATAATAAATAGCATAAAACAGTATAAACACGGAATATAGAAAGACATGATGCGTTCTGTAGATAATTTGAAAAAATACCATTTTAACTATCATAAACGTAATATCAGAATACAAGGACATGAAAAAGATCTTCCAATTATAATTCTTGTTGTTTATCTAACATTGTATATTAACTCCTCATTTTATGTAAATATAGAATAACAAAAACAATTTTTCCTTCGCCATGTAGATAGAACACTGAAACCATAAAACAGTGCAAACCTTTTTACAGACGTCACACCTGTACAAGGTCTACATATAAAGTTGTCGTGTTACACGGGACTTCAGACTGTGTCTGAAACACAATCTGACGTCACACATGTACAGGGTCTACATATAAAGATGTCGTCTTACACGGGACTTCAGACTGTGTCTGAAACACAATCTGACGTCACACATGTACAGGGTCTACATATAAAGATGTCGAGTTATACGGGACTTCAGACTGTGTCTGAAACACAATCTGACGTCACACATGTACAGGGTCTACATATAAAAATGTCGAGTTACACGGGACTTCAGACTGTGTCTGAAACACAATCTGACGTCACACATGTACAGGGTCTACATATAAAGATTTCGAGTTACACGGGACTTCAGACTGTGTCTAAAAAAACATTAAAACGTCACACATGGGTCTACATATAAAGTTGTCGAGTTACACGGGACTTCAGACTGTGTCTGAAACACAATCTGACGTCACACATGTACAGGGTCTACATATAAAGTTGTGTTACACGGGACTTCAGACTGTGTCTGAAACACAATCTGACGTCACACATGTACAGGGTCTACATATAAAGATTTCGAGTTACACGGGACTTCAGACTGTGTCTAAAAAAACATTAAAACGTCACACATGGGTCTACATATAAAGTTGTCGAGTTACACGGGACTTCAGACTGTGTCTGAAACACAATCTGACGTCACACATGTACAGGGTCTACATATAAAGTTGTGTTACACGGGACTTCAGACTGTCTCTGAAACACAATCTGACGTCACACATGTACAGGGTCTACATATAAAGTTGTGTTACACGGGACTTCAGACTGTGTCTGAAACACAATCTGACGTCACACATGTACAGGGTCTACATATAAAGATGCCGAAGAATAAGACATTAAGAACTGAATTAACATGACCTACAAAAAAGACATTTGACTAGCTCGAAAAATACTGTCCTTTTTGTATTGCACTCCACAGAGTTAAGGTAAGGTACTAACATGGAGTAGTCCATGGTAAAAAGAGACCTTTTGTTTTTACAATTACACAGTACACATGGGGTTCAATGATGTACACTAAATACAGTTGAAACAGAATGGCACAAATGTTGTAATGTGATGAAAGCAGTATACTTATCCAATGGAATTCTCGAAAACACACGGGTGCACAATAGTGTTAAAATTAAAAAACATCTAAAAATCTTCAAAAGATATAACTATATATAATATACTAGTATTGATTGTAAAACTAACAAGCGGGAAATTTTTAGTCAACTTTCAATACTGATTACGAAAATTTCAACTTAAATATATGGCACATCGATTAATAACTTCATATCGAAAATATCTTTTGGATTTTAGTATAGTTGATAAATATTTACATGTAGAACATTTTTTACACGCTGGGAGGATATACACTGTATTATGATCTACAAGCATTTGAAGTTACATGTAACATATGAACGACTGCTTCAGGTATGATGATGAAACTTGGAAAAACAGAAAAAAAATAAATCTGTAACAAGTTCTTGCTTTAAACCACTTCAAAACCATTTTCCCTTATAGTTTCCTGGTGTGTTACCTGCCTATTCCATCTATATTTTAAATATCTACATTATACTTGGGTGTATTCCGTAACTAAATATATGTACAAGGCATTTAGAAGGGTTTCTTATTTAACATTCATAATGGCGAAAAAATCAGTTTGCGTATACAAAAAAAGTGTGGCGAACTGGTACACGTATCATGTTCAGACATTATCACTAAGCTGTGGCATCGTCTTACTGCTTTGTCAATTGAAAAGAATAAAACTTTTGAAATAGATTGTGAAACCTACATAATGCTAATTTATCACAATGACGATATCACATTTCACATTTAATATAAACATCATGCGTGTTTAATGAAATAGTAGGTACGAATGTTTTATATTAAACAAAGAACAAATACCAGTCAGGTTTGTATAGAAACAATTGTGGCATTAGTTGAACACAAAGAATTCGTATTCCCACATTTCCTCGGAGTAGTCTCCCTTGACACAATCTTCCATCTTCATTTCTTTCAGTCTGTGATTCATGAACTTGAATGTTTTTTCTGTTGTATCCTGTCTGATCTCGGCCAAGAGATTCTCCTGGCGCCCTTTTGTTAGAAACGGGTATGTTTTCAAAGCAGGCATTTGCTTCAACAAGTGTGGGTTGTGGAGAAAAAAGTTTGGTAATCTCCCATGCTCCAAAGCAGATCTCAAGAAATGGATTGAATCGGAAAACCGATCGGCTAATTTGTCAAGAGTCCAGTCATTCGCCGAACTTTCTAGCAGAAGAAACGATAAAACCGTCTCCAATATATATGAGTTAATTTCTCCTCGATCTAAAAGAGATCGACGCGTTACACTTGTGAACAGTGTCTTCAGAATCACCAAACAGACAATATGACAGCTTGTCACTCCAGCTGCCTTCATTTTCATATCAACACCTGTGAAAAATACTCTTTCGAGCTCGCCTAGAGACAGACCCCAGAGCAGGTCATGTGAAATCGTTTGATTCGCTCCTTCGCCCCTTGTTGAAGTCTTCCTTTTCACATCCTGAACATGCCATGGTGGGACGGCGTAGATTGTCGCCAGTTGGTACCACCCTCCAGCGTGAAGAGGGATGGCTGGGATGATCTGGATCTTAATTTCAGGCAGGTTTAGACCGACCACATTCCTTGTATCTAGCGAGAGCGTTAGAGACGCGGTAGCAGATCTTTGAATACGGAATGGCAGTCTGTCAATTAGGGAACGAGTCTCAGTGTAGAGTTTCTGTATGCCCCGTTCTAACATACTTTCTGTAACACTGGTAAGTGCTTCAGAAGAAACGCAAAGGAAATTGCTATTGTCTAGATTGCAGTTTTTCAGACATTCGTTTTGTTGCCCGCGTGTTTGCTCAGCCGTGAGAACCAGTTTACCCGGGGGTATACCAGTGTTACTTATTTGATCGAGAGCATGAGTAACCTTGAAACCACAACCTTGAAAAATCATCAATACATCAAACTGGCCAGCGGTAGAAGATTTCAAGCCTTTCATTATACTTCCGGTCATTTCGAGTCTGTTAAAACTTACCCCATTTGTATCGATGTTTAAGGTCTTCATCGCCTTTTCTAAAAGAACAAGTGTGTAGTTTGCTATTAGACACGCCCCATTCCATTGTTCAAAACGCACTATGCATTGTGCATTATAAAACTGAATAAGATTTCGCACTTTCACGTCTGCAATCTTATCGGTGTTCCGATAAGCCACGTTGTGGTAAGGGAATTTCCCAAGGGGGATAACCTTCTGTTGGAACTCCTGCCAAGCTCTTCGTTCACTAGGTTCGTCCACGCGATCGTGGTTGGTTAACAATGGTGAACTCCCTCTTCCCTGGCGCGAGCGAGGTACGACTCTTCGTGTGCTCAACCGTGGTGACGTCATGTTTTCGGGCAGTGACGTACTTGGTCCGTTAGATGTAGGTGAATTAAGAGAAGCACGGTCAAGTAAGTATTTATCTAACTCAGAAAACACATAATCCACGCTGTTTTTCAGGAACCAACTTATATCTGAATCGGCAGAATATATATTTACACCGTTCTTCCGCGGATGAATACAGGTAGGAGATATCAAAAGGACCCCTTTGCATTTCCCTGTTCGGTATTCGTCATACAATTCACATTTGGTCTGAAGCTGGTCCCTTTCCGTATGCGAGTCGTCATTAAGAATTGTGGTATCTTTTTGGTCATTGTCGTGCTGTATTACGGAAGTACTCACAATCGTTTTATTTCCCGAGCGATTCCTCCGCACCCGCCAACAACAACCTACAAGTATGGTCGTAAACACAACACAAAGCGTTGCTATGACTACGGCTAATAGGAGGGGTACAGGTAATCTATGCTCTATCACAGAGTCAATCGTTTTCTCACAGTATGTGTTGTCATCGCTTGCCCGTGGACCTTCCACAGATGTAGTCTGCGCGACTGAAAACATATATTGAATGGTTTCCGCCAAATACTGACTTCCGACATCCCAAAATGACGTTTTGTTGGTCTGTTGACCGCTGTCCATATGTCGGCGTGAATCATGGTTTATTGTACAGAACCAGAGGTTGACCTTGAAAAATACCTTGTAGAAGTTGGTGCTGTTGAAAACTCCTCTGCTGATGTCTTGTATCATATCCTGTTCTATTTGTGCAACCGTGCCCTAGAATCAAAACAAAACGATTTTAAAACACTAAATCAATCAAAAGCGCTATGAATTTTAATGACTTTCCCTTCGTCTTCGGAATGAAACACATGTCGTTTGTTTTGAAAAGTAATAGTGATATCGATTAGTTTCCGGGGAAAAAAAATCATCGTTTTCAGTTTTGAGCAAATTGATTTATACACAATTTGGTAGGGAATTTAGAAACAATATAGTACATACGCATGTGTTTCATTTTTCGAAAGAAATGTGCTATATTCATATAAAGTCAAAAATGTATCGTGTCGAGACACTCAGAATACGTAATGAGATGATGTCAGGATCAGTTTTTTCATCCAGAACGTGCAAAAATTGGGGATGATTTACGTATTGTTAACCCCAGAAGCACGAAAGTCCCTGCCAACCAAATTACACACGCTGAAAACCAAATAGTTTATAATATTTTTTATGATTTCAAATTTACATATTTTGTCGACACTTGTTTACGAAGCACTATTGATACCTATAACACCATGGAACAATCTAAACAATGTGTATAGTTATATAGCTATCAGGTGTAATTTTATAAGGATGCTAGACAGGATCGTTAAAGATACAAGTTCTGTCATACTTTGACAAAAGTTTATATTTAAACATTTCATTGGTGAATTACAACAGTGCCAACATGACTGAGGATTTTGTTAACAGCAGACAGAATTTATTAACCTAAAGCATGTATATGACGTGGGAATATGTTGAAAATCAACAAAATCAAATAATTTTACCCATATGTTGTGGCTGGAGTTTTACGTTAACATAATCCTGGAGGTTGTCTCGTAATTAATTAAGGCCAACCTGAGTGTGGTCATTCATTCTAGTACAGCAATGAAAAAAATCGTTCAGTAATTAAAGTGTCCCAGTGCATTATATAATTTGGATGATCACCCTAATGAAGTATTGTTTTACATACAACAATGATGTAAACCACTGATTCGATACAATATTTTTCTCTTGAGTTCGCCTAGGTTACTTAGGTATTCAGCATTCAGTAAATCCGTTACTCTTTATCTACCGATAAGTCTACCCTCTTGGTTTCCCCCCAACAGACGATGGTCACTATATCCACATTATCTCAGCGCGTGACATTACCGGCAGGGGCGTAGCAAGCCCAGCAGAAATGTGTAAGCCCAGGCGAGGGGTCTGAATTTCATGATTTCAAAGATGTTTTGAATCGTTTTCTGAGACAGTTTTTATTTATTTATTTAACAACAAACTTCAACCCCTAATATTTATTTTCAACCTTAGTTTTGTAACTTTGTCCGACATACTTCATGCACGGATTTTTTTATGTGTAACCCCGGGTTTTTTCTTTCTATGGAAGCTACGCCCCTGACCGGTGTATCACTGTTAGTATCTGTTGGTCCTTAGTGGCCAAGAACATGGACATCATCGCTTTCTTATGTTGTGTAAGGGTTATCTTATTATAATACTGTTTTGTCCCAACTTCTGATTTGTCGAAAGGTTCTGATGCTCTATCGAGGACTGTGTTTCTCAAAAATAAACAAATAAATACATAAACGGAATTTGAAGGACCCGTACATGGGGGTCGGGGGGGGGGGGGGGATCAGTCTGTAAATGATAGCTAAGACACTTATATAAAACGTACAGTACTTTCTACTGCTAGGATAATGTTGGGACATATAAAACATTTCGATACCATCTAAATTTTATATTTTCATAAAGAAAGGAATGTCGAACCGAAAGTTACGTGTATGTAATACGTGTATGTAATCCGAGAAACTCGAGGATTAGAAGTACAGCCGTGGGCGTGTCCCGATAAACATAGGTATTACAAGATTGGAAATATACAAATATATATTATAAGTGTGCATTAGGTCTGGTTTCTGTACTTGTTTTACTAGAACTAATTTTATAGTTTTTGAGAGGGAAACTGAACGGTCTATCACTTTGACTACTCTTAACCGCGTGAGTTGCTCTGAGCATGCACCGTGTAATAAACTTCTGGGTCTGCAGAGAATTATTTACATATTCACTGCGCAGTGAACCAAATACATGGAATACACTACACTGTTGTTTAAAACGAAAGTATATAAATATCCAGAAAAGTTATATACTATTTACAAAGGAATGTCACCGATATTCTTATCTGATAAACATCCGTTTATACATTACCACGTCGCTGTTCCATTGGTAGCCCGGCCATCCTTCTCCGGTACAACTGGGGAGACGGTAGATTTTGTAACCAGCTGTGTAACCGACCACCCAATTACACGAACACAGATGCTACTCACACAAAGCTGTAGGACTGTGTATACATATATTATTGAGCTTCTATAACAGCACAGAACTATTCAATCGCATGAATTAAGACGTATTCAATAGATACAACGGTATTCATATGATTTACATAGACTTTATATACACATCTGGCACCACATCGACAGGGTTAAACATGCTTCACAGTTTAATTATCAAAAGTGTGTTCGACACTTCTACCGATTTAAGGTTTCTTTTCTCTAATCTTACCTGTGTGTCTCCTTGGTGGGTCTACTTCAGCATGTAGAAAGAAAAAACAACATCCAACATGACCTCTTTCATTTCCATGTAACAGAAAAAAACGTGCTTCAAACGTGACATTGTTTATCTATTTCAGAGTTATTCCCCTTTGAATAGAAGTTAAATACTAAAACCGTGACGGTGATGGCCAGATCCGGATATTATTGGATTATATCGGATTGGGATGGTTGAACAGCAGTTGTCATAATAGGCTTGTTGAATGATGGACAGCTACAAGCCTAGTGATGGGATAATGCCGAAAGGTCCTACAAAAGAGACACGCTTCCTTGGTAGATACATTTATCATTGCCGGTATATCTGATGGACACTATCTAAACCATCGCTGTGTCCAAGCGAAAGGTGGGAAAACGCCCCAGATTTCACAACAGAATATATTAGATATGCTATAAGAGAAAGGAAGATTAATCCAACAACTGAGTTATGCTGATCCATGAAGAGGACGCCTCCGTGAATTTCCTCTTGAAAATAGCCAGAACATTCAACTTTGAATCAAGGATTGTTGTGTGCCCAGGTAATTGTATTTGTTAGAATAATTCCGAAAATGGTGAAGAGACGACCTTTTCATCAATCGAATATTTGCCATATCTTTTAACTCTCCAAAGCCTACAACAGTCAATGGTGTTGCACTTTCTCCAGAGTTTGTTGGGCATGTTAGATATGAAAACATCTCTCGATCAGTAAATTGATTATAACTACTTGTAAAGTCTCTGTAGTATTAAATAGGTACATATCTGACAGGGATATTTATTGTATGATAATTAAAGACTTTCTTCTAACGTGGTATCTTTATTTGTAGATTTTCATTATCATACAGGGAGCCTCTATCATAAAATATAACGTTTAATTTCTGGGTATTCAACATTGAATACTGTTAATGGAGTATTTTGATATATAAAGTAAAACTAGAGGAGAGTATGATATTTTCGTGTTGTTTCTATATTTAAGTCACTTTCAGTGTTGTATGAACTTTTAGTTTTGTTGCATTCGGAGCCCTTTTTCAGTGAAATTGTAATATGCAAGCATTGTGTCATGAAAATTACGCGCGGTACCATATGACCATTTTACACGCATCTGACAAATTGATATCACGTATTCTTACGAGAATAACTTTAGCTAATATTAAAAAATAACGCAAATGTCATTGTGACCGAATACTTTTGGCACGTCACTGTATTTTAAGCATTTAACATTGTTTTGTGGTAGAAATACATCAGGTATAAAACAACCCAGTCATAATTAATTCAGCACCAATCAATTACGGGAAAGGGGCACCGAATGCAACGTGTTTGACGGAGAATTCGCCTTATAAATGGGCAATATCTATAAATTGAATTACGATTGAGTACATATTCTATAGCACCATAGCATTTTTTTCGATGGGAAATACAAAAATATATTCTATTTCGAGTGCCGATACGAATCCGGGCGTGTTTGATGCTCAGTGCTTACTCTTCCGGAACACATTGTCTTACTCTCCTTGTACCTTTTTCTGGAGTCTCCTTTGTGTAAATATTTCTTTTGTTAATTTTCCCTAGTTTTAATAAATTTGAGTTTGGATAATGATTATGTTGCAATGTTGGTATTTTCTTTGTCGTGTTTATGTTGTAACTATATTTGTAATAGACATGCTAACCTAGTCCTTTGACTTTATTTCCAAGGAAAAGTTTATATCAAATAAAAAAATAATACTACCAAATTATGTTAGCTTTCTTTATTTTCTGCAAGACAACGAAGAAGTACAACAAATAATTGTGTACAGACCAATGGCCATTCACATTCTGCCCATACATCGGTAGACCGTTGTAGCTCTATACTAGCAGTATATGACAAATGTTTAAAACCTGAAGAAAGTTGAGCAAACTATTGGCAAGGAACATAACAAAATACAAACTATTCACTGAAAATGTATAAACTCATTTCGTTTCGAAACTCATTAAAAGGGCAAAAAGAAAAGAAAGTTGTCAGATATTACCGAGTTTCTTCGAAGAGTGTTCAGGGATTCAAACATGGCTGTGTGTCATGTGATGACAACTGTAAAATCATTTCTGTCTTTATTGATAGAGTAAATAGTTTTAGCAGCCATGTAGTCCTAAGGCATTACCACAGAATGTGTGGCTGGATGCGTTAGATAATAACTTATATCTCTTTTGTCTAAAATTAAAAGAAAAAATATGTTGACATCCCTACTGTTGATCAAAATCAAACTTTAACCCAATCATAACCTATCTTCATTCTTGGTAATATCATAGGTGAAATATTAATAAAAAAGCAAATTCATTCTTAGAATGATAATCATACATATTATACCATTATCATCGGTAAAATCACATCATGTACTTGACCAGCCTGTTTATCTTACAAAAGCTTCATATTTACACAATTTAGATTATACGTAATAATTTAAAGTCTGAAATATTTTTTATCTAAATATGTGTCGTCTTGTAATGGAATATCAATTGATTTCGGTAGCCTATAATTCATACACAGTACATTTTCGTTGAACACAATTGTTTATAACCAAACTTGATAATATGAAAATGGTAGCCATGACTTCTTACATCGACACATACTATCATAATACAAGTAACTCCTCTACAATGGGTCATATTACTACAACAAACGTGTTCATGTTTGTTCATTTTGTCCTCGAGGATGCAAAAGTTCTACTGGTCCTAAAGCATTCACATGACATTGATAAAGCCCATTGTTATATAAATTGACATTTAAAAAAATGTTTAGACATTAATATGACATAATAAATGTTTCAATACTATGGTCAACACAGCAAGTGATGATTAACATTGCCAACGAGTCTATTGAGCAAAATTTGATTGGTGTCCAGTAGTTAAGCCATTTGATTGATATAGTCGTTCTAACTAAGCAAAAAGTAAGCTTTTTACAATACCTTACCCACAATATGATCAATATTTACATAAATATATTTGGTTTTCATATTGTGTGAGACACCTTTTCTAAGACGCAATGATAAAACGCTATACAGACGCCATAGAAATGTAGTTGAGATGGTGTATCCAGGTAAAGTAACATTATGTTTGTAAACTCACAACACTGGTAAGTAAAGCGACAAAATTTACGCAAGCCCATTACATAATGGTGATGGTAGTGTCGATTTCGTAGACGACCTTCCCAGCAGCCAGTAAGTTTTAACCGTCCCTTTCCCCTGGAAAACATTATTATGATTAGATTTCATTATATTCTACAACTTATACAGTTCTCTTGTTCAAATTGTCAAACTAAAATGTGTAAGATTGGAACTGTTGTACTTCACACGCTTTATATAATTTTATTCATTAATTGTTCTTTTTGGAAGGGGTGGGCTATGTGAGGGTGGAATGATCGAATAAAGAAGAGAATTATCATAATCAATACTGTTTCATTTCGAAAACAGAAGAAAAAAGGGATATTTATGTTTAACTAAAGAAATAAGTAACTTTGACTATCATCTACCAATCCTTACCTTGATCTCTATGTTACCCCTCTCCTGAATATCATATCCTTGGTGTTCACACATCGACTTGTATGTGGCGCTACTCATGTGCACTCTTAGTGCTGATAAATCAATGTATAAAAAGAAAAAAATAACAAATAATCGATAATCATCCTGATATGGAATCTATACTGAAAAGGAAAAGTTATATTTTTGGCTTGTACAGTGTACCGAATTAGGAGGATCATGATTAATTTGATATCTATAGATAAAAAAACACCATTAATTGCATACGAAACAAATAACAATTATGAGAATATATCAAAGGTATAACATGCATGAAACTCCAATCCTATTGGATCATACATCCCCGGAGCAACATTTAAAATACGGAATCATACAGATACCAATTTTCCTTTTATAATCTCTTTTTTCTCTAACTTTTGAATAGACCAGGTGTTTGTTGTGATACTACGGGGTTGCACATTGTGTTATTTGTAGACACAGTGTTGTGATAGATATTAGTACACTATATTTGGAATTTTAAACCCTTTTAAGATATTTAGCAAACACAGAACATTAAGTTTACATCTTAGTAGTCTTCATGTAATCCAAAAGATAAGAACATCAAATACCTTTTCCAAAACAATACAGAGATTGACGATAAGCCTGCCTGATTTGACTTCTTAGAAATGAACCAACGCTGGTAGTTTCATAATGGACTCTAACCCAACATTATTGACCTTGAACATTGGTTCATAAGAAAAAGCAGTATATTTAAATTTCCTATTTGAATTTTCGAATAAACAGATTAACTTTCCTATGTTATAGTTCAGAAACAACATTTTTACCTTCTCCATTTGATTCCATCCTGGATGCCATATTGACTGTATCCCCAAACAGGCAGTATCTTGGCATGGTACGACCTACAACCCCTAAAGGAGTAGACCACACTCAGGCATTAACATTTATCTAGAGAGAGTGTCATGGAATCGACCACACGGGGTGGTTGAAGTCGATATTTTCCCACTTATAAGATGCGAGGACAGACAATGAAATGTTTCCTGATGCATACAAGGACACAGTTGTAACATCTGCTGTCGAACTGCGTATGTAAAATATATCTTATATTTTTACGGGGCTTAATTTTCGTGGGTTTTCAAAAAAAATCCTTTTTAGCGGACCTTTGATTTCGTTGATAGATATAGCTCGATATATCTACTCATATTTATTTTCCTAGTACGTGGACATGTTAATTCGTGAATAAAGAGTACAAACAAAACAAATTGATATAAATCTCCCACGAAAATTAATCTTTCTACATTAGATGTTTTGGATATTTATGCTGTCTTTTTAGTATTAGTTCTCTATCATACCTGCAGCACAAGGCCCAGTGTGGATGCCGATTCTCAGTTGCAGTTTCATGTCCGGTTGATGTCTTATTTTAAACGTATCCACGGACGCCAACAGAGATAGCGCCATGTTGGCTATTTCTTTGGAGTGAAGATTACCGTTTCTTACAGGAAGTCCGCTCACGACCATGTAGGCGTCTCCAATGGTTTCTACCTATTATCAGCATTCAAGACAGCAGTTTCAATAATAGTGTTGCATTTTTATTTCTTTTAAAACTCGATATGTATAAATATATATTAATTAAGCTATTTGCATCTTTATCATGAAAAAATTAAAATGATAAACTAATGTTCCGTACGAAATTTAATGTTTATTTTACAGTGTTACTCATTGGTGTTGTTTTTATTGAAATAAGGTCTTTATGGTTTGTAAGTGTTTACTTATATTGCCTGGCATATCACAAGCCTACCTTATATACATCGTACTGGGCTATGATCATGTCGAAGCTAGTGTAGAGGTCGTTTAGAAAGTCCACCACTTCGATTGGTGTACTGTTGGAGGAAAGTGACGTAAAACCGACTATATCCGAGAAGAAGATAGTAACCGATTCAAATATTTCCGGATAGATGTTTTCACCAGATTTAAGTCGTTCTGCCACAACTCTGTCAAATAAATGAGGCACAATTGAAATGACTGATTAGATTAACAAATAAAAAGAATGTCTTCTCCATGTTACAGATGTAATAATATCCACATTAGAGATATATTTGGAATGATAGTTTGTCAATTCATTTTGTGCGAGGAACAATAAGTGATAAGGTAAACAGAAAATGATATTTAAACCGGAACCAAATCTATCATTTTTACTTGGAGAATATGCCTAACGGTGTATAATTACCGCGGTAACATTCTGTAAAGCAAAGAGTCAGTCTTTTTCTTCTCGTCAAGAAGTGCATATGTCCTTTGTTCCACCACTTGTTCTAAATTGTTGGCGTATTTCTCTAACATAGTGATCATGTTATCAACAATATTGGTCCGTCTGTAGTAAATGGAAGACAAAACGGTATCAGCAACATGTTTTATAGTTTATATCATTATATCAGAATCGCACAACATTTATCGTACAAGATAAACGGTTTTGGACATGGTATTCTATAACGTTATTTTCCTAATATCAAAGACTTATATTCAAATGGGTTACCCTGAGAGGTATTACACTGATAAAACAGCAAGATAGAAATTTGACCTATCAGTCGGGTAATTTGGCAGTGCGCATCAACTACATAGATGTATCTTTTTACAATGTGACGTGACTTTCATAACATTGCTCGCATTGGCCATATCAGGTATGCGTTATCTCATGTAATTACTAAACTGATTTTTGTCTTGTTTTAGGAACTATTTCAGCCGTTAAAACAAAAGAAAGGTTTTCCAGGAATACATTGTCTTTTCTCCTCTTGACTAATTGAAATATTCCTCTTATTTTTGTTCGATTTTTTATTAAAAAGTTTCAGTAAAGTTTTGTTTTTCTTTCCTTATAAGGACAACATGTTTCATTTTCATACCGATAATCACGAATAGACCGATTCAAAATGAAATGAAAATCAATAAAATAAGGAAAAGATATGTCACTTCATTCAAGTACACTCTCCTGAATTGTTATTTAACAGTTTCACAAAATCTTATCACAATAAAATGATTTATAGAATCGTCAATTTTATCTAGTTGAAAGAAGTTCTATGTTCATTTTTCAATCAAGCAAAAACAGAGGATGAAACATGAGTTTTTATTCAGCTGAGACATACGAATCAAACCTTTACATAAAAATAATGTATCTTGAATTAGGTTTTGTTTGCGAGTAAATTACCTTTAATCTCCTACCTAGAAGTCCGAATAAATTATTTTTAAAAAAATTTTATCTATTCTTTTCAAAAAACGCGAGCAAAATCCGAACAGACGAAAACTTAACATGGAAAATAATGAAAAAGTACAAAGAGTCAACGAGGTGGTTAAGCGTCTTCTGTTTTATAGACGAAACCAGCGATGTAAATCTTGATTTACATAGTGTATTTAAATAAGTAATGCCATGTTTTCACATGAAAACAAGATCTATAATAGCACTCTTTTAAGCATAGCAAAGCTAATTATGTGTATGTACCAAATTAGGTCTCCACTATGTTAATAAATGTGCATTATTATGTTCATTGTGTTCTGCTATCATCATTCATTAGATGTTTTCAATCGGATTCGACCTTCATTTTCATGTAAATGATTTGAGACATAATTTCATTCCTGATCTCATTTATGATATACACTAGTATAATAACACCAAATTACATACAGTTATGTTAATCATGATTTATATCAATAAAGTTTCATGTATACCTCCCTCTATTTATCTTGGATACATAACTCCTAATGGTGGAGATACTGGGACGGTCATCAGGATCCTCCTCATAGCATGACGTCATGATCTGTGTTATTTCCGAAGGTACATCGTCCATATTTTCCAGAATGTTGTCCTTTTGATAAGCTACATGTGGTCGGTATGGCGGGTTTTCCGTTTTTCTGATACGTGCAACAATTTCTGAGGAAAATCCGACATATATCATAGTGTTAGCTTTGATATACATAATATGTACTGTAAACTCGTGGGGTTTTAATTTTCATTGACTTTGTGGGTACACTTAATCTATGAAATAGTATGTTAATGATTTTTCGTTGCGTGTATGCAAATGCAGCTTTCTGATTCGTCGCTTTATAAAAACTTAAATATTTTTTTCAGCTTGATTATCCAAAATATTCAAGTGTCCAAAACTGCTGCTTTTGCAGTATCTTGCAGTCTCACTTTGACCTACCTTCATTAATTTATGTCACACTCAGGTAAAAATTTTATCGGCTTAAAATGTATGGCCGCCTACATCATGTCCATTTAGGTTACCACTCATAATCTTGAGAAAATCAGGTATATTATTATCTCTAAAAACAATTCTTCCAATTATTAAGTTTTTGTTAATGGTCATGACTTAACGTGTCTATAAAATAATCCCCTGAACTTTGTATTATTGATCCACCGTGAAATACTAATATCTCTCTTCTGTCCTTAAGTCAGGAATGGCAATACAAATTGATTACGGTTAAGTGGAACGAAGAAAATCTCTTTAGTCGTGTAAGTGTATTGTCGTGTTTTCTGTTTCTGTTCCAAAAGCCTAAATGGTATTATATTTATACCTACTATAACAGATTCTTTGACATCAAACCTATCATTCCAGTTCCATCAGACAAACCTTGTGGAGTATCGGAAGCGGTGTCGTACGGCTGAGATCGATGCAGGATTTCAAATAGGATGATTCCAATGGCAAACACATCTCCCTTTTGAGAAGAATGACATTGGTTTTCGGGCAACCTTAAAAATTCTGGTGCTGTCCAAAATTTCCCTGAAATATACAGAATAGAATTCACGATAGCTCTGGTATTTGAAAAAAAGCACCATTCTTTAGAAGTCAATTATATCAGTGCTTTAGACGTTAATTTTTATAATAGACTTATTTATATTAATTTTAATCAAAGGGATAATCATGGTAGAGAGTTGTTACGTTTTAGGAAGCGTACAACACTGTACAAAGATTATATATATATATATATGGAAGTTATATCCTTACTGCTGTACTGCTGGTATTCCGAAAGATTAGCCTGTTGATACAACGATCGAAGCCGGAGAACTCCAAAGTCTGTAATCTTTAGCATCCACCGGTTGTCCACCACACAGTTACTGCTTTTCAGATTTCCGTGAACTTTCAATGGCGAATTATGAATATATTGCATCCCCTTGTGATGAGAAAAACATTCTAGATTACAATTTTAAAAATCATAAATCATGTTCTGATTAACGTAGTCGAAGTAATCAATGGAGGAAATGATATTACACCTAAGAAACACAAATAACAAGTACATCTAGGGTAATGTTAAGGGGTCTAAAGCAACTGCAGCCTAAAAGTTAAGAAACAGAGTCGGTACGCTCATGGATGAAGGGTATGATAGGAAGGATACTGAAAATATAGGGGACAACAAAGGTGACAGAGGACACATCAACAGAAAAACTGAATAGACAAAAGTACCAAAATACTAAGAACTACAGGAAAACAATATTAGCGCCAAGGGGACAAAAATAGGAGCGTTAAAAATAACAGGAGCTCTGATAGGAGCACTTAGGGGACAATAGCAGGAACTCTTATACGAGCACTTAGGGGACGATAACATGAGCTCTTATAGGAACACTTAGGGAACAATAAAGAAAGCTCTGATAGGAACACTTAGGGGACGATAAAGAAAGCTCTGATAGGATCACTTAGGGGACAATAGCAGGAGCTCTGATACGAGCACTTAGGGGACGATAACAAGAGCTCTGATAGGAAAAATTGGAAGGAAACTTTTAATTGGTTTTGGTAAATCTGACGTTTGACATCTACTGGTATTATCTGTTTTTTATTTCCTGATGAGCTTGCATAAATACATATCCGCATTCTTATGTATACACGAACACCACTTATAAGAAGTGTTTACAATAAGCGTTATACGTAAGCACGTTAGTATACACATGTGGAAAGTAACAACCATTCTTCATCAAGGTTATCGTCTTATTTCTCAATTCCTATTTCTGATCAATGTGCATAAAAAATCAATAGTTTCTCTCCAAGCTAACGATTGATTGACAGGCTAGTCACGGGCACATGAAATCAAAGCAGATATCATTTGTCTGTGTATTGCTGACTATGAATGAACAAAAGCGCTTCAAACCTAGCTATAAATATCTTATTTTTTAAAAAATATAATGTATAACGTTAATGTTCTCTACTGTTGTTTTCGGCAACTTTGTGTGTGTGTGTGTGTGTGTGTGTGTGTGTGCGTGTGTGTCTTTTTTGGGTTTTTTTTTGTTTTTGTTTTGTTTGTGAATTTTCCCTACGGCTACGGAAAAGGCTTCTGCCAAAATCTCCATTGTAAATACATCTATATTGTAAGTACACCTAATAAGAACACAGAGGGAACAAAAACCGGAACATTTCAAGACCAACCACGTATTATACAGTACTGATGCTGATACTGACGGTGATTATATCCGTTATCAGTGACACCTTAAACATCCAATCGAGTTTGACGTCTTCGTTTTCAATGATGTCCTGTAATGAAAATTACATCATACATTTACAACTGATAAGTGTTACAGAAGTTTGAAAATAAGGAAAACATAATCATTCCAGACTGACGGGTTTTCATTTTAAAACGTAACATGTAACTATGTAAAGTTTAGTTTTATATCTTGCATATTAACACCAAATTTTCTGACAATTTCTTGAGCAAGTATGAAAAAAATTGAAAATGATACATGTTTATCTAAATTAAACTAAAGAAATATAAAAAAAAGGTTGTTGTAGCCTATCCAAAATGGTCTTATGAGTTTCGAATGAATGTCTAAATTCTGTCCACCAACGGAGACTTGTTTTGTCACACAAACCTGAAGGCTGCCCTTACTACAGTAAACTGTCAGAAGGCAAGGCCCTCTCTCATCAAGACAGAAACCGACAAAAGCGTTGACGTTTTCCTGTCTTAAATCCCACATCTGAAACAAATGAATATATGAATTAATTTGAGGAGAAACTGTATATAAGGGATTTACGCCATAGTATTGTGATTACATTAAAGTTTCATATAATTACATTATCTTTAGTCACGTGGTGCCACAGAGTTACATTATATTTATTCACATGATGTTATCAGTATTCTTACATCATAAAATATAACCCTTCATAGAATAAAATTCCATTTTGTAAATATTGTAATAACATTGTATAATGTTATTATGTTATGACGTAACATGACATCACGCAGTAAAATGACATCATGGAATAAACGGAATAACATCTGGTGGTGATATTACATCAAATAAAATGATGCAATCAAGTGACCTGGCATCAAAATGTAACATTAAATCGTCAAGTAAAACGACATTGTGTAGTACTACATTCTAACATTAAATTGTGGCTTCACATTAAGTCAGGGTCACGTGACACAGGTGGTTTGTCCTGAATCAAACGTTAAATAAAAGCTTATTACAAATGTATGTATTATTTGATGTCTTAAACGACATCGACTGATTCTATATTGTTCAATGTATCGAGATTGTATAGCTGTCCCCTGATACCACATAAACGTTTATTCATTTTGCAAAAACTCAATCAATTTTAAGAAAGCGGCTAATCAGAATTTCTACATGATCTCACCACTTTCTGTTTACTAGAAAGTACTGCTAGATGATCATATTCTCTACTTATTCGCTGACCTAATGCCATCTGATAAGTCTTTATGGAATCAACTTCCTTTCTAATCAGTCACTTCAATAAACCTCCTTTGTGTTTGGAAACATAATATGTCAAGTGAGATAGCAAACATGACAACGTTAACACAAAAACAGGATTACATCAAACCAGTATATCAAAAGCGACCAACATTAAGTATAGACATTAAATATCAATTGGCTTTCACTAATGATGTAAAAGCTAGTTAATGTTAGGGCACACTAAGACATACCGGAATATAACATGTTGGAAATATGTTCTAGAATTAAGTGAGTTTAATGATCCAATTTATCATTGGATTTACTCAAAGCAGAGAGAAGTAGTATAGATTACACGCAATGTATGATATTGTGAGGTGTTTTTTTCTTTCCAATTTGTAAAATTAGTAGATCTGACATGAGAGTTGATGTAATGTGGGATTTGCTAAACGAGTTTAATCACTTGATATGTCATCCAATAATTTAACGAGTTTCATAAATTCAATATAACACCGGGACAAGTGAAATATTCTATTTATCATGCTATTCGTATTTCTGAAAAAATAAGGGAAAACTCTCAATAAAATTTCCCGATAAGCCCGCCTCATTTCGAAGGTATTTCACAACCGATACAACCATGTGACGTCGTCAAGACGTGACGTATGAATGACGTCACAGTAGTATTGTTATGCACGTGTCTTAAGACATTTATGACGAGGCCGTGTGACAGGACACATCAGGACAAATAATATATATACAAATGTGTTAACAGTATCTCATTAATAAAGATAAACAAAATCAATCTGGCCTTGTCATTTCAATGCTACATTCATGATATAACATATTTTTAAAAATCGCTCAACTATTTCAATAAACAAATATCATAAAAAAGATAAATAAATACAAAATAAGCCTACACATTTAAAATCAGTGACTTACTTTAAAATATAAAGAAACAAAATAATCATACTCTTTTAATAACATTGACACACGATAAAAGAGCGCCACGACCAATAAAGTGAACAAACAAAATACGCCTACACATTTTAATCTAGTCTCAACTAAATAACAAACTTCTAAATTGAAAGGATACACATGACTTCGTTTAGGTGGCTTGATTACATCACGATATCTCATTTGATTATACTAAACTGACGCCAAACACAAATTGTCTAGAACGATGTTGGGATGTTCGCAATTAATGACATTGTTAACGCTGAAATGATGGGATGCTGTCATTTCTTCGCCTTTTGTGTAAACCAGCAATAATTAAACGTATATAATTTTGTGTGAAGGAGATCTAGCAACTTAGATAAGATATGTCCCTTCATGCTTCTCTACGTGTTAGTTAACTCCGACCTCATACACAATATACTGTTTTATTAGTATTCATGTACTCATTAATGACTGGACAAGTCAATACTACACAAATCAGAAAACATGATGTTATAGATAAGATCATTATATATCAATAATCACATACAATGGGATCATCACCGTTAACTCCCTAATTACACCATATATTTGTAACGGTAACAACTGTTGACAGAAGTTCATTATTGTTTGTTTATTTAACAATGATAACGGTACGTATTGTATCTCATTATGTTTGATTTACTGTATATTTGATGAAACCAATAATGATCGGGGGACCACATTGGTAAGCTGTGTTAGAAAGGTATTTACATCTATAATAGACCATATACAGGAAATTTCTACCTGAGACAAGGTGACGCCTGAATGTTCGACACAAAAATGGAAATGTTGGTAGAATTTAGAAGGGATGGACCACATATGTTCGACACAAGTGCAGTATTCGACCCAACAGTGTTCGTATCAGCCTTGTTTAACTTACTAAGATGAAGAAGAGAAAAATTCGGGAACGAACAAAACATTCGACATATCCGATGTATTAAATTCAAGCACGTTCGACACAAGTGAGTTGTACTGTAGTATTATAATAGACCCACAGTTTGTTTTTCGCAAAGACTTATGGAGTGTGGATGTCCTTTTCACCCTACACACTATAATTGATTAATTAAATAGAAAAGACTATATTACTGCTTTATTGCTTACAGCAAATAGCTTTCGACTTGATTCATAGACAATAAGTATGACTGTAGTTAATCAAAGACGTCAGACGGCCAAATGTTTACGATAACTAGATCATTATGTGGAAATATCTGATACTGTGTAAAATACATGGGTTGATTACACGTTTCTTTGAATGTAAAAACGGATTATCTCAAGGAGAAGCAATAACCCCCATTTTATACTCTTTAAATGGTAACGATTTTTAAATGCAAGTTAGTTATAAAGTCTATAACTACAAGAGGTAAATCCGTTTCTGCTTATGTACACTGATTATGCTGTTATTTTAGCTCAATGTCCAGAAAGTTTACAAATCTTATTCCCTACATTATTAGACAAGTAAACGGGCTTTAACGATCAATATCAATAAAACCAAAAGTTTTAGTTTTTAGAAAAGGTGGTATTCTTAAGAAAATGAAGAATGATTTTCGTAATGGTTAAGAGTAGAAAAAATGAGTTCGATTGTATGTCACTGAATTTTAATGGTGAATTCAGTCAAACCCAGAAAAAGGTTACGGATCAATAGTAAAGATAAATACTGAAAAACAATTATGCTTCAGAAATTTGTGGATTCCATCAAGCGCCCGGCGTCGAGAAAATGCAATAAATATTATGTCTTAAAAGAAGGACATGCAACGTTTTTAAGAATTATTAGAAAATTTATAATTTTTGAATCTTGTTGGAGAACTGTCATTCGTGATTATTGCATGTTAGACAAGATAATGCAATAATTTTTCTTGAATATATCTGGGAGGCAAATACTGACTACCGACAGATTACAAGAATATTCGATCCGTGTGATTCTTTGGTAAAGTTTTCTTGTTTTCTTGCAGCTTTAGAGAGAATTATTCTCCGATTCCGATTCATGTAAACTGTTCATGCTATGTTTACTTCTATCAGTTTATTTCTGTAGCATTGTTGATATCATACCGTAAATAAAGCTGGTGAGTAATTTTATAGCATTGTCTGTCTAGGAAGAAAGCAGCAATGGATTGCACATAGGAAATACTACAGACAAAATCACACGGACGACATTAAGAAAAGTATAGGGACAATAGGACCAGGTGTTCCAGAGGAATTAGTGTCCAATTTCTCAGCGAGGACACCTGCCAAATAGCATTCGAAACACATAAGTTTTCTATTCTATAGAATTTCTTTCAATGCATGTTTTCATCGGTACATTGGTATAGTCATTCATGTAGCTACACATGGAACCTTCAAACCTATCAATAAAGTTTCAACCTTGTGTGGTGGTGGTGTTTAATATCAGATTTAGGCTTTTCCCATTAACAAACGTATTTTCATCTTGAAGTGTATTTTTTTAAATACTATTACAAGGACGAAGCAGTCAGGAACCAAAACTACATCTCTGTTGACGGAAACCCACTGCGATAAGTTAGAAAATTTCAAACCAACGTCTGAAATAGCACAATATCAATGTTTTCGGTGTAAAAATAACTTAATTCGATAATTTATGAAATTTTGATTTTGTCCCTTTTTTTACCATTCTGCGGTTGTTATAATGCACGCAATATCTAGTCAAGTGGTGGTCTTTAATCCAATGTGATCGAAGTCGTTGTGCTATGTCAGAAAGGTATATCATTAGAGAAAAACGCGTATAATGTATATACAAAAAGGTCTTCTGTCGCATTTCCTAAGTGCCTGACAATACAGAAACATTTTCAATCATCACATCAAAGTAGAATTGAATGTTATTGATATTACCCCGGGCGACGGTCTGTAAATCGGCCATTTGAATGTATATCATGACACCTGTAATTGTGTTTTATTTTGATTGTATTTATTGATTGGCGGGACACTTTAAAAATCTTCAGAAATAGCTATATGTTACAATTATCCATTATTAGGCTAGGCCCTGTATTCATTAATTTTCCTTAAGGATCTAAAATACCACTGGAAAGCATTAGTATGTTAACTTAAAAAAGCAATTCAAGGAAATTTCTTTAAGTTATATAATGCTTTCCTCAGGGCTATTTTAAGTAATTTCCATAAGGTAAAGAAGATTCATGAGATTAGGACAAGAACCAGCAAGTTTATGTCCGTTCTCTGACAGATCATTACTTGCTGAGTGGAATGGTCTTATAAGTGTCCAGTTTAAAACAGGTTGAAAAATCAACAAAATGTCTAAGGTTTTAAATATTATTTTCAGAAGTACATTAGGCAACCATGTAATCAAGTTACCTCTAGAGCAGCCATACATACATACATACATACATACATACATACATACATACATACATACATACATACATACATACATACATACATACATACATACATACATACATACATACATACATACATACATACATACATACATACATACATACATACATACGCACGTACATACACGCACAAACACACATACAATCCATACATACATGCATACATACATACATACATTAATACACACACACACTCTTCTTGTATATCTTACAAAATGTCAAAATAAGCTGGAGTGACATGCAAATCATAACTGTTTGCCACAATAAATATGCAACTCAACAGTGTATATTACATCCGAAGCAACGTACCGTTAATACGAAACCATGTAAACCGTGAACATGAAATATGAAAAACAGTGTGCAGTTAACCCGAAACTGTTTGCGCTTAAAGCGAAACAATGTGCGGTAGATACGAAATAATGTGAGGTAAATACGAAAGTGTACTGTAAAATCAAAACAGTGTGCGGCAAATACGAAACAGTGTGCGGTAAATATGAAATCACTCTTACAGCTTTCAGTTCCTTTAAATCTTGACGTTCGAGGCTGATGACGTTTTTGTTGGGCAGAGACCGGAGAGTGACAACAGTGTGCTTATACATGCCGATCTTGGAGAACACCTGCTGGTCAACAACTAATGAGGACTCCGATGGATGGCTAGTATAAACGTTTGTGGAGGTGATCGTATTGAGACTGAGCTGAAAAAGGAGACGAGACCTATATCTCTGTATTGTCATTAGCAAATCAAAAGGACCAGATATACCACACAGTCAATGTTAATTAATGCACACGTGAAAATAAGGAACTCAGCAGTCAGTTATACGTCTAATTATTAAAACGTTGTTATCATATCATCCCTTGCTTACTCGGGGAAAATGGTATTGTTACAGACAAAAAGGAATACAACATATCTTATGAAGCAAACCGGATTCAATAGAGATAATAACCATGGTCACAAAAACAGATACACAAACTAGAAATCGTTGACCATCAATTCGACCTCATTTCAAAAAATAAATTTTTCCATCAGCGTGGTAAACAAGCTACCAATTACATATCGAGATTCTAGCTAGAACTTTATATCGGTTTTTTTTTACCCGAAGAAACATTTTCAAAATTAACCATTGACATAATTTATAACCATTGGCATCATCCTTTGACTCTCTGTTATTGTGTTATTCATTTTCACAATTTTGTAATCTTAGAAATCTTATATTTTATCTTCAAGACTCTAGACTTTGTATATCTTTAGACTTTTTGTTAATTTGCTATCCAAATAGGACTTCTGAATTTTGCCCCTACTGGAAACCAAATTCAACTGAATCTCACTGATGGAACTTGAGAAGTATTTCAAAGCTACCCAAAATAGCACTTTTCATCTATGAACCTTACCAGAATCCAAAAGTTGATGTATTCATAAACTTCTCTTTTGTAAATAGTATTTTCTTTATAATGTACAAAACATGTCCAAAGCTGAATTCAACAGTCGCTATGGCAATTCAGGTAAACCTGAAATGGCGTCATAGCGGCCATTTCGGTTTTGAAAATTAAATCCAAAATTGCTACCATACGTTAAAGGACATCTAGGAAACACTTTATACTATGATTCAATATAATAAACGTGGTTGATGTTCGGCAATTAACAAAGATCAAAGGAAAAATCAAAATGGGTATACAATCTTAAAAGTAAAAAGCACAAAAAACTGAAGATATCCAATTCATTGGCGTCCTCCATTGATTGCAGTAAAAATTTTGAAAAATTTTGAAAATTAAAGGTTTTTTTTCAAATTGTAGTCTTTAACCCAACAGCGATGATTTTTATTTGACATTTTTCGTGATAACATATAGTTACCTCGTTGGTAATCTACAAACAATTTAATGACATGATGTATAGTCAACAGTTATTGAGTTTTGGATGGTTGTAGAATTTGTCCAATGACATCATGATGAAAAGCTCTAATGATGGGTTAATAGGAATATATTACAGAGCAAAATTTACCGCAACATAAATAAATACATAAAATGTTCAAATTATGCCACGAATAATGTTCCGCAAAAGACTTTGAGCCATTACCACGACATGTGGAAATCAAAGCAAGTATTCTCACCAGGGATGTCAACGCAGAAAACTAAATCTCAACAGTCGGTGCTAATGTCTGATGTGTGAGTGTACGAAATGGTCATGCATTTATAGGTTCGGGATCTTGTATACGACTTCATTAGGGGCTCATTTGACAATTTGATTGTACAGCATGCTGATTGTATATAGAAGACGTGCCTACCTGGCTAATGCTTCCAATAACTCGCGACTTGGTGATTTTGATTTCTTCATAATCCACTTTCCAAAGGTGAAGTTCAAGCTCTTTCTCGTATCGAGCACGTCTGAGAAATGTAAAAACGGTTTTCATACAATACCTTTCTACACTTGATTGATAATTGACATTGACATTGCATTGACTTATCTGTATCAGATAATGATCGATATTTAAGTATTTAGATATATAAGACTATATTAATATTTCATAATTTAACTATAAAAATTTATTATTGATAATGCAGTATATACCTGGACAAGATATTTCAGTATTTCCCTGTATAACATTGTATTGATATTTTAGTATCTACCTATATAGAAAAAGTCCAAGTCCTAAGCCAGCTACTGCCAACAAAACCACTATCACACCAGCAATGATATAGACTGTAGTACCTGGGGATTAGATAAACCGAGAATTAAATCAATTTCCATGTTATAAAAAACCGATTCGACGATACAAGGACTACAAAATATGAATGATATTATGGTTTACGAAAATCTTTTGAAAATGTAAGTACAAATAAAATGAGTGTTTTACTTCATCGACTGCAGACTCCATGGCAATTGAAATTAAAAATCATATTCATTTCAGATTCTCAGAGTAATAAACAAGGAAATAAAATAAATTCAAGTAACAGTTAATGAAGAAAAACTATCACAGAAAGAAAACAATCAAATAAGTCTACACATCTCTCTTCTCTTCTATGAAAAGCAGATGGAACATTTCAAACAATTGTCAGAATTCGGTAAACTCCATCCCCAGTCTTTTTAAGTTACAAAATGGATACTTAAGAAATTGAAGAGAAACACTCGGACAAGTCAATATAATAGTTCAAAGGGAGAACAAACATGTAAGAGTAAACTATTATTTTGTTCATTTAACTGCTTTTTACGTCTACTATGACGACCTTTCGGCCTTTCAGCGAACGAACAGAGTAAAAACAGATGCTCATATATTTATATATCCACATCCTCAAAACCCATTTAAGTAACCTTAATTAAAGAACATACAATGTAATTGCTTGCGTTACACGTGTTGTCTCTAGTTGACACAGTGGTCGTTCTCCAAACCAAATTCGTATATTAAGCATGATATACTTTTCAGCATTACTTCTAGTTCACACAAGGCACTATTAATTAAAACAGTACTCCATTCTCCAAACCAACCACTTTCAATGTACTCTCACCATCGTTCCAAGTTAGTAAAATCCTCCAAACCCATAATATACCTGATCTATGCATGTTGTATATATATACCTTTACCTGAAACAATACAACAATATCATTACCACTATCTGACCTCCCCAAGAAACAATACAGCATGTTGTATGCCTAATATATACATACAGCATTACCACTAGACATTGTTCCCTCCCCAAGAAACAATACAACAATATCATTACCACTAGACATTGTCCCCTCCCCAAGAAACAATACAACAATATCATTACCACTAGACATCGTTCCCTCCCCAAGAAACAATACAGCAGTAGCATTACCACTAGACATCGTTCCCTCCCCAAGAAACAATACAACAATATCATTACCACTAGACATCGTTCCCTCCCCAAGAAACAATACAACAATATCATTACCACTAGACATCGTTCCCTCCCCAAGAAACAATACAGCAGTAGCATTACCACTTGTTGATTTAGGACATAGTTCACCGAAGAAACCACACACAGGACTATCTTTAGGAGGTAGGCCGTCTGTTGTACTCCATCGTATCGTCTTCAATGTGCGAATTTTCTACGATAGATCAGTACATCTTAATAAAAATATATTTGTATGACATTTACATGGAAATGCTTTTAAATTGAATGTTATTCAAATATTGTGATTAACATGTTACCTAAAAAATCCACCAACAGAGGAATATGACTCAAGCTGTCGAATCTCCATTGTGTTGTCAAGGATATAAGGAATAGTGTCTTTATTTTGTTGTCAAGGATGTAGGGAAAATATCCTTTTTTGTGTCACCATGTTCTTGATATCCTTATGACACAATAAAGATATTTTCCATAATCCTTGACATCACATTAAAGACCCAATATTCCTTTAATCAATATTTTTTTATTTTCTTACGTTTTTACTATATCACCAAGCCTACTGGATACCAGACAAGATAAATGAGAGTTTACTGCTGACCAGAAGACATTAAAATGTCTTCAAACAAAATCAGATTTTACCAATGCATGTGGTATATATATATCATGTAGTAAGAGTATTCTTCTCATCACGAAGCATGTACTTATCGTGGAGTCGAGGACATCACTACAGTATTTGTAAATCTTATTGTTGTTGAACTTAAGCCATCATTAATACCAATGGAAATACAAAAACAGGATATAGTTGGAATAAACCTTTCGATGTATTATTGAAATGTACTTAATCAATATTACCTGTATATCTGAGCTGGTCATTTGAGCTTCTAGAACCACTTCGAACCGAGTGTCAGTCATATCCCAGATCCAATAATCGGGCTCTCGGTCTCCGTTAGAATCTACTTTCACATTCCCGGTAATACCTAGATGTTGTAGATTAATTATTCATAATGATTTTAATTAAGCTTTGCACTGAAAACTGCCAAATTACTTATATCTTATATCTATTCTTATAGTTACGATCGATTTTAATCAGCAGAGATAAAATGTACTTATACTTATGTATTTATATCTAGAGGTATTAACGGTTTATTGATTAATTATTTTCAATGTTGATGCGTACATAATTAGTAAGAAGTTACATGTACAATAATAAAGGAATTCTTCACACATAATTAGTAACAATTTACATATGCATCAATAAAGGAATTCTTCGCACATAATCAGTTACAAGTTACATGCGCAATAAAAATGGAATTCTTCGGCATTGAAACACGTATTGTCTTTAAAAGCGACAACAAGTCGAACATTCTCAACAAAAATGCACTTAACACATAATCAAAGGTAACTAAGCTATAACAAATTAATTTCGCCCACTTCCTTGTCTCAATGCAAACAATGAAGCGTTTTCTGAATGTTATCGATAAAATTGCAAATGACCTATTGACAAATGTCATGAAATCCACTAGGGTTTCATGGACGATTTCACTGAAGACAATGATGAGACACCAGAGCATTCTGGCTGTACACAATAAACCTTTAAGTAATGGGTAACTATATAAATCGATAATTGAGTTGTATCAGTCACAAGGTAAAATAGTGAACTAGGGTGCAAATAGGCAATTAAAGGAATAGGTTACTTTACAAGAACACAGTAGTTTTAGTTAACTAAGGAGCAAATAGGCAAACAAAGGAATAGGTTTCTATATAGGAACAAAGTAGTTGTAATTAATGGGGGAGCAAATAGGCAATCAAAGGAATAGGTTTCTATATAGGAACAAAGTAGTTGTAATTAATGAGGGAGCAAATAGGCAATCAAAGGAATAGGTTTCTATATAGGAACAAAGTAGTTGTAATTAATTACGGAGAAAATAGGCTATCAAATGAATAGGTTACTATTCTTGAACAAAGCAGTTACAAGAATGGCTACAAATGTTGTCCTCCACAACTAATGATTTCCTTATACACACGGTCTATATTACGTCTATTTACCCATGCAGATATATATTTATCTTTACATTTTTTTTCATATATTTTCAGACAATGAGATTACAGATATATTTTACAACAGGAAAATAAATAAAACTAATTATTCTGTTTAATTGATGGGTAATATGTTGATTGATATATTTTGTTTACTCGCTTCAACAACATGTTGGTATCTACCTCTGAATATCTTGCCCTTGGCTTTGTCGAAGATGAGAGTTCCATTACGATGGTCGTTGCCCTCTGTTACCGTCTCATTCAGTATCAACATGTATAGATACACTACATCATGTAGAAAAGGTGAATATTCCGATCCCTGCATACATAAAATTGACGAAACAGGTTGTTGTACATTACAATGTTACAATATCAAAAACAACAACAAAACAAAAAGCCTGATGGTTTCGTTTTCCCTACAATGAATTATCTCTAAATAGTACCCAATATCATGAATTGGATGCAATAGGTGAACAGCTGACAGGTAAACACACAGTATATGGTTGCATGGAATGCAGGTTGATGGGGACTATTTGGAAGATGTTCATCACCATCATGTTCTTTATGCCGAGGTCTGTAAGTAGATATTTCTCCAATCTATATTTTTGATATATTTTGACCTTTTTACATCGATTTTGACATGAATTTAAGATTCTTCTGACATGTAAATTTTTATTTATTCATTTTTTTTTACTTACTTTTATGCCTGACACGAGTGTCTCATTGTAATTCCACGGAGGTTCCGCCATTTTAATAGATACATTGTTACGGAACTGTTCCACCTCCTCACTACCCATATCAGACACTGTTATCTATAACATAGGACAATCATTTTAAATATCGATAAAAGTGCTATCCAAACTCTCCCATCACTCAGCCAGGTTAATATGCTACAACGGAATATGTTCTTATCCTGTAATTATGGTCCGCCTGGGAATATAGTTACTTGCGATTTAATCACTATTTAAAACGTTAAGCATCGAGAGTTTTTTATGAAGAACTCAAACTATCGTGAAATCCACCATTTGCCTTGTTGATTTCAAGATACTTTTTAGATTTCGGAATTTGTAACAAGAGAGCATGCTGGATTGCATTCACTTTCAGAGTGAATTAAAACCATTAGAGCTATCATTCTTACAAAAATAAATAAATAAATAACAAAAAAAGAACACAGCTCTGTATTTCTTGATCTTGCCTGAAACACATGGCATCCAATCACTTTATCCTTGTCTGCAGACATTATTACTTTACCTGTATACGCAAAGAACCAGGTTAGCTCTTTAACGAAGGAACCTTACCTTCACATAAACCAATTTTACAAAGAAGAAATATCGTCTAATCATACTTCAGTATAAATATCATTTAGACTGCCTGTTAGTGTTAATGTCAAAAACTCTATCTTTTATATCAGATTCTTGAACATCACAAAAAGTCCATGCAAGCAGCGTTTGATTGTTTGCTAGTCTAGATGTTCATCACAATAAAATGTATAATGAACTTACTAATAGTCTTACAGGTAGCAAATCAGGGTTTCAGTTACGTCATATTAATAAATAGTTTACTCAATAAGTGAAATCGATAGTATGTGCGATTGCAATGAAATCCAAAGAGCTTTTCGTATCAGTCAGGTCAGTTGTCTCAATACAATCGACGTTGATATCATTGGACGAGATGTCTAGATACAATCGACTTTGACATCATTGGACGAGATGTCTAAATACAATCGACTTTGACATCATTGGACGAGATGTCTAGATACAATCGACTTTTGTATTATTGTGTATCATTGAACGAGATGTCTAAATACAATCGACTTTGACATCATTGGACGAGATGTCTAAATACAATCGACGTTGATATCATTGGACGAGATGTCTAGATACAATCGACTTTGACATCATTGGACGAGATGTCTAGATACAATCGACTTTGACATCATTGGACGAGATGTCTAGATACAATCGACTTTGACATCATTGGACGAGATGTCTAGATACAATCGACTTTGACATCATTGGACGAGATGTCTAGATACAATCGACGTTGATATCATTGGACGAGATGTCTAGATACAATCGACTTTGATATCATTGGACGAGATGTCTAGATACAATCGACTTTGACATCATTGGACGAGATGTCTAGATACAATCGACGTTGACATCATTGGACGAGATGTCTAGATACAATCGACTTTGACATCATTGGACGAGATGTCTATATACAATCGACTTTGATATCATTGGACGAGATGTCTAGATACAATCGACGTTGATATCATTGGACGAGATGTCGAAATACAATCTATTTTGGTATCATTTCATGACTTGTATGATTACAACTGCCTTTTTTCAGTCTACAACAAATATAAAAGATTTTAAAAAGGAATAGTCATACATACTCCATGTTCATAAATTACAAATGTAGATTTTTTCCATGCTAATCCTGGAAAAATAGAAAATTCTCCGTTTTCTATTCTAGGTAATGAATTGGTTACTTTTTTATGTTTTGAAGAAAACTGTTTCTTCGTCGTTATAGTATTTACAGCGCATGTATCAAAATATTAAATTCGCGTACACACCTACTAAGCAACTTTACAAACATCCAAGTATGTGTCTCCCGATAAAAGCATTGACAAAAACTAAATATGAATAACTGTTACTCAATGTATAAAATACACAAACGTGAATGATAAGCTGCAGTGTAAACATAGTTACAGACCTCACACATCCCACCACACACACACACACACACACACACACCACCACCACCACCACTACACACACACTAACTCACACATGCACTCTCTCTCTCACCCATACATATATGAATAAAATTTATCAAACAGCTCTTCCGTCTTTATATATATATTAGTGAAGCTAGAAGTCAAAATGAAATGATCGCTAGGAAAACTTTATATCGTCTAAAACAAACTAAAACAAAACAAATTATTACTCCCATAATTGAAGAACAGTAAGAACAGCGAGATTGAATACGTATGACATTTATAAGGGAACATGAAGAACAGTGAGTTTGATAACGTATATTTACCTTATAATTAGGGAACATAAAGAACAGTAAGTTTGATAACGTATGACATATACCTTATAATTAGGGAACATAAAGAACAGTAAGTTTGATAACGTATGATATTTACCTTATAATTAGGGAACATAAAGAACAGTAAGTTTGATAACGTATGATATTTACCTTATAATTAGGGAACATAAAGAACAGTAAGTTTGATAACGTATGACATATACCTTATAATTAGGGAACATAAAGAACAGTAAGTTTGATAACGTATGATATTTACCTTATAATTAGGGAACATGAAGAACAGTAAGTTTGATAACGTATGACATATACCTTATAATTAGGGAACATAAAGAACAGTAATTTTGATTATGATATACCTTATAATTAGGGAACATATAAGATATATATACCTTATAATTAGGGAACATAAAGAACAGTAAGTTTGATAACGTATGATATTTACCTTATAATTAGGGAACATGAAAACAGAACAGTGAAGAACAGTAAGTTTGATAACGTATGACATATACCTTATAATTAGGGAACATAAAGAACAGTAAGTTTGATAACGTATGACATATACCTTATAATTAGGGAACATAAAGAACAGTAAGTTTGATAACGTATGACATTTACCTTATAATTAGGGAACATAAAGAACAGTAAGTTTGATAACGTATATTTACCTTATAATTAGGGAACATAAAGAACAGTAAGTTTGATAACGTATGATATTTACCTTATAATTAGGGAACATAAAGAACAGTAAGTTTGATAACGTATATTTACCTTATAATTAGGGAACATGAAGAACAGTGAGTTTGATAACGTATATTTACCTTATAATTAGGGAACATGAAGAACAGTAAGTTTGATAACGTATGACATATACCTTATAATTAGGGAACATAAAGAACAGTAAGTTTGATAACGTATGATATTTACCTTATAATTAGGGAACATAAAGAACAGTAAGTTTGATAACGTATGAAATTTACCTTATAATTAGGGAACATGAAGAACAGTGAGTTTGATAACGTATATTTACCTTATAATTAGGGAACATAAAGAACAGTAAGTTTGATAACGTATATTTACCTTATAATTAGGGAACATAAAGAACAGTGAGTTTGATAACGTATATTTACCTTATAATTAGGGAACATAAAGAACAGTAAGTTTGATAACGTATATTTACCTTATAATTAGGGAACATAAAGAACAGTAAGTTTGATAACGTATGATTTACCTTATAATTAGGGAACATAAAGAACAGTAAGTTTGATAACGTATGATTACCTTATAATTAGGGAACATAAAGAACAGTAAGTTTGATAACTTATGACTTTTTTAATGGACCATGTAGAACAGTGATTTTGATAACGTATGATATTTACCTTATAATTAGGGAACATAAAGAACAGTAAGTTTGATAACGTATGATACCTTATAATTAGGGAACATGAAGAACAGTAAGTTTGATAACGTATGACATATACCTTATAATTAGGGAACATAAAGAACAGTAAGTTTGATAACGTATATTTACCTTATAATTACATAAAGAACAGTAAGTTTGATAATTAATTAGGGAACATAAAGAACAGTAAGTTTGATAACGTATGATTTACCTTATAATTAGGGAACATAAAGAACAGTAAGTTTGATAACGTATATTTACCTTATAATTAGGGAACATAAAGAACAGTAAGTTTGATAACCCTTATAATTAGGGAACATAAAGAACAGTAAGTTTGATAACGTATATTTACCTTATAATTAGATACATATACCTTATAATTAGGGAACATAAAGAACAGTAAGTTTGATAACGTATGATATTAACCTAATAATTAGGGAACATAAAGAACAGTGAGTTTGATAACGTATGAAATTTACCTTATAATTAGGGAACATAAAGAACAGTAAGTTTGATAACGTATGATATTTATTTACCTTATAATTAGGGAACATAAAACAGAATAACATGTATTTACCTTATAATTAGTTTTTGATAACGTATGATATTTACCTTATAATTAGGGAACATAAAGAACAGTAAGTTTGATAACGTATGATATTTATAAGGGAACATAAAGAACAGTAAGTTTGATAACGTATGATATTTACCTTATAATTAGGGAACATGAAGAACAGTGAGTTTGATAACGTATGACATTTACCTTATAATTAGGGAACATAAAGAACAGTAAGTTTGATAACGTATGACATATACCTTATAATTAAATTAGGGAACATGAAGAATAGTAATGTTAAATATGTATGATGCTAAATAATGCTGACAGCCCCGTTTCACAATTTTATCAACGACGCTCCGTCTTGGTCTGTAATATCACTATTGGGCAATATTTATATTATCAATATTTATATCATTAATATTCAATATCGTTATTTACCTCTTAATTGGCATGGATCTTACTCCATTTACCAACACTAGACTAAAGTCGTTATATCATGAAATATCGATACAAAACTTAAGCTTTGTATTTTTAATAGTTTTAACGCTAACAACATGCCCATAACATATCATCAAGCTTTAACATTAATCTATCAGTTGGGGACATAATCGTTTTTGATAGAAGTTCTTAATGTGTTTTGATTTTGTTTCCATTATGTTTTACGGAATCATATGTTCATATAATGGAATGGATCCCTCCGGAAATGTTTCCTATACCAACCCAAATAGATGTCTACTCACATCCGATTGAAGGATATACATTATATAGCCTGTGAAACAAACCACAGTGCACTGTCATATCCGTTATCGTATTTACAAGTCTGCATTAACGTAAATAATTATCCGTCATTAGATGTTCTACCAAGAAATATTCATAAAATCGATAATGAAGAATGAGGTAGGCTTGGCTGCGATACCTGTAATAAGTCTAGGTGTTATGATTCGGTTCGGTGACGGGTCCACGCAGGAAAATTAAGCTAATCATCAGAAAGGCTGAAGTAAGGAATTTCCAGTGAGAACTATGTCAAATAGTCATTTAATTTGGTATTTGTAAGTGGTTAAGTAAAACAGTGTGAAGAGTTGAAATACAGTGTGAAGAGTTGAAATACAGTTTCATTAATTATGTAAATCTACTCCATCTAATACTTGATCTGTATTGAAAGGTGCAATTCACTCTCGTGCCTTTTGTACAATTTTTGAGAGTACATTTGGTAGACACTGCTGGACGTTAAGTTCCCCGGAATTTTTGGACCAGTACGCCTCCTCATCCACATATATATATATATATGTTTGTGAAAAATCTTACATTTCTTTCGACCAAGTTTGATTGTCCTCAGTCACCTCTAGAATTTAAAAACAGGTCTTCGCGTTAATGACGAGTCCTAGAAGGACAAAACAGCTGCATCAAGCATTTCCATTAATTATTTGATTGCACTGTATCTCGATTTAAAATTGCATTGCAGAGTGTTATACACCTGTGTGTCTTTGACACCATTCTCTTCAACCGACGACGAAACCGCCGGTGAGTGTATGGACGACGGAGGTATTTCTGAATTAGGGTTAAAAATAAAATGATTCAATCGCGACTTTTTTTATTACGATCATACGCAGTGGAGCTTCATCTAGAGTTGTATTTCTACCACAATACTTGTGCTTTCTCACTCTCATACCATTGCAGTAGGTACGCTGACGGTTGGTTGAAACACGTATTGGTGAAGAAAATGTCAGCTCATCCTCAGAATATAATTTTCATGGTAGAAGAAACAGGTCGTGTTTTTTTGTAATTTTGAGAAATAACTAACACGATTGAAAGAAAAACCATAAAAACAGCCATTCGATGTGTAACCTCTATTAATCTATTATTAAAATTCTGTTCCAAATATGCGAAATATAAAGACGATGGCCATTTACTCTGTAAAATCAAACTATCTTTGATATCATGACTGCAGTCATGGTTATATTGATACCTGATATTGGGCATTCTGGCCTGTAAACTTTATGGAGATTAATGTATACAAATCATTTTAACGATGCCTTCCGTGATGATAATGAAGTATTCTGTTTAATAATTAGTCGGACATCAGTCTTGTAGCAGGAAACATAATTAATTTCAGTTCATTATCACGGTTCACCAATATAAGCAGTAAGTCGTAAAATATTCATTTAAGAATAGCATTTAATAACAAGACTGATTGACAAAATCCTTAACAACATCTAACAACAAGAATAAGAAAGTATAAATCTTATATGTTATACAAGATATATCTAATGGCTCCTTTTTAATATTACACGCATTTCACGTGTTTCACGAATGTGACAGAATATATATTTTTTCACGAGTATGAAGTGAAATACATATGATAATTAATTAATCAATTACATGGACAAAACGTTCGGGAAATTATTTATGACGTCAGATAGCTTGACGTTACGCTTGAAAACCAATCTATTCCTGAGTGTGGTATTCTACATTGCACTTCTATAAATAGCTTACGCCATTTTCAGATTCTTGGAAGAAAAAGGTATTTGTTGTCAAACAAGATGGTATTTCCTTATTTTTCTGTTCTATTATTTGTATTAGTGTTTGTTCATCCGGAAAATAATTATATGAGTTTTTATGGATATAAATGTTACTTTCACTTCTCAACTATGGGCGTGTTCTCGATGTACAGGTACATTTAATGTGACGTCAGTAATAAATACTGGTAATTTGGCTACAATGATGGTATCCTAAACAGTCTACATGTGTTCCTTTCGTTGGTGTTGTAAGGGATTGGGATAATATGTGTTAATTTTATAGAAATTACATTATGTAAGATAATTCTACAGGGGTTACATTATGTAAGATAATTCTACAGGAGTTGCATTAGGTAAGATGATTCTACAGGGATTACATTATGTAAGATAATTCTACAGGGGTTACATTATGTAAGATAATTCTACAGGAGTTACATTATGTAAGATAATTCTACAGGGGTTACATTATGTAAGATAATTCTACAGGAGTTACATTAGGTAAGATAATTCTACAGGGATTACATTAGGTAAGATGATTCTACAGGAGTTACATTAGGTCAGATGATTCTACAGGGATTACATTAGGTAAGATAATTCTACAGGGGTTACATTAGGTAAGATAATTCTACAGGGGTTACATTAGGTAAGATAATTCTACAGGGGTTACATTAGGTAAGATAATTCTACAGGGGTTACATTAGGTAAGATGATTCTACAGGGGTTACATTAGGTAAGATGATTCTACAGGGATTACATTAGGTCAGATGATTCTACAGGAGTTACATTAGGTAAGATGATTCTACAGGGGTTACATTAGGTCAGATGATTCTACAGGGGTTACATTAGGTAAGATAATTCTACAGGGGTTACATTAGGTCAGATGATTCTACAGGGGTTACATTAGGTAAGATAATTGTACAGGGGTTACATTAGGTAAGATGATTCTACAGGGATTACATGTGTAAAGATAAGCCTACTATGATGACAAGTGTTAACATACCATATTCCTCCTGGGATTACACATTAAGAGATAATTCTACAACACTCATATCTCATGTTTTTAATAATGCAGTAAGTATACAAATGTTCCGTATGTAAATATTTATTTTTGTGGCTCTCTCAGCAGTGAACACAACCAATGGTTCGTTATATCAGTAGTAAAAACGAAGTGAATAACATACCTGAAACACGGATTTGTAAGCCTCCATTGCTATGTCATCCAGCCCATCACCTCGTACCCATGGAGTTTCCACGTTTGAGGGCGGAAGGTGATCTGGTGTGATATAGACATACTCGCTATTCATCATACCCTTCTGATAGGCCTTCACCAGAATACGACGTTTATCTTCCAAATTCTCCGAGCACAGGATCACAACTGAAGATATGATAGTAAGATAGAAGATTATCTCAATAGTTTGTCTTACTTTTTCACCAATATATCTGTTTTGCAATATCAATAAAATATGTTTATTGTCATACCTTATTACGAATGTTAAAGACCCTGTGTAGATACGTCTACAGATTTTTTTTCCAGAAAGTTCGGTAGTCACGATAACAAGGTCCTTATACACAAGTCTATGTGTATCCTACAACTCAAATGGCCTTACATCAGCTTTAGTAAACTTATTCAAATGGTGTACTGTATCAAATCCATTTGTTTCCGGAGCCGAAACTATGGAAATATAATGTATACTTTTGATTGGTCAAAATTGAGATATAGTCAGATTATGATGAAATAAATACGTAAGGGCTTTGAAGAATGGAATTTACAATGGTGTATTTTCCCAAAACATCTGACGTGTAAAAATGGTTGTCATAGTAATCAGTTCTCTAAACACAAGTTTTTTTTTCTCTGTGATGACCCATAACACTGTAGCTGATCAGTCGTTAAAGATTCCCTTTAATAAAACCTGGTCGAATGATTTCACTCATGAAAGCCTATGAATTGACTTAACAAATTGTTTCCAGAACCGTCAAATTGCATTTGATCGCCATAGTGACCAGGTCATTATACACAGGTTGTGATATTTTCCGATTATGCCCAAATGCGACGGAAGAAATTGTAAGTTGTGGACCGAATTCAATGAAACTGCACGCCAGTATTATGTACATGTGCCTGCAAATTTTATACCGCTATATCGGTGATATTAGTCAAATAGTTGCATATGGATCATTGGAAACTGATTGATGTATAAACTCTATTCACCTGAAGGGGCGGAAAGTATTAGTTATCCTCCGGATGGTAATTCTAGTTTATATTTCTCGTAAACAAATTTAGTGAAGGTCCCCGTCTGTAGGACACCTTTCGTTTAGATATAAACACTTATGATACTTATCATCGAATCGAGTATTTACAACATTCATTCCCCTCAAACTGTTTGTGTTTTCTTATTTTGTGAGTCAGTCTGAAATGTATAGTATAGTTTTTTTTTAAATCGTATTCACAGTTATATGCAAACAACCTAAAAAACAAAACTGGCAGAAGTGTATTAAATTTCATTGGTTGATAAAATCAACAAATTAAGGCAATGCCTTACAAGATAATTATCATAATCTATGTCAGTCATCTTACGTTTTGTCTAACTGACCAGACATAACGCTGGTGTATACTCACTTCTCCCCCTTTGCTTTACTCGGATGAGTAAATCGTTTATTTCGGCTTCTGATATCCCGTCATCGATTATGATCCTGTCAGCAATCGTGATGTTGTTCGCGCGGAACGGTATCTCGTAGGATCTTGAAGAGAAGTCACAGAAGACTTTTTTGTTGTCAATTTTTCGCCTGGAAATAACCACAACTCTTCTCCATTGGAAGTACTCGAAAAGTTCTACCATTGCATTGCCAAGTTTGTTAAAAGGAGGTCCTAGTCTTACAAGAGTTTTGTATACACTTTTGTCAGCAAGACCTGGATCAGAAGACGCTTGAGAAAGAATCGGAAAGTTCCAAAACGATGCCAGCAATCCGACAGGCTCTGTGGCTGATATAAACATACAGTGATAAAACATGCATGTTAAACTATATGGAACGGGTAATATAAAAACTAGACCGATTGAGTTGGGGCTGTATCAGTATATAAAGTAACGGATCTTTCTTTCCCATGGACATGGATTTTAACTAGATGTAAAAATGTACTTAATACAGTAGAATGGGATGAGGTAGGACTGATGGCATGGCCAAGTAAGTCAATAATTTATACTTGGACCATTACTTTTGAAACTGTAAATGTGTAGTTATATCAAAACTTTGATACATAATTAGTAAACTCGGGCCCATTTCGAATACAATGAACATTTTCATGCATTTTTTGTCAATAATTTCATATGACGATAGTCAATATGATCCTAGAAATGTCGACAAACCAGAAACTATATAACGCCGTCATTAGTTTTGTAGCTGTATGTGTACCAATGTTGGTATCTATCTTACACGGATAAACGGAACAGAAAAAATGATGCGGTCTTGATACTCATAAGAGTATAGATACAGTCTAGATCACAAGACAATAACACAACGTCACTATGGTATCTTGATAACAACGTTACGTCGACGCTTTATTATATCACATGCTATAGCCTTAAATAGATCTCCTAGGAAGTAAAAAATATAATGAGGATAAACTTTTACCTGAACTTAACCTACAGTGGGGCAAAGAAAGATTTACATTATTAGGAGTTGATTTTAGTGTGAATCTACATGAAATACCGAAACTAAACTTTGATAAAAAAACTCACTAAACTGAAATCGCTAATAAAAATATGGAATAGAAGATCATTAACTCCAATAGGAAAAATAAACATTATAAAGTCGTTGCTTATATCACAATTTAATCATCTCTTTATTTCATTACCTAATCCAGATGAGAAGTTTCTGTTTAAACTCAACTCTCTACTTTTTGACTTTCTATGGGATGGAAGACCAGATAAAATCAAACGGGATACAGTTATGCAAAACTATGCTAATGGTGGTCTTAAGATGGTCAATTTTGTAGCTTTTATAAATGCATTGAAACTGACTTGGATAAGGAGACTCTATCGCAGTACTGAGAAATGGCAGATAATTCTAAAAACCTATATTGACACTGACCTTCTTGCAAACTGTGGTAATAATTATATTCATTTATGCATAAAAAAGTGCAAAAACAAATTTTGGTGTGATGTTTTCAAAGCTTGGGGTACACTTAGCACAAAATATGAGGATAAGCTATTTCAGAGTAATATATTATCTGTCCCAATTTGATATAACAATAAAATAAAGATAGGAGGTAAAACAGTATTTTATGAGAGTTGGTTTAAGAAGAATATAACTATCATAGCTAATTTAATCAAAGATACCAACAGATGTGTTTTCTATGGAAGGGAAGAATTTATTCGAAAATATCAAATAAATACAATTTTTTTACAATACCAGGGTCTGGTCTCTGCAGTCAAAAAATTTATTGCATCAGATACTATATCTAACCCCTCTATAATCTATCCTTGCATACCAATCACCTTACGTATCTTTCTTCAAGACAAAAAAGGGTCAAAAAGGTTTTATAATACTCTAATTAAATGTAACGTGTTACCATCGGGTACCAAAAAATGGAATAGTATATTTGATAATATAGATAAACAAACTTGGGATAAGTACTATTTAATGCCATTCCATGTAACAAAAAATACAAAGTTCCAGTGGTTCCAGTATAGGGTAATCCACCATGCATTAGCAACAAATTCCCTTCTTTTTAAAATTAGAATAGTTATCTCCCCTCTTTGTGTGTTATGTAACTCTGAGCACGAAACAATCAGTCATCTGCTGTGGGAATGTCAGGAAGTACAAAGACTATTACAGAGTCTTGATATTTTGTTAGAAGCTCTATTTATCCCTTTCTCAGTAAACAAGCAAACTTTCATTCTTGGTCTCCTACATCAAAACTTCCTTCCGAGTAACAGAGTAGACAATGAGATTATAATTATTATCAAACAGTATATTTATAAAATGAGATGCTTACACCGTTCACTAAACTTGCATGCATTAATTAATACAATCAAAGATAATTATATGATACAAAAATATATAGCTAATGGTAAGGATGATAAAGTAAAACGTAAATTTGAGAATGAATGGAAAAAATGGGAAAAATTAATACAGTTTTGATCTACACACTTTGATCTATTACCCATCGCATTACTAGTTTTTCTTTTTTTCTTTTTTTTTCTATAATTTTTTATAATTATATACATAACAGTCCTTGAACATACCGAGTAATCAGATATAAAGAAAGAAAAACATTAAAAGATTAAATTACTCTAACCTATTTTACCATCTCACCCAACAATCCACTTTACTATTTCTTCATTTTCTTCAATTTCTTTCTCTTTAAATTTCTTATCCCTAATAAAGTTCTATTTCATTTCCTCATTTCTGTATGTTGATGTCAATTTATGGTTGTGTGTGTGTTTATGCATGTGTGCATGGGTGCATTTCAAACAAAAGTTTACTGTGATATTTATGAATCAGAAGGTTCCATAATGGTTATGAAAGTATTAATCTTGATTTGATGATGATAATGAATTGTTGAATGTGGATGATGATGATGCATTATTTAGTATGTACAATAATCATGATAGTAATATTGATCATGATATATATGTTGAAATGGATGATGAGGAAGATTATCATGTTTTTGAGGATGATGATGATGATGATGATGATGATGATGATGATGATGATGATGCATTATTTAGTGTGTAACATAATAATATTGATTGTGATATATGAGGATTATCATGTATGGTGATAATAATAATAATAATAGTAGTAATGATCACATGCATTTTTGAATGTTGATGATGATGTTGATGATTCTTTTGAATGGAGTGTACTTGTTTGACACGCAATGACTATATGTGCACCTGTGGTTGGATGTGTGAGAGGGTGTGAGTGTATTTGTCCTGTTCAACGTGTAAAATCTTGAAAAATAAAAAATTATAAAAAAAAATAGATCTCCTAGATGCTTGTGATTTTCGGAAAACTCTTTCTAATAATGAAAAAACAGGGAAAAAACTTCATAATTTGATAAAATATACTCGTTAATATTTTCAGTTGATGTCTGACATTTGAATACGATAGTTCAATAGTTAAATTAATCATGTTGTTGATGTGTTTAATTATTTAATCTGTAAATAAACTATAATTCTACAAATCCCCAAGTATGTTATTTCCTTTTTTAATAACATGGCAAATGACATTCTCTAGACAACAAGATTCTGTGGGTAACCTACAACTTGAGCACGGCGGTCCAATGTAAACATCCACATCATCTACGTCCCTCAGCAACACTGCATTCCCTGCACCACCTAGACTACTACACTTGTCGTCTCGCCATACAACGCTACAACAGATTAAAACAACCGTCAAGTCATGCATCACGAGAGAATCGGTCAACAGAAAGTGTTTATACCACCATCATATTTACGTGTTGTATGAAGAATTCATGGTTAGTGTCTTAAAAGATAAGCTGTATTTTGATGATGGTGACAAAAGACACAAGAGGCGAGCCATTGGCGAGCAATGGTTGTCTTTCTGTACCGAGCCAAAATGCAGCTTATATTCTATGACATTGGTTATAAATTCTATCTACACTAAATGAAAATTCAGATTGTTGAAATTTCTATGGTTTGTTAGGGATATGTAATATTCGTGTACCTGACGTTGAAGTTGAATGGCACCAAATGACTCACATTCAAAATAATTGCTCCGCGTGGAAATATAGTTCCATACATCAATAGATATATAAAATGCAATTTCTTAAATTTTCGAAAATAAATTTCGTTGTTGCAACAAACAAGTGAACTTATAGATATATATAATTTTGAATGAAACGATTAAGTAAATGAGAAATTAATTCTGTCGAATCATTTCACGTGCTGAAATACAGCTGTTTTCCGTCACTAAACATTAATCGGGGCTTCGCACTCGTGAAATATTGTTATCGAACATGAAACAACCAAATATCCTCTATATCTAACATTATAAATATCATATCTAACATTATGGGGAGATATGCATATAGGAAACGGTATCACACGGCCTCTTGTCTTACACAACCGTCATATTTTAAATCCGAAAGAGAAGTCGTATTTACACGATAAGAGGTTTCTAAGAAGGGCAGAAACTATCACGAAACTTCCTACATTGATAGATAGAAATATGAAGTGTAAGGTAATTGTAGATTGCATGGAAAAGTATGCGAGAGAATGAGTAAAATGAGGGTACGCTGCGTTTGATTCACTTTCAGTGTGGATTAAATCCAGTCATTTATCATCATTGCAAAGAATTAGGAGGTTGAAATGTAAAATGAAAACAAAATCGTTTCAGTAATACAACTATTCAGAATACCATTTTATGAATAATAAATGATTTTATTTAAAGTACTCGTAAACCTTACAAGATTTCCTAGAATCAGCTTTTTATTGCTAGCTCGTCTATTTGTTCACCTATTCTTCATCAAATTAACGCCATGTGGAGTTTAAAGACTTCTAAAAAATTTTCAGCAATCTAGAACGTCTTAAATAACATTTTTCTATCAGAATTTTGCCCACCATCATACCTATTTCCAAACTAAAGAAGCTTTCCTTTTCTGCTCAAAGAAAGATCAATGGCGGTAACAATGAAAATAAAAAATATATATATATAAAAGAAAGAAATGGAGGATGTAATAAAAATGATTGATTTTCTTGTTGACAATTTATTCGTCAAGGACTGTGCCTCTCTTATGGCTTACCGGTTTTTGTATTCATAACATGAAGTTATGAAAACGCCGTAAAGACCATGACACTTCCTTCCGTTCCACCTTTAGATATATCAATGATGCATTGTATTAAAATAAGAAGAAAGGTACCGACTATGTCCATTGCATAGACACACCAGAATCAGAAATCAGCGATAAAATGTGTTCTTCTGCATCAGCCGCTCTCCCCGATCTTTTCATACAAGGAAACCAAAAACAACTTTCTACGGAACATAAATTACGATTTCGTTTTTGTGAATTTTGCCATTTCTTATTAGTAACATTCTAGCTTCCCCAATCTATGTTGTTTACATGGCGCAGATGTTTCGATGATTAAATTTTCATTATCGATATCACAATGTCGGATTAAGATATCAAAAACTGACAGATGTCTATACAAATTAAGGTTGAATGTTGTCACAAATACCCGATTGTGAATTCTCTACTTTATCATGCGACATGAAGTCTGGATTGTTTGATGCTCGTGAGAATGTCTACTGGACCATTGTCGTTTACCCTATTCTTATTAGGGAAAGAGATATCACTAACTTTGACTGGCCAGGATTTACACGTTGGGTATCGTCGTTGACGCAGAAGAATTTTTTTTTTTTTTTTTGCTTTTTTGTTTTTTGTTTTTCTATTTTAACTAGTTTCATCGAATGTGAGTTTGAATTAATTTCTTTAAAACTATTGATATTTAATATATAATTTGATTTCCGGGACGTTTCTAAGGCGTGATTACTTGCAACTAATCCATTGTGTTACCTTGATCAAAAATAAATATACTTAAACAACAAAGTTGAATGAAATTTAGGAAAAAGAATAAAAAGATATTTTGATTAAATGACTGGTGCTTGTCTGTTAGTGGACTGATACCATTATTTACAGTATTGATGCTGTAAAGTTTCTTCGTGTTAGATATTATTAGGCGTGCTAATTCCACTTTCTCCACATCATCCGGGTCGTTCAAATGATAGTGGTAAGTTCATTTTATTCAGTTTTTGAACTTTTTGTATACTACTGCCTTAGTGTACCCTACAATATCTGTATGTAAAGTGTGTACTGTTCCGATGTTTTACATTCATGTAAAATATCTTCCTTGTAATGAATGTGTTATTCTTTATATATAAATCTGTGATATAACCAGTTTGGCTTTGAACTGAACTTTTTTTTAAAAATTGTTCAATATTACAGAGAATCGAAAATCAAAGCACACACATATGACCAAGGCCCGCTAATTATAAAGTACATTAAAATATTGGTATAATATTACACAGAGAAGATACACACCTACATAGCCACACAAATCTTTATTAGTTCTCGTCATTTTCCCTAACTTTCCTCGTCTCTAACATATTACATATTATTTCAAAAATTCTAATAGACATTCTTGTTCTATATATAATGTGTGTGATGGATAAAGAGCCAGGACATGATCGGAGAACCTATGGCAAAATATGTTGGCTTAACACATATATAAACATAACTAGAAAAATGCACCCGAGTTTTGTTGACTGAAAAAAGAACAAGTGCAGTCACGTGTTTTTGATAAGATTTGTAACAAGTTTACCACCATAGTCTACCATGATGATGAAATTCGGACATCATTATCATAGTCAATCAACTGATATTTTTATCAGACAAAGTGATAACTACACACGGCTCTAAGACAACAGACATTTGTTCAATAAACTTACGTTATGTTATGACCTGTCAGAATCCCCTCTGATTGGGCTGTTTCTATAGCAATGGTCGCGGCGGCTGCATTGTTGGTCCATCCTAAACGAGGGTGCTTTAATGGACTCAGCATCCCTAAGCGGTAATCCGCTCCACCACATATGGTTAGTTGTAAAGTAATTATGGAAATAAGTATCTTCATAATCCACTAGATGTCAATGATACCTGCGTAGTGTCTAAGTCTGTATCGTAATTTCACATCACTGAGTTTCTGAAAGTAAGCGCCAAACAATCCCATATATGTTGAATTTGCGAAATGAAACGCATTGTAAAAATAAGAAACATCTAGATCCTGTTAATGAAGTTAATGTAATGATTTTTCTCTGTAGAATCCATACAATAAATCATTAGATCTGGATTTTCTTGGAAAGTCCTACAATGGGTTCCATTGGACTGTTCTATGTGAACTCCCCTGCTGATGCCTGAGATAGTGATGTTTCGGTAACAGCCGTGTGGGATATATCGGTAAACATCTCTCTGTATATTCAGATATGATGAACAAGTATACAACAGCGATCTACACACTCAGGTGTGACGGTGTAAAGGTATACACAGACCTATAACTCCAAGTGTGATGGTGTATAGACATACACAGACCTATACCTCCAGGTGTGATGATGTATACACAGACCTTTACCTCCAGGTGTGATGGTGTATACACAGACATATACCTCCAGGTGTGATGGTGTATAGATATACACAGACCTATACCTCCAGGTGTGATGATGTATACACAGACCTATACCTCCAGGTGTGATGGTGTATAGATATACACAGGCCTATACCTCCAGGTGTGATGGTGTATATATATACACAAACCTATACCACCAGGTGTATAGATATACACAGACCTATACCTCCAGGTGTGATGGTGTATATATATACTCAGACCTATACCTCCTGGTGGGATGCTGTATAGGTATTCATTATCCTAAATGTCCAGGTGTTATGGTGTCCTACAGCTGTGATGACTTCACCAATCTACACACTTGGTCTCGTTAGATAGATGTCAGATCAATATGTCACCAGAGACGATACCGCGAAATGCTACTAATTTCAGCGTATTTGTATCAAATCTGATACCGTAATAATGTGTGTCGGTATCGTTAAACGGTTGTCTGCTGTAAATCGCAGAAAAATGATTATAACTTATCCCGGTAAAATTCTCGTTGAAACCTTGTAATATTTCTTGTCCACCGTACATCCAGAAATGTATCAGAATCTGTCTTATTTTGTTTGTTATACATTAAATACGGACTAAGTACACTGTATTCTTACTGCCAATTAAATATATCTACAGGCCTTACACACTATTTGCTATATTTTCATTGATTTACTGATAGATGACAGACGGAACCGTTTGATCTTCACTGTCAGTTTGGTTTCTTGTAAAAAAATTCTTAGACTCTACTGCCCAGATATCGCCATGAATCGCCGATCACTCTCGGAATTTAACCGTGTTTTGCTATTGTAGTATCATTGAGTGTGATGGAAAGGTTAGACAATGATAGAAGAGGATCCAGAGGTCGCTTCTGTTCGAACTGAACAGGTGTTGTAGAATGTTTATCTGTGTGACTTCTCTGTCTGTCTATTTGTGGTGATCTTTTGATATTTCCTGTGTGGACGTTCTGTTAACCATCACTTATCAAACAGAAGACAAACACACAGACATAGAATTCTACTTGATTTATTAATTTAGTGATTGGCATTTATTGGCCAAGGCTTCAAAAATATATATAGCCTGAAAATTTGATGGAAACTGGGAACAGAAAATTCCACCAAATATTATTTGATATTACTAACAACAAAGATACAGACAGCCTAATATGTTGTGGTAAGCAAAAATCTGCCTGGAACTAATCGTTGAAGCCATGACAAGGAAAAGCTGGCAAGACCATATCTGAAAAGACAAAAGGAGAAAAAGGACAGCAGACACTGACAGTCATAAACAACATTTAAGTTGAATAAGGGGTGGGAGGGTTGGGTTTTTAAACTTTTCCTGGATGAAAAGGCTCAGATCTTGGTTGAAGGTCGCCGTGACCTCAGTATGGCGCGTGAAACTTATCCATTCTCCTTATAGAAGATTTCCAAAACCGATTGAACAAGGGAGACAACTCAAAAATAAGTTATCTATAGATTTGATCTTCATATGATAAACCGAATTAACTTATAGATATTAATTCTTATTAATAGAAAGTATCAGGTACTGATTATATTTTTCTATCTCTATGGAAGATATTAGCAACTAACTACTCATTTAGAATATCATATTTCGGAAAAAGACACGATCTGAATACATTGTCATGTCATACAATTTGCTGATAATCAGTCTTGCAATGTCAGGTTTCAAATCTTCAATCTCTTTAGTCATTGATCTTGTACTCGCGTGCCAAGTTGACACTTCATTTATTCGTTACCTATTTAATTGATGTCATCAAACGCAATATAGAAACACTAATTCAAATCGCCACGCCTTTCAGGGTAATTCTGGTCTTAAAGGTACTCTTAATAAGAACAGTTTTATCTATAGTGCCACAATCATCTGATTCTCCGGGTACATGTGATCATTATTTTCACCGTAATAGAAGCCTTGTGACAAATTATTTGATATCGTGTATCTTCCAGTACTATTTACTAAACGTTATAAGCACCCGTCTGTTTCACGTATTTGTATATACTATAACAGCATTAAATAAGTTAATTTGAACAAGAAACTATATCATATAATCATCACAGTGATACCAGGGTGTCAGTAAGTATATAACAACAGTGGCCTAGCTGTGGTTCCCTCTACGTTACGACACAATTCAAACATGCATTGTCTGTTGAACGCATTGCTTAGCAACATCTCCAGACCAGACTCTGGTATTGGAATTTTAGAAATTCCCCAAAAAGATATTTCAAGCATCCAATCGCTACCAACCGAAACATTGGAAATGTTTCGCAAAATTCAGGATACAGATTTTGCCAATGTAAAACTAGACTGAAATATTGATTGTTTGGCTGTTCCAAGGTCGCTATATTTACATTGAATCTTGTACTGGGACATTGGGATTTCGTTGGATGACATAATTGAAGTCGTCTAGGTTTAAATTCCCATGAGGGACTTAAACCGAAGATACATCTATACTCCTGTTAGCAAGTCGGTCATGTACAGCTTACTTAATGATAATTGTTGATGGTTTTTTTTATTATTCCTGCTTTCTCAGTTTCGTTCAGATCCATTTCGTTTCCCTGGCCACGTTAAATGACATTTGACATGTGTCCATCCACTCGCCCAACACCTGTTCCCAAAGGATAGTATGAGTTCATAAATGTATTATGGTCATCCATCGTTGTTTTTGTCTATATCATCTTAGTGTCAAGATATGCAATGTAATCTTAGCAACAACTATTGCAGCAAAGCATTGTCATTTCATTGTGCTGACACTATAAACTCGGCTTTGGGTGTGCACTATCACAAAGAGGCTTACACAAACATATCGCAGTCTCTCACAAGACTCGCTTACAGGAGACAGTCCTATGATCGTTATAGGATAGTCAGTATGATAAAACCAAACCAAATCACACCTATTTCTTTTTACTTGTATACCTGGTATTTTCCGTGCGATACCTTGACAACCCGTCCTACATGTATCGTAGAGTTGTAGATGTTTAATCATACAGTTAAACAATCAATGACCAAGGCCGAGACACATACTAGATTTTATATTGACACTGGCAGAAGGATGTTCTTTGTCAATGACCTTTTATCTGATTGCGCCTCGAGTTATCATCGCGAAATCACTCATTCCTGACTGCTTTAATAACCTTTTTTTGCATTGATAATTGTCTTTTGAATCCAACGTTTTAACTATATGTTTTAGTCCCATGAGTTGAAGCCCGTTTTACCCGACAGTAGACATCCTTTATCAACCTACATTATCGTTAGAATCCTGCAGTGATCACCTAAGCTTACAGTCCATGTGATTTATACATGGCTTTTTGTCTGTTTGTGCCGTTCCGTTTGTATGTTCTTTAAAATAAAGTGTTTTGTATATCTAATATTGTTTTTATGTTTTTGTATGCATAATATGATTGCCTTTTACAAGAAATATACCTGTCTGTAGTTTTACAGTTTGTGTTTTCGTAGAAATTGTTCTCATTATAAATGTAATGCTTGATTTACAGCTTGATACAGAAGTTTGTACTTAAAAGTCAGAAAGCATCTAATTGGAGAGACACACGAAATAACGATGTCAAACCAAAATTGTATGCATTAAATAGAAATGTTTTGTGATAGCAATGATGCCTGCTTGCTTCCCCAAGAAACGCGTCTATCCTGTACACGTTACCTGGAATTTTTTTGATTAATCACCACATGTACAGCTGTTTAGGATTCAGCTTACAGCTCAGGTAATTACGATGTATAATCGACTCCTGGTGATATCGAACATGTATTGTTCTGTTTATTCACTTTCAGCCTCACAACATGTAAGTGACGTTTATTAAACGTCTCTGATGTTGTTAATTTAAATGTCGAATTCAGACATCCATCTTGTTTCTGTCATTGTGAACATGCTATCCAATCACTGATATTACCATAATGATGAGGTTCATGCTGTCCATTAAGTCTGTATCAGATGCCTATGGTGGCTGATCAGTGCCATTTTCGCAGTTCAAAACGCGAAAAAGCGAAAATTAAGCATTCCATTTTCGCTTTTTCGCGTATTTATTACAGCACGAAAAACGAAAAAGCGAAAAAGTGCTGGCGAAAAATATAAAAAACGACATAGCTAAAACTTTTTCGCGTAAAATTTCGGCGCTTTTTGCGCTTTTTCGCCTAGCGCTTTTTCGCGTGGCGCTTTTTCGCCTAGCGCTTTTCGCCTGGCGCTTTTACGTTTTTTAACGTAGCGTTTTTTCGCTTATTCGCCAAGTACGGTGTTTGTATACAGTTGTAGAATGGACACGAGATAACGTCACTAAGATGTTTGTATACAGTTGTAGAATGGACACGAGGTAACGTCAAGTAAGGTGTATGTATACAGTTGTAGAATGGACACGAGGTAACGTCAAGTAAGGTGTATGTATACA